GAAAAAAACAATTAAAATCTATCAGTATTTTGGTTTTGTAAAATAATCATAAACTTCTATTCATTCATCTTGTACATCTTATTTGAAATCGGAAATCACATCCCCAAGGCACATACACATGCCCCCCCCCCCCATACACAACACACACACACACCTACACACCTTTCTAAGAGAGCAGGGGATTATTAAAAAAATGAGTTCGTGCGATGTCTGTCTGTCCGTCAAACTTTTTTGAACACTATAAAATTCCTTTAAGCCGAAAATTATTTCGAGTTAATATACACAGCAGGAACTGATAAATTGTTTTGCCTTGTTCATCAATTATTTGAGAATAAAGTTATCAATTTTAAGAACGCCCTGACATGAAATCTGCACATTAAAATGTACTTTCGCTTTATTCATTTGATTTTAATGATTTCCTTAATGACTTAACACAACAGGTTGATTTTTGTTTAAGACTCAAATTTACATTTAATCTAAGGTGGCCAGAAAGATTTTCAGTGGTTATATGTCTGGCCATAAACACAGCACAACTTTGTGAAATTGTTGATTGCTTGTAAAGAATCATAAATTTATGAAAAACAAGAAAATGTTAGAATTTTTTTAAATTAATACTTAATTTGGATATATTTTTGGATTACTGTTTATGGAAAATTGTGACATTGGTTGTGCTGGGTTATGTATTTCATTTTATGCTATGATTTTTAAATCTCTATGTTTCAAAATTAATTCCTCTATAAATATATGAAGTGTGGTAACAGTTACATTGTAAGTAAATTTGAACTGTTTTTTAAGTAGAAATAATAACCCACTCTATACCAGATTCACAATGCTGCTTTACACATGCTCAATCAATGTTGATGATAAACGTTTGTGTATTGCATTTAAATTTAAAACAGATGATTGCATTTAAATTTAAAACAGATGATTATTTAAAGATATGTTATGGGAGATTAGATAAAGAGCTCGCAGTTCTCACTATAATAGTTAAAAACTAGATACTGTAAAGGTAATTTGCTGAAAATTTCGGTCAAATTGATCCACTATGAACTAAGATTTTACCGATTGAATTTTCGGCCTAGCCTCGATCATCATTACTAAAGTCGGTAGGATAAAAAACATAGTCTTGATTATCCATTTCATGATTTACTTATCAATGGAAGTCGAACAGCAAATCGGAACCCAATCCAATAAACATTGCATGCTAGTGATGCCATCGAGAGTTGATTATGGTCTGGATAAGTTAATTAATGTCTAATTAATAATTTAGATAACATTTCAGGCCTAAAGAAAGACCAGCAATAGGCAGATTTAGCTCTTGCATAATGTATGTTTAAACAGATAAATACTATTTAAAGAACTTTTTTGAAAATTTACCTGTAAAAAGTTGTGAATGAAACAAATAAATAAATAATCATTTAGAATTGTAAGACCACCAAAGACTAATAAACAGGTTTGATAATATCATATATTGTTACGATGAATTATTGAGAAGTGTTAATATATTTCTGGGATACATTCAAATAGAGTTTTGTGATGGCACAGTCTTAAAGGCCTTAAAAAAGTTCCTTTAGATTTTGGGCAAAAGAAATCACAGTCAATGTGATCTCCGGCATTGAGATACCAGTACCTCAAATTGGTACCCAAACCTGGACTGTCCATTATGCAAATAGAAAGAACAACTGAGGGGCATTAGCCCCGAAGTTTTTCTTTGTATTTACATAATGGACAGTCTGAGGCTATTATGAAACTTAAAACATAGCACCATAGAGATACAAATAATGGATAGTTTTCTAAAAGAACAAGCCACCAAATAATGGATATATTCTTAAAACAACATGCACATGCTCATGAATGCATGTGACAAAACACTCCAGTTATACAATGCAAGCATACACAGACAGTCCAAAATATTCGACATGGAGATGACATGTTTATAAAACAGTCGAAAACAAATATTAATAATGAGAATATATGTGATAAGCATTTGGATACTGATTACATTTGGTAATGTACTTGATATGGAAGCTAATAGCCATAAAAATTGTGATGTTCTTGATACAGGGGATAATAGCTGTCAAAGTTGTGATGGAAAGGCTGCTGACGAAAAAGATTTAGATATTGATAATATTCTTAGTACTGTGGTTAATATGCAGGGTACTAGCCGTCCAAATTTTTATTTGAAATTTAATATATACGACACAAGATCAAAGGCACAAACCAATTCACGAAATTCGAACTCAACTGTCATTATGGTGTAACGGTGATATATTTGAACGTTTTTTAAAATCGGATAAAAATTGTGACCTGTATACATTGTAGGTTCCACAGGCTCAAAACACGTTTTTTTTTTTGTTCAATCAGGGGCGATAATCCAGGAAGTTACGGTCCGATATGCGCCAATATCGCAAGTAATCGAGATCTTTGGGTTATAAGCACGCATGTTCAGTTTCATCAAAATGGGCATAAATTGTGACATCTAGTATGTACAATCAGGGGCCATAATCCATGAAGTTATGGTCCCATACAAGCCAATATCGAAAGGAACCAAGATCTTTGGGATATATACCTATATTTCAAGTTATGACCTTTAGAGTGTCCACAAAGAAGGTACGAAAATGTACTATTAAACAGACAAGTGACATATAACGGACGTATTTAAGTGGAATTCTTTATGTAGACAAACATGTGAAATCAACATTCGGTCATGTGACATTTCGGTAACTATGAGGTTTTAAAGTAATTTCATGTACAGTAATTTAATTTGTTCAGATAATAAATTATCCCAAAATGCATGTTCATTTTTTATACGCCCACATTGAAATGTGGTCGTATATTGTCGTCGCCCCCGTCCGTCCGTCGGTCCAGACGCTCTAGAGGCTAAAGTTAATATCCATTTGACTTTAAATTTATATACAGTGTTTAAGGCCATGAGATGAAGAATCCTATTGATTTTCAGCAATTTCTGATAATTACTGCCAGAGTTATGGCCCTTGATCACTTCAAAAAATCTTGTGGACGCTCTAGAGGCTAAAGTTAATATCCGTTTGACTTTAAATTTATACACAGTGTTTAAGGTCATGAGACGAAGAAGCCTATTGATTTTCAGCGATTTTCGATAATTATTGCCAGAGTTATGGCCCTTGATCACTTCAAAAAATCTTGTGGACGCTCTAGAGGCCAAAGTTAATATCCGATTGACTTTAAATTTATACACAGTGTTTAAGGTCATGAGACGAAGAATCCTATTGATTTTCAGCGATTTCCGATAATTTTTGCCTGAGTTATGGCCCTTGATCATTTTGAAAAATCTTTGGGACGCTCTAGAGGTCAAAGTTAATATCCGATTGACTTTAAATTTATACATAGTGTTTAAGGTCATGAGGCGAAGAAGCCTATTGATTTTCAGCAATTTCCGATAATTACTGTCCGAGTTATGGCCCTTGATCACTTTGAAAAATCTTGTGGACGCTCTAGAGGCTAAAGTTAATATCCGATTGACTTTAAATTGATACAGTGTTTAAGGTCTTGAGACGAACAAGTATATTGATTTTCAATGAATCTTTATGACTTAAACAGCTAAATCCATGATGTTAAAAGTTTTGTATACTAAACGTTAGCATGGGGCAGAACTTTATAAAAACCAAACAAATTCTAATGGTTTTCTGATAATTACTTAATGAGTTGTTACTCTTAATCAGATTTTAATGTATTATAAATGTTCCATTACCGAAAAAAGTAAAAATATGCGAAAACTCTTGTTGACTGCCCGGACAATATAGCTGCTGTGGGCGTATGTTTCGTTGCCTGGCAACCTATCTTCAGATAAGTGTCTATTATTGGTAAACCTGTCCATTATTGTCCCCCACCTTTCGAAGAAAGCAGGGGACTAATAAAATGGGTTCGTCCGTCCGTCCATCCGTCTGTCCGTCACACTTTTTGGGACACAATCACTCTCCTTCTAATTGACCTACAATGTTCAAACTTAGTGTAGGTGTTTATTAGGTCAATGCCTTGATGGAGTTCGAAGATGAGCATTTTCTGCTTAGGGTAAGCAGAGATAAGCAATTTGATTGGTTGATGCTTTGGGACGCGATAACTTTAGTTCTAATTAAGTGAGAGTGATGAAACTTGGTGTATAGTTTCATTACATCAATACCTTGACTAAGTTCGATAATGAGCATTTTCTGCTCAGGGTAAGCAGAGCTATAAGCAATTTGATTGGCCGAGACTTTGGAACACGATAACTCTCCTTCTAATTGAGCTAGAATGTTCAAACTTGGTGTAGGTGTTTATGAGGTCAATGCCTTGATAAGAGTGTGAAGATGAGCATTTTCTGCTTATGGTAAGTAGAGATAAGCAATTTGATCGGTTGATGCTTTGGGACACGATAACTTTAGTTCCAATTAATTGAGAGTGATGAAACTTGGTGTATATTTTCATTACATCGATACCTTGACTAAGTTCGATGATGAGAATTGTCTGCTTAGGCTAAGGAGCAATAAGCATTTTGATTGGTTAAGACTTTGGAACATAACAACTCTGCTTCTAATTGAGGTAGAATGTTTAAACTTGATGTAGATGATTGTCTTGACTGAGTTCAATGATTAACATATCGAGCTAAAGCTAAGCAGAGATAAGCAATTTCCTTGGTCGATGCTTTGGGACAAGATAACTTTGATTCTATCTATAGGGAGTGATGAAACTTAGTGTATAGTTGATAATCAGTTTGATTGCTCGATACTTTTGAAAAAAATAGATGTGCTATTAATTAATATGTGTCATCTATTTATTTGGGGATTTTGGCGGGGGACATCTGCAGCCTCACTGTTGGCTTGTTTTCAATAAATAAAGGACAGTTTTATAAATAATAGATGATTGTTTGAGAAAAGCGTACATTCTCCTATATACTGGTTATAAACATCAAAGGGTGATGTCTTATCTATGTTTTAATTGTTGTTATGAACTTGGTTTTGTTGCTTGTTTTGGTTTACTTTCAGATGGTTGCTATACAAGAACAACAACGAAGACCCCCTTCCTATGCTCAGTGTAAGTCATTTGATTGATCTTTATTTATGTATGTAGTGTGACACATATTTTATTCACTGTAGCAGACATATTGAACAAATTGATACTGACTACATCCAACACTGGAATCAAACATCTGACCTGCTTAGTGAGGCAGTGCCGTACACATGGACCAACTGTAGCTTTTGTTTAAAGTTCTTTAATAAGAGATTGATATAGCATTATATGCTGTATGCAAAATGTTTCAATTGAGACTTACAAGATTCTGACATTTAATTACATTTTATTCTTAAAAAATTGTTCTCCAAAAACAAAAAATTCTTAATCAGTCTTGTCAGATAAAACAGATGAGGACATTAATATTTGAAACAATATGTTGACTTGAATGTGAACAAACATTACATATTAACTTGATGGATTTATTCTTTATCCACAAGATGCCAAGAAGTGTTTTCTTTAGTTGTCTTAGATAGTCTTATTTTCTTGTTATCTCTAAGAAGATTAATTTGGTCTTGGCGTGCTGATGTGATATTTTTTATAAGATTAATTTGTAAAACTGAGGGATGTAATCAATGCTGAATTGAAGGATCTGTTGAGTGTAGGCTGACTGCATTGCTATTAAATCTATTTGTATTTCATGCTTAGATCAATTTTCTATGGACATAGTTTCGTAACTTTGCAAAGTTGTGTAGGATATTTAATCTTGTAATAATTATTTAACCCCTCACATTACATAACCCAATGTGGTATTATCTTTTATTATGATAAAAATAGACATTGTCTGGATTATATTCCTACCACCGTCATTAAATAGATTTGCTAAAGGTTTTCTGAAGCAATACAGGTGATAAAATTATCTAGTATCCGGTTATAAAATTAATCAATATATTTTGAAATATTATGTATTTTAACCCCTTATAGAATTTGGGGATTTTTATAAAAAAAATAAAAAATATGCAGTTACTTATAAATCCAGCTTTCATTTTCAAGAAGTTAGTACACTGGTAGTTTTATATTTATTAGTTTAGGAGTGTTAATATATGCCATGTCTGTCTATATCATCTATGAAATGAAGAATTTACAGCTAGGATATTAAATCTGACATTTTAAGACCAATATTTTAATATGTAAAATAGTGTTATTCTTTACAACCTGCTATATCAAAAACATCCACATATTGTGAAATAACCTTTACTTCTCAACTGTTTTTATGCAGTCTAATAATACAAAAGAATCAATACCATTTATACCTTCAGTTACTGCTGCTTTCTATGTAATTTATATCTATATTCGGCTGCAAGGAGAAGAAATTATACGATGCAATTGAAAGTGGGTTGTAATAAAATGGCTGTAACTACCGTCATAAAATGTGTCATAAAAGATTAACGAAAGAAATTTTCTAAAGCAAAAGATCTAAAATATCAAGTGATATTTTGAATTTACGACGACCATGACTAACCGTTTTAAAGTAGGAAAAATGAAGTGTTCGATGACATCCCAGACTGTGGTATATTAAAGTAATGTCATATACATGTATGGTATATTACTAGTAATTGTCAAGTACTTTTCCATACATAAAACTAATGAGACATCATTATACCTTGATAATGAATATATACCACCTTCCTGTCATTGTTTGACATTCAAACCCTGTCACTGTATATGAGGTATAGGCTAGAGTTTGTCATAAATTTGACTAGTATTAATTTTTGTTAGCTATGGTATATAAACCCAATTGGTATTTTATTTACAAAAGATAATTTGGAAGCATTAACAGGTCCTTGTTATTATTTATCTGTCATATTTCATTGTATCATGAAGTTTTATCTATAGGTGAGGGGGAGTGGTAGAGTGGTGTAACATGTGCCCTTTAATTCATAAAGTCTGAAAAGAAATAGGATCATGTGCCAAACCTCATGGGTTTTCTCCAATTTTTCAGATTTCCTCCTCTACGTGCAAGTGAATTATTGAAATCAAATTATACCATGTGTTAATCCCCAATTAGGTTATGTAGAGTATTTCAACATCGCAAAAGATTATTGTGCATAGTGGTCACAGGCATTGACATTGAAGAAGCTGACTAAGCAATATTTCATCTTTACCTAAGAGTAATCTCAATCTGACCTGAAAAAAGAATCCAATAAAATTTTCTATCAAAGACTCACTTTAAATACTTTGATCTTTAAATATTTATTATTGAGATATTTGTTGGTGTTCCTGAAATGTTATATTTTATGAAAAAAATTTATGTTGTCTGGCAAAGACATCCACTGCTTTCTAGGGACCAGCCATCAAATATTTTTCATCTCTGAAAAACAATCTGTAGACAAGGAATGAACATGTCAGATTGATAAATAAAGACTCTTGTGGATATGAAACTAGGTTACATTATTTACCATGAAGGATGTATACCGGTAATTTCACTTTGCATTTCGTCCATGATTGTGTTGCAGTCTTGGGATTTATATAAAAAAAATTGTGGGTAATGTATCTGAAAAATTCAACTTTGTACATAAAGCACCATGAATTTACAAATTACATGCATTATTATTAAAAACTCAACTAAATTGTACATCATACATCACAAACTAATTGTAAATGAATACTTGTAATTCTTCATTCAACCAGTGTCTGATTTCTGTATTTTGATCTAGAAAGATGGTCTTATCAGATTGAATAAGGTTTTTTGATTTATTGGATATCCTGTTCATTTCTGTAGCATAATATTTCTTCATTTGATTGATTTATTTAAATATTTTATCAAACCAAAAATTTGAGACAAATATATCAAAATTCATTGTGGATGTTTGACATTGATATTTTTTTATAACTGTTCTGGTACATGTAGCATGAAAGCTTTTTGCTTTTCCTGAAAGCATGATTATAAATAAAACTCTTTTTTGGTGGAGCTTTTTATATCACGTATAATTCACTCTGTCTCCTCTTATTACTGTATCAATCTGAAAGCTTCTCAAGACATGTATATAAAAATTATTTTTTGGGATGTTTCACATTGATATATTTTTATCAATGTTCTGGTACATGTAGCAGGGAAGCTTTTTGCTTTTCCTGAAAGCAAATTTATAAATAAAAACTCTTTTTTGGGTGGCCATTTTATATCATATATAACCCTCTCTAATGTCCTGTCTTGTAACTATATCAATCTGAAAGATTCTATCAGTAGTGGGCATATATTGCCGTCTCCCCCACCCGTTGTACCTAACGCCAAAAGTTATCTGCCAATCTTTGTGAAATTTATATGCATTAGTTAAATTAGTGAAACAAAGAAACCTTTTGAATTTCAGCAATTTCTGTCAATTACTTCTAGAGTTATGGCCCTTGTTTCATGTTGTTGCACCTTGTGATCACTCTAACATCTAAAGCTAAAGTTATCTGCCGTTCTATATGAAATTTTTATGCGTCATTTGAATTAGTAAAAAGAATCCTATTAAATTTCAGCAATTTCCATTTATTACGTCTAGAGTTATGGCCCTTGTTTCACTTTGTTGAACCTTGTGAATGCTCTAACGCCAAAAAATATCATCCGATCTTTGTGAAATTTATATGCATTATTTAAATGACTGAAATGAAGAAGCCTATTGAATTTCTAGAGTTTTGACCCTTGTTTTACTTTGTTGAACCTTATCATCCGATCTGTATGAAATTTATATGCATAATTAAGATTAGTGAAACCATGAAGCCTATTGAATTTCAGCAATTTACAATAATTACTTCTAGAGTTATGGCCCTTGTTTGACTTTGTTCAACCTTGTTAATGCTCGATTGACGAAAGTTATCCGATATGTATAAAATTTATATGCATCATTTTAATTTGTAAAACAGACGTCTATTAAATTTCAGCAATTTCTGTCAATTATTTTTAGAGTTACTTTGTGAACCTTATAAACATTCAAATGACAAAAGTTATCATCCGATCTGTATAAAAGTTATATTCATTATTGAAATTAGTAAAATGGAAAAGCCTGTTCCAAATTTTCTGTAAATTACTTTCAGAGTTAATGCCCTTGTTTTAGTTTATAGAACCTTGTGAACCCTCAATGACAAAAATTATAATCTGATCTGAATGAAATGGTCTTGTAGATGCTCCCAATTACCTACAAAAGAATAAATATGTTTTATTGCTTGGCAACCTATCTTATATATTTGAATTAAGTAGTTGCACACAATACTTGGTACATGTCACCTGTGTTTTGTGTTACGACCTGATATCTTGGATAAAAATGAACTTGATCGATATTTATTCGGTTAAGTCAGGGGTGACCAAAATACAGCCCGCAACGTCAGTTTGTCCGGCTCGCTGTTGCATGCTGAAAAAAACCATGTATAAATGTTCTAACTTGGTAACATTTTGGTATTATATTAAAATATTTTATTGTTTTTATTATGTTGTGTATTTCATGTATTGATAAATAAATAGAATGACTATCCTTATTTCTTGTTTACATTCAGTGTATTCTGTATTCAGTGTAGTGTATTGAACAAAATATTTATCTGACCCACGCTCGGCATTCTTTCAGTTATATCTGGCCGACTATGAAAAAGTTTGATGACTCCAGGGTTAAGTGATTTATAACAAATATAACAACATCAAAAGATATATTCACTGTTTTATTTGGCAAGTGAAAAAAATCACCCATAATTGCTATGGTTAATAAGCAGATTATTTGCTTATTTAGATTTGTTCAAAAAAGTTCCTAAGCCACTTATGACAGCTTAAGCCCAACCCAGATGATGGAACATTTATGTCGACGAACAAAAACACTGAACAAATATTTTTGTTTTTGTTGTCCGCAGACGATGAACATGTTTTCATGAATGTTCGGCTAATGTTTTTTATTTTTTTCAATTCCTCCCTAGATTGGTTTATACGGAACCTTCTGACCTAATTCCTTCCAGTTGTTGCTTAAAATATTTCTTTTCCATCGGAAATTGCTATTCAGAATTGAGACAAAGCAATACCTTGTTATAGCTTTTTATTTATTCAGCTTGCTCATCATTCAAGTTTGATTTTGGTCATAGTTTGAGTCCAAAACAACTAGCATTTTGTCAGAAATTACAATGACACAATGTAGATTTTAAAGACAAGTAAATATCAGAAATTTATCAGCGGGATATATAACTCTTTTCTGCTCGCATGCAGCCTACAGATGTCAATTTTTGTGAGCTTTATTTTTGAAATATCACTTTTAGGTACAGTATTTCTAATGCAAATGTGTTTAAGAAATCCACTTTGCTAAGGGGAATTTCCACATTATTGATGTATTGATAGAATTTTAACATCAATGAGCACTTCAACTCATTGTTACTATGAAAATTTGAATTGATATCACTGATTTCTTATCATTGATTATATTGGCTTTATATTAGCAAGATTCAAAAAAGTCTTAAATAAATTATACATTTTAAGGGAATTATGTTTTCAACATGAATTTAAATGAATGCAGGTACATGTAAACCTTAAAGATGTATTATGTACGATTTAGATAAAGAGCTGGCAGTTCTTGCAATAATACTTAAAAATAGATAATAAAAATTGAATATGTTGAAAATTTCAGTCAAATTACTTCATTCTGAGTGAGTTATGGCCATTTGAAAAGCAATGTAGGCTTGATTGCCATTGTTATCATTGCTACCATAATAAACAAAGTCTTGATTATCCATTTTTATACGCCCACATTGAAATGTGGTTGTATATTGTCGTTGGCCCCATCCGTCCGTCCGTCCGTCCATCCGATCGTGTTTAAGGCTGTAAAACGAATGATCCTAGTCGTTTTTAACGATTTCCGATAATTACTGCCAGAGTTGAAATGACCCTTGATCACTTTGAAATATCTTGTGGAGACTCTAGCGGCTGATGTAAATATCAGATTGACTTTAAATATATAGACACTGCTTGAAGTCATGAGACGAAGAAACCTATTGATTTTCATTTATTTCCAATTATTATTGCCCTTGACTTCTTTGAAAAATCTTTAGAATCTCCAGAGGCTAAAGTTAATATCTGATTGACTGTAGATTTATACACAGTGTTTAAGGTCATGAGAAGAAGAATCCTAATCATTTTCAAGGAATTCTGATAATTACTGCCAGAGCTGTGGCCCTAGATCACTTTGAAAAATCTTGTGGACACTCGAGAGGCTAAAGTTAATATAAATTACTGACAAAAGAAAAAATAAGCAACAACGCTTGTTGACTGCCCGGCCGACTTAGCTGCTGTGGGTGTATGTTTCGTTGCCTGGCAACTTATCTTTAATTAAATTATTAACTGCCAATCGTGTTTAAATCCGCTTGGCATGTGAATAAATATCTTAATTAATTATCTATATTACATTTGAGGCCAAACGAAAGATTTACATTAAGCAGATTTAGCTCTTATGTAATGTATCTTTAACTAGAAAATTTTGTATAAAATTTTGGGTATATGATTACAATCGGAAAGAGATAGCTTGGTTATAATTTGTTTAAACTTTGTGTTGCTGAATTTTATTTTGAATAATGAATGAATTCTATTTTTTCAGCTGGTATGTCCGAAGATAGTGATTATACTAGTGATGTAAACTATCCTCTACAACATCAGCACAATACGTCTGCTCACCAATATCGCAGTCATCCTGATCATCCATATCGACTGCGCGAAGATAGTCGAGATTATCCAAGATATGATTCCTTTGATAGATCCTTTGAACGGGGATATGAGCCGGAAACAGATTATTATCAAGATGGAAGTCCGTATCACCAAGGGCGTAGTGATACAGATTCAGAACCTCTATATTACAACAGTCGGCCTAACTCGCGCCCACAGTCTTTCATCAATGATAGGTACGTTTGGTTTCAACCCCTGAGTCACGTCATTGTGCATATTCTGTTGGGCTGTGTACATTAACTTGGTTTTGATATTAGTTATTAACAAACCATAGCATACTGGCACATAATTATATGCCTTCAGCTAAAAATTGTAAACAATTCAAACTATATTTAAATCTTACATATCGTTACCGTAATGTAGCTTATATATAATTACTTGAAAATGAGTAAATTGAACCAGAGAATTGAACAAACCACTTTTTATACGCTCACATTTTCATGTGGACGTATTATGCCGTTGCCCCTGTCCATCCGTCTACAATTTGTTTGTTATTTTTATCCGATTTTAACGAAACTTGAAATATAGATCTGTCTCGCAAAGATCTCAGTTCCTTTAGATATTGGCATGTATTGGACCATAACTTCATGGATTATGGCCCCTGATTGTACGAAAAATCACGTTTTTAGCTTGTAGACACTCTAGAGGTCACAATTTCATCTGATTTTTATGAAATTTGAAATGCATGTTAATAACCCAAAGATCTTGGTTCCTATCGATATTCGTGCATATTGGGTCGTAACTTCCTGAATTGTGGCCCCTGATTGTACGAAAAATCATATTTTTAGCTTGTGGTCCCTCTAAAGGTCACAATTATTATATGATGATGGAGTTCTAACCAAAACTCCAGGACAAAATAGTCGCCCCTCGTACGCAAATAGTGTAAAAATATGGTATATCAAGGTTGTGGACCCTCTGGAGGCCACATTTTTGATCCAATTTGATGAAACTTGAAATACAAGTTTACAACCCAAAGATCTTGGTTCCTTTTGCTATTCATGCATATCGGATTGTAACTTCTGAATTACAGCCCTTGATTGTAAGAAAAATCACATTTTTAGCTTGTGGTCCCTCTGGAGGTCTTAATTTTTATCTGATTTAAAAAAAACCTTTAAATATATCACCGATACACCATAATGAGGGTTGAGTTTGATTTTCGTGAAAATCGGACCAAAACTGACGGACAAAATGGTCGCTCTTCAGACGCAAATAGTGTAAAAATATGGTATTCCAAGGTTGTGAGCCTCTAGAGGCCACAATTTTCATCCGATTTTGATGAAACTTGAAATACAAGTTTACAACCCAAAGGTCTTGGTACCTTTGTATATTCGCGCATATCGCATTGTAACTTCCTGAATTACGGTCCTTGATTTTAAGACCAAAACTGACGGACAAAATGGTCGCTCCTCATACGCAAATAGTGTAAAAATATGGTATTCCAAGGTTGTGAGCATCTAGAGGCCACAATTTTCATCCGATTTTGATGAAACTTGAAATACAAGTTAACAACCCAAAGGTCTTGGTACCTTTGTATATTCGCGCATATCGCATTGTAACTTCCTGAATTACGGCCCTTGATTTGAAGAAAAATCACATTTTTAGCTTGTGGTCCCTCTAGAGGTCTTAATTTTTATCTGATTTAAAAAAAAATTTAAATATATCACCGATACACCATAATGAGGGTTGAGTTTGATTTTCGTGAAAATCGGACCAAAACTGACGGACAAAATGGTTGCTCCTCATACGCAAATAGTGTAAAAATATGGTATTCCAAGGTTGTGAGCCTCTAGAGGCCACAATTTTCATCCAATTTTGATGAAACTTGAAATACAAGTTTACAACCCAAAGGTCTTGGTACCTTTGTATATTCGCGCATATCGCATTGTAATTTCCTGAATTACGGTCCTTGATTTTAAGAAAAATCACGTTTTTAGCTTGTGGTCCCTCTAGAGGCCACAATTTTCATCTGATTTAAAAAAAAACATTTGAATATATCACCGTTACACCATAATGTGGGTGAAGTTTAAATTTCGTGTAAATCGAACCAAAACTGCTTGACCAAATGGCCGCCCCTCAAATGCAAATATGGTATAACAAGAAGGTTGTAGACCACAATTAATATATGTTTATATCACAAAGATCTTGGTTCCTTACGATAATTGTGCATACCTGAACTTAACTGCCTGGATTATGTCCCCTGATTATTCGAAAACTCGCTTTAAAATTAGCTTGTGGACCTGCTAGAAATCATAATTTGTATTATCTTTTACAAAATGTTTAAATATATCACCATTACACATCAATGAAGGTTGAGTTCGAATGTACAAGTATGTAATACGAACGTTGTGGACCTAGAGATTTTTGTCTGATTTTGATGAAACTTAAAATATATCTTTATATCCCACAGATCTCAGTCCCTTTCGATATTCAAGCATTTCAGTCCATAACTTCTTGGATTATGACCCCTGATTGTACTAAAAATCACTTTTTTTTTTTTTTTGCTTGTTCTCTTTCCATCTCTTTCAAAATGTGGACATATCTTGCCTGGCAACCGCTGGTTAACTGGGAAAAAAAGACAGAATGCTTAATTTAACACATGACACAATTATATGGACAATAAGTTACTTAGAAATTTTTTTCTGGCAATGTTTCAGTTGTTAAAAAAATCTAGCATTGTTTTATACCGTACCTGGTAGGCCTACTTTTTTGGCATCAATAGAATGATAATTAAACTTTTATTTTAGCCCAGTGATGAGTCACAATTCTTCTATGAATATGAGTAGACAGAGTACACAAGATTACAGGTAAAAATAAACTCCTATATTATTCATAGATAACTTATACAAAGGGAACTAACTCTACAAGTCACAGATGGGCACAGACTGGTCATTCTATCTACATTGACTTAAATCTCTGCCATTTCTTGGTCTATAATATTTTTGAAACATTCTAATGATATTAATTTTTATAACAACAAAGCACCCAACATCTTACAATTATCTGATAAAGATTTGCAAGGGGATTGACCATCTTGATTTTTATCTAAACAAGTTCAAAGGAATCTATAGATAGGCTGCAGGCTATCATTATTTTTGTAGGTGATCTTCCTATTTCATGCCTATTTAATTCCTGAACATGAATATTCACCCAAACCTGGTAGAAAATGTCAATTCTAGACAAAAAATTCACAAAAATTTCTATGTAAAAGGGTTAAAGAGAGAATTGCTTTAATCAGATGGAACTTCATAATGGAACAATAATAATGCCTTCCCTTTAACATGAAAGACATATTGTGCACAAAGAAAGAAAATTTATGAGACCCAAGGGTTTGATAAGGACATCAACATAAAATTTAAATGTGAAATAGCACAATTATCTTTTGCATGATTTTTTTGCACAATAATTGCAAAGCAAAGCAGCATGAGATAGTACAAACAGTATGGGAAAGGCACATGTAAATATTTAACGAAAATGTCTTTGATAGCAAATGATGACATTGTTGTATTATTATCAATGAAAATGACATTTAGTATTTTCAAGTGCGATAGGTTAGTTTACTGTATTGGAAGTTGATGTGTTTGAAAGTAATGCAGCTATTGAAAGGTCACAATTTAACATGTTCTTGATGACATTAATTACTTGGTTTCCAGTAATTGAATTATTTTACCTAAAATGTAGTCATAAACATCTAATGAATATGGAAACTAGCCTTAAATAGCCATTGTTTTATCTAAAGGGTATACTGTTGAAATTATGTTGGCTTTTAGAACCTAGTTGGTCATATAATCCATTTATTTATGTACCAGAGGCTAAATCTCTACTGATAGTAGTCTAATGACTAATATTGGGAAAGTGGACAACAGAATGAGCTGGCCTGCTAAAGATGCATTATTCAAGAGCTAAATCTGCCTAATGCAGATCTTTCGTTTAGCCTCAAATGTTATATAAATCATTAATTAGACATTTATTTACATGCCAGGCCCATTATCAACTTTCTAGAACTTTCCATGGTTTTAATTTTCAACAGATTTAAATACAATTGGCAATTAATGATTTAATTTAAAAATGGATATTCAAGACTTTGTTTATTATCTTAACAACGGTACCAATCACAATCAAGACTACACAGTTCTGCAAATGATAACTCTGCTCAGAATCAAATAATTTGAAATTTTCAACATATTCCCTTTTCATTATCTGTTTTTAACTGTTATAGCTAGACCTGTCATGTCTTTATCTAAATCTTACATAATGCATCTTTAATGGACAAAATTAGATATATAATTATATTGTTCGATGCTCAGACCCATTGAGATAACAGGGACATAGGAACTATTTTGATATAGATGAGGCACAATAAAATTCATTTACTCATGTTAAGCCTAGCTGAGCAAGTCCAAATTAATTTTTTTTAAATGGTAAACCAAGAAATAAACTAAAATATGGAACCACTTTTTACCATTTAAATAGTATGGTTAAAATTGTGAAAATTGATTATCAGTTTTCATAAGTTATAGTTAGCACATTATTACTAGGGTCAGTATTATTATCATGACAATATATCATATTATTGACAACATAAATCTCTATCTTCTATCAATCTTTAACAGTTTTATTAATACTCCATTGACAAACAAGTACTTCTGTTCCTTTAGTACAAAACCAAACTGAAATAATATTTGTGGCTTTCACAGAATATGATTGATTTCTATCGGATTAAAATATTTCTATGCGTCCGTCCGTCCACAATTTCTTTGTAGACATTCAACAGGCAGGGCCGTAACTAGCTCTGAGCAACAAGGGGGGCGGGTAGTGTTCTCGGGGGTGCTGTAATATTGACGGACAATGTATATCTATTTTTTTTATGGTCGAAATTTTTTTCACAGGGCGGGGGGCGAAATTGGCATGTATCAGATCGAAACTTCATGGATTATGGCCCCTGATTGTACGAAAAATCACATTTTTAGGTTGTGGATACTCGAGGCCACAATTTTTATCCGATATAGATGAAACTTGAAATGTATGTTTATAACCAAAGATCTCGGTTTCTTTCGTTATTCGCACATATCGGACAGCAACTTCCTCCTGATTGTACGAAAAATCGTGTTTTTAGCTTGTGGTCCCTCTATAGGTTTCAATTTTTATCCAATTTAAAAAACATTCAAATATATCACCATAATGATAATTGAGTCTGAATTTTGTGAAAATCGTACCGAAACTACTGGACAAAATAGACGCTCTATGTACGCAATTAGTGTTAAAGTATGTATATTAAGGTTGTGGACCATCTAGACTCACTAGAGGTCACAATTTTGATCTGATTTTGATGAAACGTAAAATATGTGTTTATGTCCCAAAGATCTCTGTGCCTTTCGATATTCGCACATATTGGACCTGTATTATGGCCCTTGCTTGTACAAAAAAAATGGCAAATTTAGCTTGAGGACCCTCTACAGGTCACAATTTTAAAACATAGCACCGTTATACCCAGATAATGATTAAGTTTAAATTTCGTAAAAATTGGACCAAAATTGCCCGACAAAATGGCTGTGCCTTGAAAGCAAATAGTGTAAAGTATCTAACACCAAGGTAGTGAACCCACCAGAGGTCACAATTTTTGTCTAATTTTGATGAAACTTAAAATATATGTAGGCCCTATATATCCCAATGGTCTCCGTTCCTTTCCATATTTACGCATATCAGATTGTAACTTCCTGGATTATGGCCACTGATTGTACAAAAAATCCAGTTTTTAGCTTGTCGACCCCCTAGAAAACATTTAAATATATCAGTGTTACAACCAAATGATGGTTGAGTTTGAATTTCGTGACAATCAGACTGACACTGCCAGATAAAATGTCCCCTCCTTGTACACAAATAGTCCAAAATTATGTAATACCAATGTTGAGGACCCTCTAGAAGTCATAATTTTAAATTCGATTTTGATGGAACTTGAAATGTATGGTTATAACCCAAAGATCTTGGTACCTTTCCATATTCGCACATATCGGACCGTAACTTCCTGGATTATGGCCCCAGATAGTATGAAAAATCATGTTTTTATACACCCACATTTAAATGTGGTTGTATATTGTCCTCGTCCGTCTGTCCGTCCGTCCGTCTGGCGTCCACAATTGCTTGTTGACGCTCTAGAGACTAAAGTTAATATTCGATTGACTTTAAATTTATACACAGTGTTTAAGGTCATGAGAGGAAGAAGCCTATTGATTTTCAGCAATTTCTGATTATTATTAAACATTTATATAGCGCTCGTTTCACCAACGGTGTCCAGAAGCACTTTACAAAACAATGATTACAATTGTATACCTCATATACCAATAAAACAAAAAATAAAACAACTAAAAGACTACAAAAAGATGCAATATAATAAAGTAATGTACTGTATATCTATGTAAAAGCTTTTTTGAATAAGTAAGTTTTAAGATCACATTTAAAAGATTGTACTGAGGGGCTTGAACGAATATTAGTATCAGAACCAGAGGGTTTTAAATCATTCCACAGGTTTGGGGCTAAAAATGAAAAGGATCTTTCACTGTATGTAACCATTCTAGCAGATCTTGGTTTGAGATAATAAATGTCATTTGAATTATGGAGACTGCGAGCATTTGTTTGTTTTTCAATTAGATGACATAAATAAGATGGGGCTAAGCCATGAAAACATTTATAAGCAGTTAAAAGAATCTTAAATTGAATATGATGTGGAATGGGTAACCAGTGAAGTTGTGCATCGGTGTTTTGATCTTTTTGTAATTTGTATATTAATTTATTGGGTAAGCCGAATAAAAGAGAGTTAAAAGTATCAAGTCTTGAAGTAATAAAAGCGTGAGCAAGAGTTTTAGTTGAATCAGAGGAAAGGAATTTGCGAATTTTGCCAATATTACAGATATGAAAATAGCAGGATTTACAAATATTGTTCACGTGATTAGACTCGGTCATTTTACTATCAAAATCACCGTTAATATTGCGAACAGAGTTAATATTACTGTCAGAGCTATGGCCCTTGATCACTTAAGTTAATATAAATTGTTTAAGGTCATGAGACAAACAATTGAAACAAATTCTAATGATTTCTTATAATAACTTAATAGGTTATTATTCGTGTGTTATAAATGTGTTGTAAATGTTCTCATTACTGACAAAAGAAAAAATATGCGACAACCCTTGTTGACTGCCTGGACGACTTAGCTGCTGTGGGCATATGTTTCGTTGCCTGGCAACCTGCCTTTATCTGATTTAAAAAACTGTTTAAATATATTACTGTTACACACTAACCGAAACTCCTTGACAAAATGGCTGGTACTAATTGTACGCAAATAGTGTAAAAGTATGTAATATCAAGGTTGTGGACTCTCTAGAAATCACAGTTTTTATTCGATCTTGATAAAACTTAAAATATATGTTTTAATATATTGTGCATATTGGACCTAAACTTTCTGCATTATGGGCCCCTGATTGTACAAAAAAATTGCATTTTTCTTTAGCTTGTTCTCTGTCCATCTCTTGCAAAATGTGGGCATATCTTGCTTGGCATCTGCTGGTTTTTGTTTAATATAAATAGACAAAATTAAGATGTAGAAATTACTTAAATTAAATAGTGATACCATTTACAGCAAAAAAATAAATGTAATTAATACTAAATATCATATTTAAAATAGCCATAGACCTGCTTGATTAGTGAAAACATCCATATCTCAGGGAGATATTGTCAGATCTGTCTCAAATTTTACACAAAATCTACCGTAATTTAGTCTCCCGGAATATAACTATACAGCAAATCAAAACCTTTCTTTATGCTGTCAACGAAGATATAAAAATGACTAATATCACTCGAAATTAAAAGAAATACCGATATAAAGAATATGTTCAACGAGCTACATGTATGTTGGTTGTTTATCTAACAAAATAAACAACCAACATAGATAATGCATAAACGACTTGTATATTTTCTGTTTCTGGTGGTCTAAATTTCTGTACAGTAAAGAATCACTGTTTTTGGTTGTCCTCCTTTAATTTTGATATTTCTGAATTTTGTAAAAAAAAATTATTTTGAGGGTCAAAACAGACATCTGTTGTATATATTTTCCAGTGTTCATGAATTGATAGTATTAATGAAAATTATAGAGATTTAGTTGGACACCAGACATTTACAAAGTAGATAATAATGACAAAGTTGACATTTGTAATATTTGCAAGATATATATGTGCGTTAAATAGTTAGTTATATTAATCGTACTGAGGTACGTGTGAAGTATAATAAGGCTGGATTAGTCAGCTTTAGTATAGTTTCATCATGTGTTGTCTATTCAATTGTATAATTGAAACATGTAAATGTATACAAAGGGAATTATGTTTTGGAGAAAAGGAAGAATCAGATCATTTAATTGTTAAGAAATATATGTAGGTACATTTGAAATTATGTAATATTTTATAAACATTTGAAATATTTTGAATCACTGTGAAGAAAGGTCTAATTACTTACCTAACCATTCCTATTTAGCTCTATGTATCTTACTGATCAAAACTATTTTTTATGAATTGAAACTGAATCGTTATTCTGAGTAATGTTTATTAATTCTTATAAATCAATATGCCATAAATTTTATGAATTGAAAATTTAAAAAAGAAAAGATTGTTGCTGTGTGGGAGAATACATGTTTTTTTCTTTAATAAAAAAAATAAATATGAGAAAACATTATGTGTAAATTAGTAATTTTAGTGTGTGTTATTTTGGCTAGATCTTTAGATAAAGAATTTAAAATGGATTATTTTTTCATAGCTAAAAGAATTTCTTTTTTTTTTTACTTTTTCTGATTTAGCAGTTCATTTAATCATTGATAGTTTTCAGACTTCCCAGCATAGATATATACTCACACATAAACTTATGTTAACTTCAGTTAAAGAGTTTTTACCAAGTTTCTTAATGATAAAGTATCATTACATGTGCCTATAGGTTGTCTGTTTGGGATGAATTGATGGGTTAACCCACACAGCACCTGAAGACATGGTACTAATGAGGGTCTAGTCTCTTATTACACATAGTTAAAGGGAATAATTTGTCACAAACTGATTGGAGATATTTCTTAACTCAACTCTTAATATAGCCCTAGAGCCAAATTACTTCAATAAACCTGTTATATTGCGTCCGCAAAAACCTTTTTTCCCTTACGTCTGCTTGGGCCTCCATTTTGAATTTGACTCAATATTTTAATATAATTGTTATTTCAGTCCTGTAAATAGCCGTGTTTCATCTTCAAATGTTAGTCGACAGAGTACGCAAGATTATTGGGATGGCTCTGTGGATTTATGCGAAAACCAAACCACCACCGTACCTGATCTTCCATCACCAGCCCGATCACGCTGGATAGATGCCTTTAATAAAGTCTGTGCTCAACTTAGTGAGGTAAGATACAGTATAGAAAAGATCTGAAGAAATCGTTTTCTTTCAGCAAGACAGAAGAAGCAGTTTTTGTCATTCTGCATGAATTTCTTTTGAAATCCATGAAAATTCTGTGAGTGCCAATGTTGAGGTCTGCTGTGGTTTTATCACTTGAGAAGAATAGTACAGTTTAAGTGTGATTTGTTTACCAAAAACATCCAGGCCACCCCATTGCATTGATTTGTTTTGGGAGAAACTATAACTAGTTAACAAACTAACATCAGCTCAGTCTTTCAAAGGATGATTAACTGTGCAGAGCTTGCTCATTTCTTTTTAAACCTGTGTTACCACTGAAAGACTTGAAAAATTCTGACATGTTCATTAAAGGAACCACCCAAGATATTAGTTTAGTGAATAGAATTGAATAAATCCATATTAAAGACTTAGAAATATGAAGTCTAAGTTTCCTGATAACCATGTCTCTAATTGTTGTAGTTATGCCAAGTAAGCGGTACACCAAAAGTTTTTATTTGAGTTATAAAACCCTCATGTTAGGCAAGATCAGCTTCCAAATTCTTCAATATTTTGATCTGGAATTTTTCAAAGGAGACAAATAGGCTATTATTTCTTTATACTCAAACCCTCTTGTATCAACAGAAATCAGATGTATCAAAAGAAACCGATTTGTATCGAAACATACCAACTGAAATCTGGAATTGCTGTTTTAATGAACTTATGTTGTGAAAGATAAAATTTCAGTTATTTCCAAGATCGATGTAGATCATAACTCAGTTAATTGATTCTCCCCCCAGCTTTGGGAACACGTATATAATTGTCTCCAACTACTCTCTTGGATTGTGATTAATTGACAATGATATTTATTATGGACTGTTTCTAGGTTTATTGTTGATTTATGTAAGAGTAAGACTACATGATGAATGAATTGCGATATTCTGACAGTTTGGGAACACGATACATGATTGGAGAATTTTTATTTTAGTGTCGATAATTTACAGTCTAGAAATAAAATTTGTTTTATTGTTGTACAGGGGTGCCATGGCGATCATATTTTGTTGACTAATAAATGTTTTCTTCAACATCATGACTTTAAATGAAATCTTAATAACTGTACACTTAAGATTCAACAAGCTATTCAGTTGTTGTCTGATAAACTCCTACACAAGTGAAAAAAAGAAATATTGTTTTAACCCGACACAGCCTGATTACAATATAAATGAATCTCAAATCACAAAACATTGATTTCTCCATCATGCCATATGTTGTTGTTTTTTATTATTATTATTGGGAATTTGTTTTTGTTTTTTACACTTGTATTGAAAATATAATTATATTTGAGTTTCAAATGGTGGCTTGTATTGATTTATTTTGTAGACGTGTGACATGCATACATAATGTAACTATGAAAATGTAATTTGGTTTCTCCAGAATGTCATTTGTTGAATCATATATTTGAGACTTAAAGTATCAGGTTTTTTTATGAATTGTGAACCTTATTACTTGGATTTAGAGTTTATGATTAGAATCAGAGTATAAAACAGGATTTGTGTTGTATTATTTGTATTTACAGTTTATTATTAGAACCTTAATACAAAACAAGATTTGTGTTTTATTAATTGTGAACCTTATTATTTGTATTTGCAGTTTATGATTAGAATCAAGGTATAAAATCAAATTTGTGTCGTATTAATGGTGATCTATTATTTATTTTTCGAGTTTATGGTTTATCCAAAAGTGTCCAATTAGTTTGAAATTTGAATATATTCAAGAAGAAACTTTCAAATGATAAAAGATACAGAATTGTTGTGTTGGATGCAAGTTCTAAAAGTTCTAAATATTTTTGTGCCCATGCAACTTATTATTGTATCATCAAATAGGATGTTTTCAAAATAATTTTATATATAAATGATATGGAACATAAGATAAGGTTTCATGGCATCAAAACAACCATTAAGAGCAACATATATATAAATTTGAAAGTGGTAAAAAAGCCAACCCATGTAATAGTAAGTGCAGGAGGACCGCACTACACGTAAAACAAAAATCTACAAGATAAACCTGCGGACAAGACAGAAAATAGACATTGCAATAATGAACAAATATTTAATGTAGTAAAAGAGAAATACACAAAAAAAATATACCATTTCAATATAACTATTTACATAATGTGTCTGATTAATATGCAATATACAAGAATAACTTAGTTATACTTTTGTCTTTCTTATAGTGCATATGTATTACTTTAAGCTGACTTTCTCTAAAATTTAAATATTGGTTTCCTAATTTAAAGCACCGCTTTGCTTTAACACATAACTAATTTTTTCTTGATGGTTCATAATTAAAATATTTTGCTTTCTGTGTGTCATGATTAATTTAGAAACTAGGGATATCATACACAACAATCAGCTAATTAACTAATTACAACATTGTCATATATTATTAATTGGTCTATTTCTCTTTTTTAACAAATGGTAAAATTATTCTGTAGATATAATTCAATTTCTGTGTATTGCGATTGGAATGTGTGAGCATATTAATATTAATTACTTTTCGGGAAAATTGGTGTCTCTCCTATTTGGCATTTTATAGAAAGCGGATTTTATGTGTGAGCAATATTGCCTATATACTTAGTATATAAATACAGCTAAATATTGTTGACATTTCCACAGGCAGAAAAACAATCAAGTTAAAGGTCAAAAATAATGACATCTATATAAATGCTGGCATTTTAAGTTCTTTCGTGATCTGGGAAGAAGGGTATTCAAATAAAACACAGTTCAGATACCAAACTGTAGGATATGTTATTACATCATTTAAGTAGGCACAATCAGCAGTATGGAGGTAACCCATGCCCCCCCCCCACCACCACCACCACCAAAACAAAATGTATAGATATCCAGAAAACGAACAAAATTAACGGATTGAATCTTTATCAAACAGTACTAACCATAACTTTCATTTAAAGATGAATTATGTAAGAGCTAAATCTGCTTATTGTACTTTGTAGGTCTTTATTTTGGCTTCAGATGTTATATAAATTATTATTTAGACATTTATTCACATTACAAGCCTAAAATCAACTCTCTAGACTACCAGATGGGCCGAGATTTAAATAGATTGAAATATGATCGCCATTTAATAATTCAATTTAAAATTTAGTTGCGATTGTCAAGTACCGTTGCTACAATAATAAACAATCTATGCTAAACCTTGTCAAATCTTTAAACACTGATAACTTCGCTCAGAATAATGTAATTTAAATGAAATTTTCAATATATTCATTTTTGATTATCTATTTTTGAACTATTGTCGCAAGAACGACCAGCACTTTATCTAAATCTTACTTAATGAACCTTTAGGGTTAACAAGAATACAGATTGAAAAAATGAGAATTTTAAAATCAGACTAAATAATTCTCTCTTTTTTTTAAAAAAAGAAACTGAATTTATTGTTAGGATATATGTTTTTGTAAGAAAGTGATGTATGGACCAGACAATTCACCAATCCGACTTGAAATTATTTTCTCAATATCACACCACCTATAATTTAGTTTTTCCTCTGTGTATTTTGTTGTTGAAATCGAATATAAAGTTACTCCATTTTTTAACACGAATGACTCAGATAAATCATATACTGTAGGTGTTGAAACAGATGGTCTATCTTAACGCCTGTTTTCATTTTTCCATTTCCAGCTACTTTCACATGTTTGAAGCTCAGAAATACTGTAGCATACATGAATGTATTTTCAATTTATTGATTTGAATAAGAATATCAATATTTTGTATTTAAAGTATATATGTTCTACTAGAGAGGTTTTATTTAAAAGTGTATGTTTTTCAAAATGTACATATTGTGTCTACACACAAACAGCTTTTAATACCTCTTGAAATTATTGGCGTGCATATGGACTGTAAATAACGGATTTTAATAATGAGAAGATGTCACAGTTAGTTCTTGTCATAACTCGATATATTGTTAAAGGAAAAACTCAGATTTGTTCTTAAAACATGTTAAATATTTTCCTTTGAGATTTTATTGTCTGAAAACTTAATATTTTTAACAGGAAGAGGAATTGAGTACATCTTATTTTTAATGCTATGAGTTTGAGTGATACATGTAGTGACGTGTTAGTATATTGAATAAGTAGAGAGGAAAGCTATTTCTTAATTTATTTATCAATATAGATCAAATTATGAACTTTTTATATGAATAATATTTTCATATCAACTAACTAAAGGTTTGATATAGTTGTGTATATGGTGGTATTTTAATATACGGGCATGCTCCAGAAGTTAAAATGGGAATAGTTTTGGATAGAATAGTTCATGAATTGGATGGATTTACTGGAGGAAAAGATAAACTTGATGATGAAGAAGAAGAAATTAAAAATAGGCTGTCGTCTGTTGACGGAAACGGCAAGAATCCGAAATCGGAACAATCTCGTTGGGTTATGGTGAAATGTGAAGAGAGTTTTCAACAGACTCATATTCCTGCATGGTTAGAAATAATTGAACAAAATAAGGAACAAAATAATGGTCAAATTGTGGAAACAATTTTCTCTGATAAACGTTGGTCACTTAGTAGTGGTAATAGTGGTACTACTAGCATTAGATCCGATATGGTTCAAAGCGATTCTGGACATGGAGATGAACTGACCAATGAGGTTTTTTCTGATAATGAGTTAGATATGAACTGTGAAGAAACTGAGGTTTGTATAATTGAGCTTAATAAAAATTATTATTACCTCTTCGACATGCAAAGAGTTTTTATAAATTGTTTTGTCCCCCGCCTTTTGAAGAAAGCGGGGGACTATTCAATTGGGTCAGTCCGTGCGTCTGTCTATCACACTATTGTGGACACAATAACTCCAATTAAGGTAGAATACAAAACTTGGTGTTAGTGTTTATTAGGTGCATGTATTGAGTTAGATGATGAGCATTTCTGTTTAGGCTAAGCAGAGTGATAATCAATTTGATAGGTCAAGACTTGAACACAATGACTTTGATTCTAATTCAGTGAGAGTCATGAACCTTGGTGTATAGTTTCATTGCCTTGATTAACTTCAATGATGAGCATTTTCTGCTTAGGCTTAGTAATAGTAGAGACTTCAATTTCAAGAACAGTATCCCTTCTTCTAACTGAGGTAGAATGTTCAAACTTGGTGTAGGTGTTTATAAGTTCAGTGCTGAGCAATTTCTGCTAAGGGTAATTAAGCAGAGAGGGATAAACAATTTGATTGGTTGAGGCACGGAACATGCTAACTTTGATTCAAATGGTGAGACTTGGGAGTGTATTTTAGCCTAAAATAATTATTTTGGAATTGAGGTGTTGGCTGTAGAGAATACAGAGTTAAAAGTCAAATTTACTAACTGACAGGATTAGATTTCTTTATTTTATTGTAAGCTTCCTAATCCCTTTTAGTTTGTAATTTTAAAAGTACGACTCATAAGACATATGTTTTAAGTTTACCATAAGGTTTCAAGATAACCTAGTTAACTTCAAGAGATTATATATTAATATAAATGGATATTTAAAATTTTGTATATGAATGCTTTCAATAGAAACCTTGCTTCTGAAAAAGTGTTCCTTGTTTATGTAGAAAGATGCAAAATATTGTAACAAAAATAGCATATGAAACATTTTTGATTCATACATGGGTGTGTCAAACTAAACCCTATTGAAAACATGTCTTTAATAGCAAAGATGGTTTATTTTGAAAAGATGTAAACTGAGAAGCAATAAACACACTACTGATTTGACTTGAATTGATTATTATGGTGATTGTAGGCTGGACATTTACTAACATGATAAAATCAACAACAACCCACAGAGGCAATAACAACATTACCGTACACTGAAACGTAGGCACAAATAGTAAAAATGGAAGTCGGTAATAGCATTGAGTCAGAATTGGTCCTATGTATGACTGTCTGACATGCAGTCCGGCATAGTCCATGATGAACAATGTTGGCACCGTTGAACCATGTGGAACCCTCGCAGTAGCAGCAGCTGGGAGTGTGCGATGCGGCATGTGTTGCCCGATAAAGACACGGTTTTGACTAGTCGTTGTTTGAAACAATGGCCAGTTGGGCAATGGCTTTGGTACTTATGCCCTATAGAATTAATGCAATGGCACCTTCTTGTTGAGGTTTCAACCGCTGCATTTTAGATTGATCTCTCAAATGATATTTACAATTATCCATTTATAAAAGTGGTGCATTTTCATTACATCTTGGTATATAACTAATATTGCTACATACACCTCACGAACAGCTTAATGGATTTAAATTTAGGTAACAAATTTGCATTAAAATCTAGTCACGCCCGACTAGACAAATGAAGTAAATTGAATGTCACTGAAAGCTTTTACAGTGAATTTTGGGTTGACTCTTTTTATTCACGATTGGTTCGGGTTTTTAAAATTAAGAATAGCTATTGTCATTGGAAAAGAGATACTAGATTGCTGTTTGTTTCCAAAAGATCTTGGTTAGGTTGTGGAATTATGAAACCCTTAATCAGTATATATTCTGACAATTATGAATAGGAGTAGGTGTAAGAAATTTTTTGAAAAACTATTTTCTAGAGTACATTATTTTCTAGAGTACATTTTCATGTTTCTAGCTTATGCACAAATTTAGCATGATGCAATCTTACTAATTCATCAAAAACAATGTAAATTCAGGACTTAGACATCCCTTCCCTCACCCCAACCCCAACCCCACTCCACAGATACAGAAACTTCTTTAAGATCCAACGAGCTTACGCCTACCATACTCACTCAAATTCTCACTCTCATATTTTACTGAATTACTAATAGAAAGTACTGGTACTGTTTATTTAGGCCAATTGGCAGAAATAAGCTTTTGAAAAAGGTTTAATTGGTTTGAATACAAACAGTAATTAAAATGCAAAAATGTTAATGAAAATATATTTTTTGTTGAATCTATGGTTAAGAATTGATTTGAACTAATGTCATTGTCTGGGTACATTCCTGAAATAAAAACTGACATTCATGGTCCCGGTCTATACATAAAAGAACTATTAATAATTGGCACAGTATAAACAATTAATATTACCATATTGTATTTCCAGTAAGAAATGATAATTGCAAACATTATTATATAAACCACTGTTGATACTAGACCTATTTCGTTTTACTTTCTGGATTTTAATTTGTGTATTAGACGTAATAATCTTGCATGAAGGTGTACATGACTAATATTAAAACATTGTGTGTCAGTATGCTATGCATATTGGACAGCCATATTTTAAAGTTTTAACTGTGATTTTCATAGTCATATCTGTGGCTATGAAATCATTCAATACAGATGTATTTAGATTTCAAATAAATAGGGATTAGAACATGCTTGATTGACAAATGAAGACAAGGTCAATTGACAGTAAATGTGCTTCAGTTGGTGGGTTTTTATTTCCAGTCAAGTGTCTTTTCTGTACTTGAATTTTGCTTTCTCATACACATGTTTTCGGATGTGGATGAATAGATCTTAGTTCTATTATATATTGTCTAGGTAAGAATTCAAGTACATGAAAACTATAGGTGTTTCATACTGGATGTAATCTGAACCAATGACTTCTTTTGATGTCTTTTGTAATAATTACCACATATCATCTTTTTCATTCATAAATAATATTTTTGTGTTGCTTTGATGTATGTAGAAACTGGATTCAATAAGACATAGTTTATTACATTTACGTCATAGATTTGTGAATCTATGAAGTAAGTAATTGTTATCACCAGGTACATTTGATAACCTTGATGATATACATCTTGATCAGAGTAGAAATTGCAATATGAATGAATGTGAAATTATATGATGTTTGTATATATTTTATAGAGTGGATCTATTATGGGTGATGGTAGTGAAGATGGGTATAGAGATAAATATTCCTGGTCACATCATGCTAACGGAGGGTAAGTTTTATTATACGCCCAAATTTTAATGTTGTTAACATTGTAATCCTTATTCCAGTCTGTCTGTCTACCCGTTCAATATTTCTTTATGTACATGAATGTTTAAGATTTCTGATAATTATTTCCATAGTTATTTGCCATTGTTGTAGAATCTTGTGTATGCTCTAAGTGGCAAAATATAGGAGTAGATGTTATTTTTTATTTCCTTTCTTCACTAGTTAGATATTGACTTCAAGTTGAAGGAAAATCCAGACAATCTACATTTTATAATCATGGGCTAATTCATTTTCATAAGCCATCTAATAATTCTGGATCACATGAGCTATAAGTTTTTCCAAATATTGTATGGGGTAAAGTTTTTGTCCGATCTTTACATAGAATTTATATGCATAAATATTGGTAGCATTATTGCTTTCTATTAACACAGGTATATAGCTTTAAAAATAAGGTCAAGTGGCGTGGTTTTGATTCCTCGCTTGTACATGACAAGGAGTAGGGTCACCTGTCAAACCTCGTTGGTTTCCTCCGGTTTCCTCCCACTGCTAAAGACCCCTACGCGCAAGAAAATTATTGAAATAAAATTGAACCATATGTTAGTCCCGAAGTGACTAGTTTGTGTTGAGTGGATGTTAAACCCCATTTCTCTCTCTCTTTCTCTTAAAAATAAGGAGTGTAGTATTGAGTAGGTGGTAACAATAAGTCATTATATGTTAATTTTTTATGTCACTAATAATGTTACATGTGGATATTGTATAAACTAAAGTTTTGTGTCCTTTAACTACAGATTATTACTCATGGTTTAATTCATGGCCTTCAATAGCAGACCTTAAATTTTATGTTTTTATAATAATAATACAGAAGTCGTGTATAATTATTTAATCCATAAATCCACAATCTAAAATTTGTTTGAACGTAGTCTGTCATATAAGTACCTTTTCAGCAGGAATGGAAGCTGTGATTAATTTTAAAAAATACAAGTTGAAAAGACCATTTCTCAGAGGAGTCTGCAATGTGGTATGTGGAAGTGGACACTTAATCAGTTGTTATATATGAACATTCTTAGAATCAGACAGAATGGAATATAATTCAAAAATAGTTTTCTGTAATGTATTTTTTAAATTTCCAGTCCCCCAGAACACAATCCATTTTACACAAGTATAGACAGTATGCCAGAAGTCAAGTTACGCCGGAAGTCCATACCGCTTGTAAGCGAATTGGTAAGTCATTATTACTATGTATAAGTTTTTGTAAATAATGGTATGCACTGTTTACCCATCTTGACAGTAAAACCTCCAGACTAATGTTCATATGACATGGAGATGAATTTATATAAGCTTTGGCTTGTTTTCAAATTCATTATATCAGTATTGTATATACTCATGCCGTACTGGAAATAATATATTGTTTAATTAAACCAATTTGACATTTGAAATCTCAGATCTCTCTTAGTTTTTATAAGTAACCATTTTTGATTGGCTCTCTGTCATGTAATCATTATGGGCACTGTACATTGATACATGTTGTACTGCCGGCATTCTGCTACTACATTGAGAACAATTGCAGATTTTTGTTCCATACTAAGACTTGATCTACTTTAGAATGGCTATATAAAATGATTTTCCTTTCATTTCTTCTATTTACACTTGTATGGCCTGGGAGCTGTGAAGTGAAACTGTCAAGACTGGAAAACAGTGTTATAATTCTATCTCGTGAGCTGTATGTTAGGCGTTCAGTGTGGTTCATATATCATATCATGATTGGAGTATAATAAAGCTTTTATAAATCCCGTTCCTTATCACACCATGATCAATGTTTTATACTGCACAGCCATCTTCCCAATATATACAATGTTCATTATATACAGTTGTATGGTACACGTACAAGTGAAAGTCGTAAGCGATCACATTATATTCAAATGTCTATACCTGTGCAAAGGTCCATCATGTAAATGCATGAAATTATTGGTATCTAGGGATGCTTCTGCTTTTGAAATGTATCCTAAATTTTGTAATATATGATGTATATATGATATAAGCTATTGTAAAACACATTTCTTATTTCCCCTCCATAACAGGTATTGAAGGTATATTGTTTTAACCCATTGTTTAAATTCACTTTTCAATTTAGTGTTGTAAACATTTAGTTGTAATGTAGTATAGTTTGCCGTAGCTTTAAAGGCTGTTCTTGTTAGCCCATGTTGGATGTTTTCTGTACTGTCACGGCTCTGAGCCATAAAACTTCTTTTTACTCATTTTGTATTAAAAATTTTATTGTTTTTTACCCAAGTGCAATATGCTGTTCAAAATGACATGGATACTTTTCGTTCGGTATACATGTGTATTATGTCAAACCAGTCAAAGAATTGGAGTCAGAATGTTGTATTTTAGACATAAGTTAAAGATTTTGAGTAAAGTAAAGTTTTGTGGCCCCAAGCTCATAGACTAGGAGCCCAGTGGGTCAACCTAGCTGAAAAGTGTACCAATTTTCTCCTATATGGTATCAATGCATGTATATCTGGTATCTTCAGAATGTAAGTCTACTGGGTTTCTGGTGGTGGGTGTGGTATTCCACGCCCAAAATGCAATGCCCCCCAACTAGGCTAGATTAGCTCAAAAGTGTACCACATGAAAATCGTACAGCAGTGTGCCGTACATCTTCAGATATTCCCAAAAACACTCTGACAGACATTTCTACTGGTGGGTTACCCCTGACAGAGCTATGTAATTGCAAGATATTTGTAGTGGTGGAGTATCCCTGACAAGAGTTATCTAATTTCCAGACCACAGCTAGACTAGATTAGCTGAAATCTGTACCACCTAAAACAGCTTTGGAGTTGTTCAGTACCACGACGGGAATCATGAATGACCACTGCCAGACAAAATGCCACGCCCCCAACGAGGCTAGATTAGCGGGCATTGTTCCTGTGTTTTAAAAAATTAAAATTTTAGCCAGGATGCGTAGAATACTAATACCTAGTCTGGAAAATAGATAACTCTTGTCAGGGATACTCTACCACTACAAATTTCTGGCAATTACATAGCTCTGTCAGGGGTACCCCACCACTAGAAATGTCTGTCAGAGTGTTTTTGTAATACCTGAAGATGTACGGTACACTGCTGTACGATTTTCATGTGGTACACTTTTGAGCTAATCTAGCCTAGTTGGGGGGCAATACCACACCCACCACCAGAAACCTGGCAGACTTACATTCTGATGATACCAGATATACATGCATTGATATGATATAGGAGAAAATTTGTACACTTTTCAGCTAGGTTAACCCCCTGGGCTCCCGCTCTATCATACCAACAACACTAAATTATTCATACCTTGAGACTATTTTGGGCTACAGGTGTTATCTCCATGTAGCTTGTTAACATCCCACGAAGCTCACTAATCAGATCAATCAATGTGTATGGTTTAAATCGATGCAACTGGACAACTGAGACACACACTATCAGATTATCGCAATACTTAGTTTTTCATAGATTGGACAGAAGGAGCAGAAATAAAGTGTTGGGCAGAATTTTTACAATTAGTAATGTCTCAATGTAATCCCCTATCAACATGACTTGCAGATTCAAATCAAAGACCTACAACAGTGGCCTGCGCCTACCCTCATAAAATGAAATAAAATAGTAGAATAGTTAGGACTAAATCTTAAGGGTAAAACACACCACTGCTCAAATGAAGAAGAAATGAAAAAAATTGAAAATAATTCTTGATGTTATAGGTAAGGACTGTAAAAGGTCAAAACTCAATATTCTTCACATAAAACATGTGATATCATCACTATTAACTTCGTTGTACAAGCTGTCCTATTTAAATTTGAATAAAAAGTTTATTTCATCTGTTTTGACATGTTTAAAATATCTTCCTTTCCCACATTTCTCACTACAAGACTCAGTGATTGAGTCTTGGGGGCATTCAATCAAGGGGTTAGCTCGGGGCATCATTGAACCTCTGTACGCCACTGCAATCAAATTACGTGTACCAGTATTACACATACCAAGGTAATAAAGTTTAGGTTTTAGCTTTTCAGAATTTTTAACGGATTCAGAAAACACTATAATAACCTTCTCGGATAATTTTAAATGCATGTAAAATTTAAATGAATTGTTATTGTTGTAAGAAAATAAACATCACTAAATGTATAATTTTTTTGTGTAAATTTATTCAGTACCTGGATGTTCTTGTCCATTCTTTAATTACTTTAGTGTTGAATCATTGGATGTCATTGCATGATGATAAAAACAAAATAGAACTATAATTACACAGTTTACCACAGATCTAGATTTTAGAAATTGAGTTCATCAAATGATTTAGTTATAGAAATAGCGGCACCATATTTTATCTTCATAGTTACTGAACATTTTGAATGATAGTTTATTATTAATAGTATATTATTCAATGGTAATTTATCGTAATAAGAGTTATGATTTTATCTTCTGTGATCTGGAGTCTTAGTCCTAAAAGTATCAGTTTTGTTAAATTTTAAGCAGGGCTTTTGTTCATGGGCTATGACTTGAAATAAGATTAAATTTGAGCTCTTAGTTGAAAAGGCATTATATTTTGTATTTTAATGTTTTGAAACTTGAGTGATCAATCGCATTTTTTGCTCAAGACAATTTATTTTTATTAGCATTGAAGAATATTGATGTTAGTCAATTCTATGATAAATATATACTCTTCAAAAAAAGTAGGGGATATTCAGAAACAATACAAAATTGCGGAAATGCACTGGCCCACTCCTCTTGCAGTGCCATGGCCAATTCTTGCAGTGTTGTCGGTTGATGTTGACATCGACGAACACGTCTGCCGATCAAATTAAACGTAACACACTAAAGCAAAGATATGCTTAACAGTAAATCTTATGCAAGAACATGGATAGATAAACCAGGATGAGGCTGTATTCATCCACCATTCCTTGAAGTGTCAAATTTGATAATGAACCCCTCCCATGTGTATGGCACTATAGCGTGTCGCATGTGCAGCTCAGTGGTTCTGTTAGGGCGATAAGTTCTTCATCTGTGAACATACACTCAAAGCATGTCAAGTGTCCATGATTTTTTATCATATCACAACCTGCATAGGTATTTGCATTTCAATATCCCCAACTTTTTTTGAAGAGTATATATATAAAACTATGTAAAGAATGAGGATCTGGAATTAGTAGATTTGTTAACAGTAAAGATTATTTTAGCGAAGGTGACCATAGTTTAGAAATCATGATGAATATTACAGTAGTTAGAAAATATAAAATCTTAAAATATTTTAGATCTCTGTTAATTTAATTTTGATGCATCAACGAATTCATTCATTATCTGTATATCAAGTTTCTGGATATGAATTAAATTCATCAAGAAAAAATACCATTAGATGGAAAACTTCCTTTAAAATAAACCAATTATGTTTTTCATCTTCAGGTAGTTCCTTTAATTAGTAATTTAATTTGAGCCCAGTAATTTTTTCTTACAATTTTTAGTTAGTAGTTACAGAAGTATAACAACATGATCTTTATTATCTTAGCATGACAAAGTTTTTACTTTTTCAAATTTTACCAGAAAATTCTATATATTATATTCTACTTTAGCTATTTAAAAAAATGTTGAAATTACGAGCCAGGCCTTTCACAAATGTATCACAATATGAAATTATGACGGTCAATATTTTCAATCTAAATTGATATTTCTTTCAGTTAGACTACTGTTATTTCTATTTGTATGAAAAACAAACTTTCCATCATTTAATTCATTAAGAATTGTGTTAACATCAAATATTTGATGGTCTGGAACTTAAGTTGCTGATTAAACAATTCATTCCAAATTTTTTATTGAAAAAATTCCCTGGAGATGAAGAATAATTCACATTCATTTATCCTTGGATAACAATTACTATAGTTGTATTACACTGTGACGTTTCAGCAAGATTCCACAAGTCATCTTCAAGCATATAAACCTAAATTTAACATAATGTAATAAACTACACAGTAATGTTGTCCATAAATACTATTTTATTTGACCATATCCAATCATTCATTACCCATAAATGTAGGTTTTTTTCACAATATATATTGTGGATTTTACATTATATTTCAAAAATAAGCAAACCGACATATTCGTCTTTTTTTTTAAGATTGCGACACAGCTTTTAGACACAATACACAGTATTGACTTTAGCACTGATTTCACAAATAATGGTTGTTAAAGAGAAAGTTAAAGATGCATTATGTAATAGCTAAATCTGCCTATTGCAGGTCTTTATTTTGGCTTCAAGTGAAATATTAACTATTATTTAGATATTTATTCACATTACAAGTCTATAATCAACACTCTAGATCATCGTATGGCAGAGATTTAAATTGATTAGAACACCTGCAAGATTAAAAAATTTAATGATAAAATGGATAATCAAGACTTAGTCTTGTTTGTCCTGTACCTTTGCTATGATAATAAACAATCTACTCTACATTTTCAAACACTTTAAACTTTGCTCTGAATAAAGTAATTTGAATGAAATTTTCTTTGTATTCATTTTTCATTATCTATTTTTGAACTTTTATGACAAGAGCGACCAGCTATGAATCTAAATCTTACATAATGCATTTTTAAGTGGAAAGGAAATATAAAAAAATTCCCAATGAATCTGCTGTGTAAGAGAAATATGCGATATTAGTTGATTGAAATATAAATTTTATGCTAGTGTATTTTGATCTTTAGCATGTTGATTGTCTAAGAGACGTTTAAAAGTTAGTAAGGGTAACTTATTAAAAAAACTGTTCATCGTTGACAGTTATAAAATCTGAAATATTTAACTATTGGAAATACTTTGAGAAAGATAATTTATGAACGTTAATTGTTAAAACAAACTGTCTTCACATAGACATTAAAATATGTGATAATGTCTTAAAGTATTGTGGAAATAATTCTTTCCAAATGCATCATAAGAAAGTGAAATGATGCATAATCCGAGAATTGGTAGTTTTTGTCATGTCAGTATTTGTCTCTCAATTTAATTTTTATTTTATGTTATGAATTTGTATAAAAAGGGAAATATTTTTTGAACTTTCAAAAATTTTTCTTTTAATGTATTATTCTTTCTTTATATCAGTAAGATGTTAAACTTCATTTCATTTTATTTTCTTTATGATATGAATTTATATAAAGATAAAAATATTTGTTCAAACTTGCCGGATAATTTGATAGACTTGCCATTAAAAGTGTTAATATTTTGTTTGAATTTCACAAGAGTGTGAAATATGGCCTGGATGCTGGTTGTTTATAGACATATTGTTATTTAAATTCTTTGATTTCTTGATAATATTGTGGGGTGGGCAGAGAGGAGTTAATGAATTGAGATGTCATATTACAGTAGTCTCTCAACAAAATGATAATGGATCTACAACGTAAAGCTAATCTGTTGGCTTTTTTTCAGAGCATGGCAGCAAAGCGCAATGCTGGAGTACCATCTGCCATGGTTGCCAGACAGTCATTAAATGATGAGGAACTGGTAAATATAGTATTTATTTTTCAATTCTTTCTTTGCTCTACTATTCAGGTAACTTAAATGGGTGTGGTAGTTTTAGTCCAAAGCATACCCGAAGGTGGGATTGAGGGTAAGGGATAATGGATCAGAGGCCACAGTATTAGAGATAAACTATCATGGGTTTTCCAGAAGGGGTAATGTCGGGGATGACAAGAATAGTGCTCCAATAGTTGTTTAAAGTTGACTGAAAATTAGTTGCAGACCTCCACAAAGTAATTGTAATTCCAGTGATTACTTTTACAAAGTAATTGTAATTCCAGTCTATATTTTCCGCACCAAATAGGCTAATGACGTCAGGCTTATGCCATGCAGTGTGCTTTGAGCGAAAATTTTACCCGGACAGTGGTGCTACAGCCTGATCTTATTTTGAATTCCAACTTTCAAATCTTTTTTTACGTGCACACCAACGTGTACACAGGGCCTCTGGTTTTTTTTTATCCCATCTGAGCATCTAGATCCTTGCCAGGCCCTCTGTCTTGCACCATAATAAAGGAACTAGCACCTTACCCACTGATCCTCTTCAGCTCCACTTAAAATGGAAAGTAAACATTTTTTGGAGTGTGTGGATGTGATGTGTTCGCCGTATGAATCGACAGTATTATCCAAAGTTTTAAGAAAACATTTACCTCTTTTAGTATCTAGGTAGAACCCTTTCTATATTTGATTACAAGTGTCTCACAAACCTTTTAAAGATATATTCCTTAAAACATAATTAGATCATATATTCAGCACACAAAAATTATTTTAACTGAAAGTATGATATTCTTAATAACCAGGAAAAATAGGATTATAAACACATTTTGCTTTAGATAACCCACAATAAATAAGTTAATTATTATAGATAATCAACCACTGATTTGCCAATCGTATGTCAGTGTCATGTTATCCATAATGACTACCGGTAATGTGTTATAATTTGTAATATGTAAATGTAACAAATATATTTTCCTGGTAGTATGTAGGATCGCTATGAAATACAACTTAAAACTGTAGATAGGAATTTTCTTGATCTATTCAGATTTATTATCAGGATATGATCAAACTTCAAACATAAACTGCATTTTTTAAAAAGAAATGTTCATAATAAATAGATACACATCAGCACAAGGGTTATTCAATATAAGTGAGTATATAAATGAAGGGAGTAGGTAGACAACCCTGATTAACATCTATATTTCTTAGTGGATGAAATTTAAGTTGCGTGCATGGAATGAGTTTTAGGTTTTGAAACACTTCATGAAAAATATTTATCATCCACTGAAAATATTATCGAAGGTGTGCTTTACCTAGAAATTCAGATGATTAAAACAAAATAAATACCATCTTAATAGAAATGAGTTATATCTCAGTCGTTCAGGATGGCAGTGTCAAAACAACAGGAAATAATGTAAACTTTAGGTGGTCGATTTTAAAACTTTTTGATCAGTATGCTTTTTGGTAGACTCAAGAATATTGTTGCTTTAACAAATAAAATATATATTTGTATCGATGCTCACTGTGTTATCTATATTACAGATAAGTAACAATACCAAATAGTTTATTTATTCAATTTTAGTTCATTTTCTTGAAGAAATAGTTTATTCAATTTTAGTTCATTTTCTTGAAGTTTTTCATTGCTTTGCCATACCAAATTCACACAAAATATATATGCATCATACTTAAGATTCTACTCCCTTAATTTCACCAACCAGGATTTGAAAAAACCTGGTTTTGTGGGGCTGTTAGTAGCAGTCCTTTGTTAAAGGACAACGATGCAGAGTCAACTACATCTGACGTATTCACTGACGTCAGTACAATATGCACATAGGATGGGCTGGCTATTGGATTGTTTCTATAGAATACTGTGATGATGGGATATCCTTATTATAAACATTTTATTTCTCACAAAAAAAGTTAGTCTTGTGTATAGTGCAAACTAGACACAACGAAAAAAACAACTTTCTTATGGTATCAAATTTGAGATATACATGTAAAGAGATTTTAAGGTTTTTATAAAATGCTCCGGCTCAATCCAAGTTATTATTACAGGTATTAATTTTTAGCATTATCTTTTCAGAAAATGCATGTCTACAAGAAAACACTTCAAGCATTAATATATCCAATCTCCAGTACTCGACCACATAATTTTGTGGTATGGTCAGCCACCTCACCAACATATTGCTTTGAATGTGAAGGTTTATTATGGGGTTTAGCTCGACAAGGTGTACGCTGTACAGAATGTGGGGTCAAATGTCATGAAAAATGTAAAGATTTGCTCAATGCTGATTGTCTTCAAAGTAAGTATAAAACAAATTTATATCGTTTAATTGAAAAGCAGACGTTAAATTCAGGCTTATTGGTTTCTAGTCTCACCACAGTCTGTCACGATCTTATAATTACTCTTCTATAGTTTGATAAATTACGAATTACTATAATATTGAAATAACATCTTAGATCATAGTTCTCTCAATAAGAAGTCTAATATGAATGAGACTTGATGGGATAGTGTGTGTTAATTGTAATATCTCAATTCATGTATAGGTATTAATTAAAATTTATAAGCCTCTTGTTTCTGTTTATAAACTTTCTATCTAGGGGTAACACCTTCAAGAATATAAATGTGAAGGTGGACCCATGAAAGACAGACATGTTAGGTAGGAGATACAGATAACAGGCTACACTTACGATTGTTATTTGCTGTATCTACATAAGTTCTATAATTAGTTGAATCAAGTGTTTATATTCTATGAATAAAAAGAAACCAATATGATGAACTGTCAACAACGTTAAGAACCTAAGCTGGTTACACTAGCACCAAAATAAAACATCATATACTATAACCGTAATAAGATATTTGTTACCAGAGACATAATAAATTATTTTCATCATATGATATTGTGATTAACATGTGGACAGTCGTCATCGACATCTTATTAGTCTGTTATGCACAATATCCGTACTTTGGTGTGACAAACTGAATGCTAAACCAAAAGAAGACAATTAAACAAAGACAAAGTTATTAATGTTTAGTGATGATGTTAAAGTAATTTGTATAAATAACAATATGAATGTGGATTCAGGAGCTGGTTCAGTTACTTTTAATTCCACAATTACTAAGGAGAGAGAAAGAAATAGGGTTTAACATCCACTTGACACAATCTAGGTCATTTTGGGACTAACATATGGTTCAATTTTATATGCACATATTGGTCTTTAGCAATAGGAGGTAATGAATCAAAACCACTCCATTTAACTCAATGACAGACCTTGTGATTAAACCACTAGACCACCCACCTCCTATAAGGGAATCTTAAGAAAATCTTACCAAATGCAAATTTGTATTAAGGAAAAATCAGAAAAATGTGTAGAATTGTATTGATTATGTTAAGAGATTTTATCCTTTACTATGTCTCAAATGAAATTTTCTCTGTTCAGGGGCAGCTGAAAAAAGTTCAAAGCACGGAGAAGGAGATAAAACACATAATATTATCATGGATATGAAAGAACGGATGAAGATTAGAGAAAAAAATAAACCAGATATATTTGAATTAATAAGGTATGATTCATTTGTTCTATTCTCCTCCTGTTCAAGATTTTCAAAAGTATTACAAAGGAATCAGTGCAATCACAGTATAGCTTCATTTCGTGGACTTCCTCCAAATTGTCAGCATGTAATTTTTTTTATAGATGATTGAAAAGTTTTAGAAATGTAGATGTTTGATTGTAAGCAATATGAAAAAAATAATGTTACTTTCATTTTGTCAGACAAGTATTCAGTGTAGATAAAAAATCACATTCGGGTCACATGAAGGCCGTAAAACAAAGTGTATTAGATGGAACGTCAAAATGGTCGGCCAAAATTGCCATCACTGGTGAGTGAGGTTGTTGTGTAGTTATATTTGCACTTGACCTCATCCCTGCATGACCTTTGAATGTTTGCATTTTATGTTAAATATTTGATCCATGCTTTTCACCTTCAAATATTTTCCTCTCAATTTTTGCATTTTATTCAAATACACACTCAATGTTGTCATTATTTCTTGTATCAATTTATTCAAATATCTTATGTGTGCTATATCATATAAGCTTACTTCTGATTTTTAACGCACAAAGCTTTTTTTTATGGTCATTATCAAAGGACTATTTCTTGTAATTTATTGAATGCCTCAAGGTTTAGATATGAAAACAATTACACTCTATAGGATATAAACAAAGAATTTCTTTAATATTGTGTTAAGTAAAAGCACTGAGTAAAGTGAAGTTCAAAACCTTTAAAACATAGTATTTAACAATTTTTTTTCTTGTCAATGCAATAAAAAAAAAAAATAGGGACAAATTAAAAGGATGTTCATGGAAGTAGAGGAATTATTGTCAATATAAATTGGATGTTAAATAAATATTCACCATATTGAATCTCAAATACTGTGACTTGTAGCCCACATTGTTGTCAACATAAGTGTTGTTTATGTTTGTTTAACAGATCGTGGTTATTCTATTTCTATTTATACTACCTTGACATTAAAGTTATTACATTTAATGATGCAGTGTAATCACCTGTCCTAAAGTTTAATATAGTTTATTTACATTATACACTAATATTATACTTTACAGTATAGTTTATTTACAATATACATCAATACTACATCATACAGCATGGTTCATTTACAATATACATCAATACAATACAATACTGTACAGTATTGTTTATTGACAATATACAATAGCATACTGTACATGTGGGTTATTTACAATATACATCAATATTATACTGTACAGTGTGGTTTATTTACAATATATTATAATGCAAAGTGTGGTTTAAGAGTTCAATAAATCGCAGTAAATATACATGTACTCAACGTTAGTTTGCTACTGTGTAATACAAGTATATTCTATATGTACTGTGCAATATCTATAGTCCAGTATAACACAGTAAATACTCATAGATAAGATTAGTACATTCTAATATACAATGTTTAAAAGTATATTTATCAATTCCCTAATAAGTTTGTATACCTATAACCCATAATTTATGATATAAAAGCTATTTCAGGATATCTCAGAATAAATAGACTTCATAAAATTACATTAATCTTCTGTGTAATATGAGTGTATATTCACTTACAAAAACAACTTTATTAAACACAATATTTCAAATCATGTATTACCTTACATGATGCAACAACAGTAAGATTAAACTCAGTTATTTTTCAAGGTGTTTTAGGTTGTTTAATTTTATTATTATATTCCTTATATTCGTCCACGCCTTTCGAAGGAATGGGTCTGTCCGTCGCACTTTTTTGGACACAATAACTATTGTTCTAATTGAGCTAGAATGTTCAAACTTGGTGTAGGTGTTTATTAGGTAAATGGATTGATGGAGTTTGAAGATGAGCATTTTCTGCTTAGGCTAAGTGGGTACTTCAATCTAATTGGTTGAGACTTTGGAACACAATAACTCCTTCTGATCGCGGTAGAATGTTTAAATTTGGTGTAGATGTTCGTTAGGTGAATGTCTTGACTGAGTATAGTGATAACATTTGCCGTTAAAGCTAAACATAGCTAAAGGTAACTTTGATTCTATCTGATGGAGAGTGATGACTAAGATCGATCGTGAACAATTTCTGCTTAGACTAAGATTAGATAATTAGTTTGATTGCTTGATACTTTTCAAAAAGGTGCAATTAATTAGTATGTGTCATCTATATTTTTGAGATATTAGCGATGGACTTTAGCCTCACTTTTTTCCTATTTTACCAAACTTACTTTATATACCATCTCACAACTTTTATCATTGTTTTGTGTTCTCATTTGTGTACGGTAAACACTGATCTTATCACTTATGTTGTGTGCAAAATCAGAACCATATATATATGCAACAAAATAAAGATATAATCTGAATTAGATTGATTGTTATTTCATTATGACATGTAATTTAATGAAATGAGAAGAAATATGACTGTTGTTAGATACTTGTATAGTTGTTGTATGTTGTTTTGTTGCTTGTTGTAGACTAGTAGTTTTCTTTCAGACATATGTTTGTGGTTGACCCAACATTGCATGCAGGACATACAAAAGCTGCTAAGCAAATTGTTTTAGATGGAACTTCAAAATGGTCTGCCAAGGTGGCCATCACAGGTAGCCAATACATATTTCTGGGAATATTCTGGTTTTTCTATTATTTTTAATTGAATATTATTTGCATAAATACTTTTCGCTTATTGTATAATTTTAATAAAAGATTATCCAGTTTATTGACTTAAAAAACCTGGCTCTTTACCTAGAAAAAACATTTAATAAAAGGTACCTTATCGTGGTACATACAGTGAATTATTATCCTAGAAAAATGCTGACATGTGCTCATGGTTAATTAACTCTGTTTTACCAACGCGGTAAAATAGTTAAACTTGTTTGGCTTATATTACGTGTGACCACTACACACCTCTGTCTAGTGTTTTTAAACTAGTTTAAACAAACGCATCTGAACGACCTATTAGTTTACATTGTAGCATATTATAATATTGTGTTGTAATAGCATGCAAATGAGAATAATTTAATGGTTAATATCTGTTAAACTGTTCTTTAATTTTTCTCTTCGCACTTTGATTAATGTTTGTTTTGTATTATATTTTATTAGTTTAAACATTGTTATATATTTTGGTAAAATACTGGTGCCATAACTGAAAAATAAATTCAAATAAACATAATTTGAAATATATTGAAAAGTAGATAAATGATAATGTTGTTTGTTTTAAATATAAATGTGCATTTCCTAATAATACAGTTAAATATTGTGAATATTAAATACATATTATATATTTTATATAGGTATTAGATGTTATGTGTATATATATTATACCATGTATTATGATATTTACAGTGATAAGTGCCCAGGGTTTAATTGGTAAAGATAAAACTGGTACCAGTGATCCTTATGTTACAGTTCAAGTAGGAAAAGTAAAAAAACGTACAAAAACTGTTCCACAAGATCTGAATCCTTTCTGGAATGAGAAATTTTATTTGTAAGTATTCCCTATCAATTCATCAACTGTTGTTGGAATCAGCTAAATTGATATATTGCAGATAGTTTTGAATTTTATTCCAGATTAGAAAAGAAACGTATAACCAATCAAAGTAACAAAATTGAGGCTTCTATATTTCTAAATAAATTACATTGGTACTAAATTATGAAGGGAAATTTAATGTATTGTAAAGTAGTAGAAGTTTATATTAAATGTGTGTATGTTGTCTATATTTTTAGTGAGTGCCATAATTCATCAGATAGAATTAAAGTTAGGGTTTGGTAAGTAGTTAAATTTAGACTTCCTTTATAACTGTATGAAAAGCAAAATGCAAAATACCAAAACTGAATAGATTTCTTCTTTGATTGGCATTTAGTAATTGAACATATTAACACAAGGTATAATTTTATGGATACACAATTACTGAGTTTAATACTAAGCGACGTTTCGTCGAGGATACTCTCATCGTTATCAAGCAAATGATACGGGTATTGTACGTTGTGTTAAATGAATAGTTATCTACCTTTTCCATGTGGTAAATGACAACCATGGAATCTATATAAAATACTTTTTGAAATAATAACAACAGACGTAACATACACTGTGTTTTTAATGTAACCACATTTCATTGTGGAACTGACCAGCCTCGTTGCCAGACTATTTCTTTCGAGTTACAAGTTATTCTGCTGTGAAAAGTCGTTTGAAAGAATAGTGTTAAAGCAATAACAATATCTAAATTTCCTTGCTGATATTTCCTAATTGATACATCATTATGAGTATTTTAAATAAGTTATTTTAATTTATTTGTTATTGTTTCTAGGGATGAAGATAATGATTTAAAATCTAAACTTAGACAGAAATTAACGCGAGAGTCAGATGATTTCTTAGGTCAAACTATTATAGAAGTTAGAACACTCAGTGGTGAAATGGATGTGTGGTATAATTTAGGTAAGTGTTGATATCAATTAACAGGACAGTAGTTAAAGGGAGAAATCTTGAGAAAAATTATGGATATTACAGAGGCAAAGACCACTAATTGATATGTTCCTTATTAATTACAATATTACGTTTATTTTACCCTGTCATGTGCAGGCTGCATTCAGATGGCTGACATTTTACTGGTTGACAGACAAAAATATTTGTTTTGTTTAATTTGAATGTCTTAGATCTATCATATGTTTCCTGGTCATTAGAAATATAATTTTAAGATAAAGATAGATTTTGAGGGTTGAATGGGTGACCTTAGTTATAAACCTTAAAGGCGCAATACCACTCTTGTTGTAACTGAATAATATGTCCCAATCTTTATTCTGGTCAACAAATTGTACTATTTTACAATATTCCAATTAATTGATGATACAAATTTCATCTTAACACACCTAATTTAAAAAATTGGAAAAATTCAACTAAATGTTTTGAAAAGCCTGACGTAAAGCTTTTCAAATGTGACTTGGATTTAAAAATATTTTTGAACCCTTTGGACAAGTAAAATAGGATTTAATAGATAATTTACACAACAGGTAGGACACTAACACATCTAGTACTTAGAATAAGGCTATTTTTTTATTATCTGGAGCTGTTAAACCCCATCTATCTCTTTGTTTAATATACAATCATGATATATGAGGTCAGTATATGACTTTAACATCATTACCCTGGACTTAGTATATACAGAGGTTTTCTCACCCTCTTATAGGGACAATAAGTCGAGTGGATGTCAAACCCCATCTATCTCTTTGTTTAATATACAATCATGATATATGAGGTCAGTATATGACTTTAACATCATTACCCTGGACTTAGTATATACAGAGGTTTTCTCACCCTCTTATAGGGACAATAGTATATACAGAGGTTTTCTCACCCTCTTATAGGGACAATAAGTCCCTATAAGAGGGTGAGAAAACCTCTGTATATACTAAGTCCAGGGTAATGATGTTAAAGTCATATACTGACCTCATATATCATGATTGTATATTAAACATAAGAGGGTGAGAAAACCTCTGTATATACTAAGTCCAGGGTAATGATGTTAAAGTCATATACTGACCTCATATATCATGATTGTATATTAAACAAAGAGATAGATGGGGTTTGACATCCACTCGATCCAAACTAGGTCATTTTGGAACTAACATGGTTTATTTTTATATCAATAATTCACTAGCTCGTGACGGTCTTTAGCAGTGGGTGGAAACCAGAGGACCTGGATAATACCCACAACATTGGACAGATGACCCTACTCCCCGTCACGTACAAGCTTGGCATTGAAACTATTATTCAAAGAGCTTTGAGACTTCCTCCATTTCATTCACACAATCGATTAAATGCACCATTCTGTAATTAATTACCATGACTAAATAAAGATATTATTTGTGTTATATTCATATTTCTGTTTTAACTTAACATGTTGTTGTGTATTTTCAGAAAAGCGTACAGATAAATCGGCTGTATCCGGTGCTATTCGTCTTCATATTAGTGTAGAAATAAAAGGAGAAGAAAAAGTTGCACCTTATCATGTTCAATATACTTGCCTTCATGAGGTATGTTAAATGTAGGAATTATTCAAATGTACAAATATTGTATAAAACAGTTTATTTGCTAAAGCCATGCATAACAGATATAGTCTGGAGAACATATTTTGTCAGTATTAATCCTATCTTGAGCAGTTGTAATTATTTTTGCTGACTGGTTATTATTTCATATTTAACCTGTTTATTATTTTCCTTTTTTTTCCAGAATTTATTTCATTACCTATGTGAACAGGCTGGTGGAGAAGTGAAACTACCTGATGCTAAGGGGGTAGATAAACGATTTGTATGTATATGCATGCACATGTAGCATGTTTTTCTTCCCTCATTTGATTTCATAACATGGTTAAAGTATACAAACATTTTTGTAAGAGTGGCATTTTTAGCAGAGAGGTTATTGGACTATGGTCTAGCCCACACTACTTTGGGGCTGTTAATCCACACTCAATAACTTGCTTCTCTTAAACAAAATAATGCTACCATTTGATATTAGTTTAAATAATTATAATTTTGTATAGACACCTCCCATTTTGGAAATCCTGTATGTATCACTGTTTGATGCTCAAATGGAAAGCAAGGTTAAATTTTGTGGTGCTGGTTGGAAAAATCTGATATCAATGGGGAAAACATTCAATCGTAACATGGTATAAAATAATTATACTCTTTTCGGTCACCAGTAGAATAAAATTGGAATGTTATGAATTCAAATTGATAATTTTAGTTGTGCTCTTAATTCATGTATATATAACATCGCTGATTTGTAAAATGTTAATCCCCGCTTTTTTACACCTGATATTTAAAGCCATTTCATCTGTATACTTATTTACAAATGTTAGACTCTGTGATAGATTAAGTGTCAAATGTTTTCACCTATAGAAAATCATTGATACCATTTTCTTACTATATTCCTTATATTCAGTTCGTCCTTAATGTCATCATGTCGTAAACTTACCCTATAAATATATTCAGTTCACCTTGTTCCTTTCTGCTTTAAAACTTTTGCTAAAAAAATATTTGCAGAATGAACTATGTCACTTGGTTGTGAAATTGATATTCTATATTGTGTTTAGATAAATCTATATATTTGTTTCTATTTATAATCCTTGAGTGGCATTTAGCGATTGAACACAACACAATTTAAAAGGAAACCATTCATGTGTACAAACCAGTGATTATTTTGTCATTTTTATACGCCCACATTTAAATGTGGTTGTATATTGTCGTCGCCCGTCCGTCCGGCGTCCACAAGCACTAGAGGCTAAAGTTAATATCCGATTGACTTTAAATTTATACACAGTGTTTAAGGTCATGAGACGAAGAAGCCTATTGATTTTCAGTGATTTTCGATAATTACTGCCAGAGTTATGGCCCTTGATCACTTCAAAAAATCTTGTGGACGCTCTAGAGGTCAAAGTTAATATCCGATTGACTTCAAATTTATACACAGTGTTTAAGGTCATGAGACAAAGAAGCCTATTGATTTTCACCGATTTCCGATAATTACTGCCAGAGTTATGGGCCTTGATCACTTCAAAAAATCTTGTGGATGCTCTAGAGGTCAAAGTTAATATCCGATTGACTTCAAATTTATACACAGTGTTTAAGGCCATGAGATGAAGAAACCTATTGATTTTCAGTGATTTCCAATAAATACTGCCAGAGTTATGGCCCTTGATCACTTTGAATAATCTTGTGGACGCTCTAGAGGCTAAAGTTAATATCCGATTGACTTTAAATTTATGCACGGTGTTTAAGGTCATGAGACAAAGAAGCCTATTGATTTTCAGTGATTTCCGATAATTACTGCCAGAGTTATGGCCCTTGATCACTTTGAAAAATCTTGTGGACGCTCTAGAAGCTAAAGTTATCATCCGATTGACTTCAGATTGGTACACAGAGTTTAAGGTCATGAGACAAAGAATCCTATTGATCACTTTGAAAAATCTTGTGGACGCTGTAGAGGCTAAAATTATTATCCGTCCGTCCGTCCGGCGTCCACAATTGCTTGTGGACGCTCTAGAGGCTAAAGTTAATATCCGATTGACTTTAAATTTATACATAGTGTTTGAGGTCATGAGATGAAGAATCATATTGATTTTCAACGATTTCGGATAATTACTGCCAGAGTTATGGCCCTTGATCACTTTGAAAAATCTTGTGACGCTCTAGAGGCTAAAGTTATCATCCGATTGACTTCAGATTGGTACACAGAGTTTAAGGTCTTGAGACGAACAAGTATATTGATTTTCAATGAATCTTTATGACTTGAACAGCTAAATCCATGATGTTAAAAGTTTTGTATACTAAACATTAGCATGGGACAGAACTTTATAAAAACCAAACAAATTCTAATGGTTTTCTGATAATTACTTAATGAGTTGTTACTCTTAATCAGATTTTAATGTATTATAAATGTTTCATTACCGAAAAAAGTAAAAATATGCGACAACTCTTGTTGACTGCCCAGACGATATAGCTGCTGTGGGCGTATGTTTCGTTGCCTGGCAACCTATCTTTATTGTTTCTATTTATGTTCACACAAAAGCCTTGGAAAAAAACCCCTTTTATTTATATAATTGTAAAGCAAAATTTCCCTCATAGCACACTGTATGGCGTATGCCCATCTTCATTAGCCCAGGTTAGGAGCAGAACAGTAGGACGTTAAACCCCATTTCATTTCATTTCATTTCTGTAATTGTAAAGACTATTTCCTAAGATAAAAAATTTATCTGCCAACATGGGAAATTAAATAATACACATAGTTTTATAGTTGGATTAAATAAAATGAGAAAACAATTGGTAGTAGTCCAGTTGCCAAACCCCATTTTAAACCTTAACATGGAAATATAGTCCACCTAATGTTTTTTGGTGGATTATATATCTTCAATATCTGTAGATTCAGAATTCGGATAATGCCACCCTGGCACCTTTGGTAATAAAAGAAAATTTAAGATGGCCACCATGAGGCATTTTCTGGTTATTTAGTGGGGTAAAATATGTGACATATACTCTCAGACCTTGGTTTTGAAGATGGGTTTTATAATAATTTAACCCGCAGAATCCAATGAGCTTGGGTATTCCTCCTAAATTTGATGGCTAATTCCGCTAGGGGACCAAATTCAAAATGTAGGTTTATTTTGGCAGGAAACTTATGAAGTTCCCTAAAAAGGTGTGTAATATATTGAAATATAGGTTTTTGGTGAATTATATATCTTCAATATGTGTAGTTTCAGAATCTGGATGATGCCACTTTGGCATCCTTGGGTTAATTAAAATATTCAAGATGGCTGTCATGAGGCATTTTCTGGATAAAGAAAGAGAGAAATGGGGTTTAACGTCCACTCGACACAAACTAGGTCATTTCGGGACTAACACATGGTTCAATTTTATTTCAATAATTCGTGTGTAGGTGTCCTTAGAAGTGGGAGGAAACCGGAGGACCCGGAGAAAACCCACGAGGTTGGACAGGTGACCCTACTCTTTGTCATGTACAACTGGGGAATCGAAACCCCGCCAGTTGACTCAATAACAGACCGTATTATACAGTGCAGCACGCACGTGCTAACCATTCGGCTATCCCCCCCCCCCCCCCCCCCCCCACACACACACACACACACATTTTCTGGATATTTACTTTAATTTAGTGGGGTAAAATTCGGGACAGATTATCTCAGATCTCGGTATGAATGTGATTTCTGTCAGAATTTGACCTGTTGTATCCAATGAACTTGGGTATTCCTGCTAAAAAAAGATAGCTAATTCCACTAGCGGACTAAATTCAAAATGGAGGCTCACTTTTGGGGGAAACTCATAAAGTCCCCAAAAACGCTGTGCAATATATTAAACTATAGGTTTTCGATGTCATTTACTTTTAGATATAAACATAACAACATGTTCCGACCAAAAAGTATTTCAGGTTGAGCTCATATTCAAAATGGTGGCCATATCTGGCAAGACATAATGATATGAATAATGTATTAAACTATAGATTTTCGGGTTCGCCGAATTCATATCTGAATCGTGAAATGTGCCAAGACCGAACGAAAGACCACCATGGTTTCTAAATTCAACAAAATAACTAAGTTTAGTAGACCATGGAAGAAAATAGAACCGGTAATGTAAAAACGTATGTATTACAGGACTAAGAGCACAAATTACAGAGCCATGCGAACAGAAGCTACGGAGAGCGAATTGTCAAGCATAAATAATGATCCACTATGACACCCATCCGTGTCACCTTCTCCACTAGACAACAGAGTGAAATTATTTGATTGTGTTTGACCCTGTATAATTTGTGTCTTTAAAAGAAAATAAGGGAAAGAATATCATCGGGTTAGAACACCTTTTGGTCAAACATGTTTTTATATTTATATCTGAAGTAATTGACAATAAAAACCTTTATTTCAATATATTACACACCGTATTTGGGGACCGTTATGAGTTTACCTCAAAATATGAGCTGCCAATGTGAATTTAGCCCCATAGCGGAATTAGCCATCTATTTAGGAGGGAAACCCAAGCTCATTAGATTGAGCAGGTCAAATTCTTACAGAAACCACCTTCATACCGAGGCCAGAGAGAATTTGTCCTGAATTGTACCACATTAAATTAAAGTAAATAACCAGAAAATGACTCATGACGGCCATCTTGAATACTTTAATTTCCCAAAGGATGCCAAGGTGGCATCATCCGAATTCTGATTTCTACACATACTGAAGATATATAATCCATCAAAAATCATTAGATGGACTATATTTCCAGGTTTGTCGACATGCTGTCGGACTATAGATGTTCCCCAAAGTTGAAAATATAAACTCTTTATTGTTCTTGTATATTTTTATGCAATAAAATACTAGATACAATTTGTATTAACAGGATGAAGCATGGAAGATCTATTATGATGAACCATCACAAGAAATAGTAGATGAATTTGCTATGAGATACGGTATAGAATCTATATATCAGGCCATGACGTAAGTAATATTATATAGAAGAAAACATCTGTTTAAATTCCTAGATTTCTATAAAAAAAACTCTTTGGAATCAATGAATTGAAGACAATTTTTTACAGAATAGGTACATGACAATGCATTATGTAATGTAATTCAGTCTCAGATCGTCAATTGAGAGATATTTAACCCCTTGCAAACTACAATATAGTAACAGTTGAATCTCTAAATGTATTATTAGTCAAATATGGTTCAATTCTAATCAGTATTTACAAAAATTTTTCAACATTCAGGATCCATGTCAAACAATATATAGGATATGAGCAAGTACCACTCATAATTTTCTATGTAATCTTTTGATGGGCCTGTTCTAAATAAGATTTAATCCAACTAGGAAAGTTATCTAAGTGTAAAAATGTAATGTTAATAATCAATTCCAGTCCATTCTAGCATGGATTTAACAGTGGAAAATTAGATATTTTCTGAAAAATGCATGGATGATTCGCGACTTTAAAGTACCAGTAGTATAATATGTGTCTTAGGATACTATTACTTTACAGCTGACTATATAAAACTTATATTGTTATCACATCAAATCAACAAATGTTCACTTTTCATTTTCTGGTGAGATCTGAGCATAGCTAGTTCAGTGAAATATTAAAATTAATCCTTCCCAATAAATAATTCATGTAACCTCTCTGTTTTTAGACATTTTTCGTGTCTCTCTACCAAATATATGTGCCCTGGTGTGCCTGCTGTTATGAGTACTCTATTAGCCAATATCAACGCATTCTATGCACATACAACTGCCTCTACGGCAGTATCTGCTAGTGACAGATTTGCTGCCTCAAATTTTGGAGTAAGTATTCTTTTGTAATTGACAGTGTCTAATTGAAGAGACTTCGGATCTTTCGAAAATTGATAGATATACATAGGAGTATTGTGTGTGGACAGGGTGGGGTTCAGACAAAATAGAGCAGTCAGTGATTTTACCCTATGCCTATGTAGATATATAATGTTATTTAAAGAGTAAAAGTACTATATTTAACAGAAAAAGCTGTTGGTCAAGTGGTGAAACATTACAGTTTTACAGCTTGCAATTGTCCTAGAAGGATTAAAAAGAATAAAGTTGATAACATTTGGTCAAATTTTTCAATTCATATCTGGTTATAATATTCATGGATAATTATTACAGTATTTGCATTCACCATTTGTGTTGAACATGGTATTTGATAGAAATAGTTTATTTAAACGTTACAATCCATAAATGTTATTATTGTTAATTGCTGTGTTTGTATTACAGAAAGAGAAATTTGTTAAACTATTAGATCAACTACACAATTCATTACGGATTGATCTGTCCATGTATAGGGTAAGTTATATATACTATTCTATATACACTTGAACCTCACTATAAAGTGACATCAACATGAAACACTTCAGTCTAATATATGTGGCTTGCAAAATCACCAGTTATATCATTGAGACCTGAGCCCATTATTATTGACCTGTATAAATATATTAAGTTCTTTGATTGTTGATATTATTATACGATTAACATCTAAACACTCATGTAATATCTGTGCTTACACTTACCAAAACTACCTTTATAGATGATGAACAACATTAAAATTATTTTTCAGAATAATTTTCAAGCCTCCGACCCTGCCCGCCTTCAAGATCTCAAATCAACCGTAGATTTATTAACTAGCATTACTTTCTTTAGAATGAAGGTAAGATTGAACATTTGTTTTTAGGAGGTTGAGCAGATAAGGTGTTGGACTGTCTATTGGATATTTATATCAGAGATTCGTGTTGTTTAAAGCCAATATGCATGTTGAAACTTAAGGTTTTTGGCTATTTAGAAAATTTTGAAGCACCGAGTATTACCCTAGAAGTTTTGTTATTTGTGAATTTATTTTAAAATGTCCAGTATTATTATTATTTGATTTTCCAGGTACAAGAATTAACGAGTCCACCGAGAGCTGGTACCGTTGTTAAAGATTGTGTTATAGCATGTGTTAAATCAACGTATAAGTTTTTATTTGATAATTGTTATGAACTATATCAGCGAGAGTTTCAAGCTGATCCTAATGAACAGCCAGATTCAGAAGAACCTAGTAGTCGGACATTAGATTTCTGGCATAAAATCATAGCGTTAATAGTTTCTGTTATAGAAGAAGATAAAAACAGTTACACATCAGTATTAAATCAGTAAGTTAGAATCTCTTCTAATGTGCTGTTTATAATTAAACTACTTTTACTTTAATATATAGAGAGAAATGGGGTTTAACTTCCCCTTGACACAAACCAGTTCATTTCAGGACTAACATAGGGTACAATTTTATTTCGCTTGCATGTAGGGGTCTTTAGTGGGAGGAAACTGGAGGATGTGCAAGCTTGGGATTGGAACTACACCACTTGACTCAGTGACAGACCTTATAGTCTAAAGCACACACTTTAGACCACTCGACCACCAAAGCTCCTGTCACTTTAATATCAATCTGACAAGATTAGGAAATAAGCTAGATTGAGCAGGTTCATAATGCTATAGATTTTTTAGACAATTTGGGTAGATCTGGTGTTATGCGTAGTGGCAGTATACAGAAATATTACATACCGTAACTATGAGAATCAATCAGATGTTTATGTGAAGGGAATCAGTCAGATGTTAATGTGAAGGGAGTGTGAATGAGAAGTTGTATGAATTCAAGAGATCAAAATTTTTACTCCAGTCTTTATCTTTTCAGATTTCCTCAGGAGTTAAATGTGGGTCAGGTCAGTGCCTCTATGATGTGGAGTCTCTTCTCTCAAGATCTATGTATGTCTTTAAAAGGTAAGAAAACTTCTCAGTCAGCTTGAGAACATGGCTGATATTCTAGACCAAAATTAACATAACATAAAATAAATGATTTGGTCAAATGTGTCTAGAAACGGAGAAACATAATTTTCATTCTCTGAAGCTTGTTCGAAAAATATATGTGGATCACTGATTATTAATATTATATTATCATTTTCAGATCATGAAAAAGACAGAACGTGTAAAAGTTCTGAATATATGAATCTCCATTTTAAAGTAAAATGGTTGTGTAATAATTATGTTGCCAATGTGCCTCAATATAAAGGAACTATTCCAGAATATCCACAGTAAGTTTGTTTATTTATATATTTTGGAATGTTGCTCTTTTCTGAATTGTGACTTAAAAAAAAGCTTAGACTATGTAATAAAATAAGAGGCTGTTGTTTACAGCGATCATGTAGGTGTGGTGATTACTGCTGGCCATGTTTTCTTCAGAATGAATTCCAAAGAGGTGATGTAAGACCCTTTCACTGCAAGTGGTTGGAGGGCTGAAGAGTCCTATAAGAGTGCAAAGTCAGTTTAGATCTCAGTGATACAGCTGGGGAAGATCAGGAAATGATCCTTGTAAATGGTCCATAATAATTAAAGGCTCAATACCACTCTTGTTGTAACTGAATAATATGTCCCAATCTTTATTCTGGTCAACAAATTGTACTATTTTACAATATTCCAATTAATTGATGATACAAATTTCATCTTAACACACCTAATTTAAAAAATTGGAAAAATTCAACTAAATGATTTGAAATGTCTGACGTAAAGCTTTTCAAATGTGACTTGGATTTAAAAATATTTTTGAACCCTTTGGACAAGTAAAATAGGATTTAATGGATAATTTACACAACAGGTAGGACACTAACACATCTAGTACTTAGAATAAGGCTTTTTTTTGGAGCTGTCAAGCCAGCCAGAGTGTTATTGTCCCTTTAATGCCCGGGCAAATGTTGAACCAAATAACATTGATTATATGGGATATTAACAATGGCAATATTATAATTTTTAGATGGTTTGAACCATTTGTAATGCAATGGTTAAATGAGAATGATGATGTTTCAATGGAATATTTACATGGTGCTTATGATAGAGATAGAAAAGATGGGGTAAGTTGTAACAATTTTATAATAATAATCTTTATTTAAATAAGTTAAGGTCAAAGACCCATTATTACAAATATAGATAAATAGCAGTTTAATAGTGCATAGAATCAGGACAAAAAATACATTTGTATTATCATCCCTTGTAAATTGATCATTTTTTTTATTGATGTGTTTTTTTAAATTTGTGGTATATGTATTTTTTTTTCAGTTCCAAAAGAGTTCTGAACATGCTCTCTTCTCTACATCAGTGGTTGACGTCTTTACACAGTTAAATCAGTGTTTTGATGTTATAAAGAAATTAGAATGTCCTGATCCGGAAATAGTTAAAAGATATATGAAACGTTTTGCTAAGGTATGTACAATATTGTAAAAGACTATAAGATTAATACACCATGTATCCTCCTCACAAATTAATAAACAGAAAAGTATGCAGAGTGCTTACATAAAGTCTCCATGTCAAAGTTCATTAAAGTTTTTTTGTGAGACTACTTTATAATAATCCACCATTGAACACTATGATTTCTGGGTCTTGCCTGCAATGTCACATTTTTGGAAGCAGAAGTTAAGTGATCAAGGTACTACAGAGCCCACCTGTAATAAGATTCTTTATCTCAGTTGAGCCTTTCTTTCTCATGTTTTTGATTATATTTTGTTTTATTTGTACAGACAGTAAATAAAGTGCTATTAGCCTATGCAGATATTGTACGTAGAGATTTCGAAAAGTATACAAGTCGGCAAAAAGTGGTAAGTCCTTCAGCTCTTAAGTTACAGTCCTTCGCGTTTAAGGGGAGCTTTCTCTCCTGCTCCTCTCGACTCTCGTTGACTTTACTTCGAAGGAGTCATTAAAGACTCTTGCAAATTAGCTAAATCGCTCTCCTAAATATTGAGATTAATAAACTACTTTCAGTTTTTGTTTACTTTTAAACTGCATATATTCAAGGTATCAGGAACTTTTTATGGCTCCCGCACAATTTTATAAACATGAAGGAGAGAAGTTATTATGAATTTGGTTATAACTATAATGTATGTATATCCACGTAAAGTTTTGTTTTAATCACTAGATTATCCAATAGAAAGTGAATATAAGTTTATGTCATTTTTTCTCCTACAGGCTTGTATAGTGATGAACAATATTCAACAGTTAAGAGTACAGTTAGAGAAAGTTTTTGAAGCTATGGGTGGAGAAAAGGTAAATATTTGATATATCTATACATCTGTGGTATCTGGTGTACTAGAAATATGTAATCCATTATACACTATCATTTAGATGAAATTACTTTTTGTCATTTTCGTCAAGGTTTTATATATTTATTTTATTATTTCAGTTGGATTCTGATGCTGCAGAAGTTTTGAAAGAATTACAGCAGAAATTAAATGGTGTTTTAGATGAATTGAGCACAATCTTTTCAAAGAGGTAGGGAAACCGCTTCTTATAATAATTTTATTCCCAATTTTAAATACGACCATATATATGGTCCCATATAGATATAATTGCTAAAGAAATATTATAAGTATGTTTGATGAGAGAGTATTTGTGTTTTAATAGTATGATGATTGACAGACAGGAGTACCACACTACACTGGATGCATGACTATAGAATGTGTGCATACAGGGATCTGCTTAATTTTTCCTAGCCATATTCCATTTCCCACTTTTGGTTTAGCTGACAAGTATGTTTAGTTATTTTTGATGGATCAGAAAAGGTCTGAGGTCAGGCATTCAAAAAGAGAGTTGTCCAAACCATTGATTGGTTGTTGTCTTTGAATAGTGGACAAAACGTTTGCATTACAACTGAAAAATGGAATGATTAAAAAATGGTATTATTTTTTTTTGTTTTTTAGTCTGGAGCCACAGATACAACAGAGCATGAATGAATTAGGTCAGTTATTGTGTAAAGTTAAAAGAGCTGGGCAAGTTTCTTTGTCACAGCCTAGTCAACGCACGACAATTCAACAAGAATCTGATATGGTTCTTCGTCCATTAATGGATTTATTAGATGGCAGGTATGTGATATCGAAATAAATATATATAAAACCGTGCTACTATTTTATAGATTCACAATAAAGATAATAGGGTGCTTAATGAATGGCTTGAAAGGGTTATACTGATTATACTCTGCATGAGAAATTGATAAATACTAATAATAATTTTATATTTTTAAATGATATTACTAATTAATATTTCTGCTATCAGTACTAAATCAAATTATGAGAGAAAATAAATTTCTTGATGTGAATTTGTTTGTAATGATTTTAGATTGGACATTATTTAGTCCTAGAACTAATTGTATAATAATGGAAGTAATAACCCTGCATGTCAAACCTGCATGTTTTAATTCACAGCCTTTCCATGTTTGCTCAAGTTTGTGAGAAAACCGTGCTCAAACGTTTACTGAAGGTGAGCCCATCATTATTCTTGCTTATTTCATTGAAAGTATGGATACAGTTTTATTCCCAAAAAGTAACAATGTCTAATCGTTTAAATGGGATGAACAAAAACAAAACAAGGTCCTTTGTGTACATAGGTGTACATGTAAATGAACTTCTGACAGTTGGAATATCATTTTCTATTCCCATTGCAATGGAAAAGAGCATTATCAGATTGATTGCAATTATGGATGATTGTTGGCAGAGTAATCAAAAGAGTTGACACAACTCTGGTGTTTTTAATTAATACTTCTATTAAACCAAAACTGTTAAACATCTGTTGCTAGAACATAGGTTTATATTGTCAGAAATGTATACCAGTAGATCTATTAAATCAGTTGACATGAAAGTCCATGTAGGAACTGGATGCTGGAGAAGATACTTGCTAACTGCTCAAAAACATGATAATTCTTGTAACCGTTGTGTATATGTTTTATCGCTGAACAAATTACACAATTGAACCTTTTGTCACTCTTGATATTTTGCAATGAAATAATTATTAGGTTGCTGTTTTATTTACTGAATGAGTTTTTATTTCATTATTTTCTCCGACATTCTGAGACATATTTATGCTCTAAATCCATTAATTAGGTATATAAGTAGCCTACTCAATTTGTAAACTCAGTTTTCGGGAATTACCTGAACAACAGTTTATCAATTAGAGTTTCAAGATTTGAATCTAATTGTTGCAGTTACAATGTTGGTTTAGGATACATAGAAGTATGTTATATTATAATTTTAGGAATTATGGAGGATAGTGATGCATACGATGGAGAAGACAGTTGTCCTACCCCCTCTATCAGATCCAAGACAGGTAACTCTTCGGTTTATAATTATTTTATTATACCTTATATGTCATTTAGAAAGTATCCAGAAGTACTAAATAGTACAACAGTCACTAATTAAGATATGAGACAGGATAGAAATGATTGAACTGTTGAACACTGTCAAAAAGGCAATAGTAAAAGTATATTGTATTATAGTTTACGGCCAATGGTAATATTCTCCAAATTTAATATCTGAAGTTACATGATTCCAGAAATATCGGTGCCAATTTTTATTTATCATGCTAGTGATATAGAAGTGGAAATGAATTTCACTTAAAATAGAGTTTTTAAGAAAATGTTTCCTAAGGCCATGAAAAAATATTTTGGTTCTCAGATACTCCCACGTCAATTGGGAGCCACATTACCTGCTTTTATTTTTAAAAATATAAATGGTCTCATTAATTATCGTACGTAAATGTTTTCCCCATGTTACATGAAGTAACTCTATAAAGAATTCGAATGAATCCGGAAATGTACAGCTGAGAGGCTCATTTATCAAATATGCAACCATGATAAATGTTATTGACAATCATGAAATCGTACTGGATAATCATACATCTGATCAACAAAATGAGTGCCTTGAAACATGATGTTTAGGAGAAGTCATTTACAACAGAAATGATACTTTGATAAAATAAGAAGATAAATATAAAAGCTTCCCTCCCTCATCAGATTTTAGGAAGGATTGTCTGAGAACCAGAATATCTTTTTTTTGTATAGCCTAATGATTATACAATTTTTTATTATTTACTGCTATTGTGATATTAATTATATTTTCTGTATATTTGTATTAAGAGAGAAGAAGCGGTAAGAATCATGTAGAAAATAACAAATTAAATATATTGGGATTGGTTATTATAACAAATACTTGTAACAAAATCATTTTGTTCTATATTTTAACAGACATTTGTTTTTAAAGAAGAACTGAGAGTCAAATTGAAAGAATTTCAGAGTGCTAATTCCTCTTTAAATAGTGTTAAAATGAAAGACCTAATATTTTTTTCAAAATGATTTTGTTACAAATTTAAAATGTCTCCTAGGGAAAGCAAGCAAATTTAAGCATTGGTTTTTATTACTGGTAATATGGGTGCATTGGCTCTTTAATTATCCTGTACTTGGAGATGGAAAAAAAAAAGAGATTGATTGATCTTGAGCATAACTTTCCCCAATTATTATTTTATCTATTCTTAAGAAATAATTCTTTGGTTTATTAGGACATTTTCTATGAATCTATAAAGAACACCTCAAATTGTCAAATTTCTTTCTTAAAACAAACAATAATTGCAGATTTTATACAGCATAAAAAAATGTGATACTTTGGCGCTATATCTGTCTTCAATATTTATATGTGTGTACTAGTAAAAAATTTGAAATGAGTAATTAGTATTTTTAGAAATCATTTTATTGGAACATATTTTGAAAATATGAAATATTATTATTTAATCCGCTCGGTGTCCTTTTAGTAGGCCTACATATTTTTGATATCTGCAATTATCTGTAAAATAATAGTTATGGTGCTAAAAATGGAAACTTTCTTTCTACTGTTATGATTTTAAAAAATAACAGTGTAATGATTGTCTAATTATAATCTAACTTACATATAACAATGTAACTTAATTTACTGAGGTGTCTGTTGAGGTGTTCTTTAATCTAACAACCTTTTACGTCTTCAAGGTGACTTGTTTTATTTCAGCTTCTTTCTTCTGTTACGGGTGACGGAAATAAATGGGAGGAATTAACCAGGTTTTTTGCCCTACCTGGTGTAAGTTAGACGGGGAGGGGGGTATTCCTAGCTTGATCAAAACCCCTAACACCTTCAGCTTTTGCAATTCATACAGCTTTTATAATATAACAGCAAATATATATATATGTGCTTCATTTCTCTTATTTGATATAAAAATATTTATCGTAAATTTTATGTAAAAATATTTACTGTAAATTTCATATAAAAATATTTACCTTAAATTTGCACTAACAAATATATTCTAAGATGACATTAGGTTTTACAATTCTACAAGATTTTAAGACATTCATTCCAAAACCAATCTCCATATCTGATGTATTTTTATGTTAATTATAAAGTTAAATGATAGCATATATAAATTATTACTCACTAACATTAGTAACTTCTGCTCTCATTACTAAAACTTGACTGATCATTAATCTTTAACAATTCTTGAGACAGACTTGAAGTTCACATGAGATTTTTGTGACCAATGGTCGCAAGATTTATCAAACTGGATCTGTAAAGTGAGAGATGTATAAACTGTATGGGATGTTAAGAGTGTAATATTATGTTGTGTTTTGGTCACAGCACTTTAAAACCTAAAACTGGGGTGTTGATGGATTTTGTTCATGTGATTTTCTGTCCTGTATTTTTCTCTATTTACATGTATTTTGATATTAATATTTGGCTGGTGTGTGGCATGATTGGCAAGTTTTTCTCCTACTCATGTTTTCAGCTCCTTCCCTTACCTGGTAACGCTCAGGCTAAGATTGAGGACATGTCTCGTATTTTACTGAACCATGTGAGCCAGATGCCTAGTAATAACCCTATGAAACAAGTCAAGACCCTGCAAGCAACATTCCTGGTATACCCACAGTGTTGTCAAGTTGTTTGTCATTTAGATGTCTGCATGATTATCAGTTTCCTTTGTTTATTCTATCCATTATACATATGTTATTAGACAAATTTATAAGATCTTAAAAAAAAAAAAGAGATTTTGTTCAATATATGCTTTCACAGACCTAGTTGTTAAACCCAATTATTTTTAGTTATTTTGTTTAAAAAAAATGATCTCCATAACTTTAGTTTTTTTGTTTGTTTATTTTTCAGTCACATCGCATCCTTATTTGTATGTTTCATTTGTGTGAGCCTCCAAAATCTAAAGAAAAAAATGTAGGCCTATAGAATTTAGAAGACAAAAATATTTCATAGATGCATAGCTTAAAATTGATCAATAGGTTTGGAAATAGGCCTGTAGTTAATCGAACTTGATTTCTTAACATGGGAGAAGCTTGGAAATATAACTATTAAATTTTTTATTAAAGATGCTTTATTTATAACTAAATGCACATGTAGTCACGGAGAAGGGGTTATTTTCATATCAAGACATTTTTTTTTTATGATGCACAAATTTTAGAAACAGAATAATAAGTATTTGGATGCTTCTGATATCTATTAATACTCCTCTAGTAAACTTCTATAATCTTTTTACCATCTTAGAAATAATTTACTAACATTTAGATATATATCTTTATATTTGTTCATAATCTGTACTTTTCACGTCAAATAACACTTATTAATATACAAGTATATGTCATAAGACGTTAAAAACACTAAACAGAGATTGTGAATTTTGATGCAATGTCAACACCTAAACTTTCCTTGGTCTTCAGACTTCAGTTTTAAGAATTTGTAATTTTTCATGTGGAATATGTTATTAAATTCCTAGGGATGAATAAAATGCTATGAATGTTAAATATCAATTGTTTTCTTTAAATAGGATATGTCAAAAGAAGCGGAAAAGAATCTAAGTCCAAAGCAGTGTGCTGTATTAGATATGGCTTTAGATACAATTAAACAATATTTCCATGCTGGTGGTCAAGGCTTAAAGAAGACCTTCCTTGATAAGAGTCCAGAATTACAATCATTACGATATGCTTTATCATTATACACACAAACTACAGATACACTTATTAAAACATTTGTTGGTTCTCAAACATCACAAGGTAAATATATAATACCATGTATAATATCATATGATTATTTTACAATAAGTACTCCAGTTCAGCAATAAGGTCTGTGTCTCTTCGCCAGATAATGATATTGTCACTTAGAATGGCAGCCCAAAACAGTGGAAAGTGTATACATATCAGAATGGAAATAAATAGACATCAATATAGATCGGTTATCTGACTGTGAGAATATTAATAGTTCAACAGATGTCATCTATGCAAGGCAAGGGCTAAGATTTGGTTATGCTGCAGAAAGAAGAAAATCAGGAAAGACACCCTTGCTGAAAGAATTAAAGTCATCGACCTAACTTGTTTATCTTGGGGTTTTTTTACAATTTTTTTCTATCCCCAGCAAAAACACTGACGTACGCTTTGTCTTAGATATAATAGCCTTCCTTAACCAATGGGAAGTTTTGTTTTACCTTCCTGCCTTAAATGCAGTTGATGGAGACTAATTGTTTAAAAATAGTCAGTCACATCGTACTTCAAGATAAATTTAGTCCAATGAGATGATTAAAATAAATTACATACAAAATTCAACTGTGTAAAAGAATATTTTGCAGACTGATATTTTTATTTTTTTATATATTGTAGATCAACCTAGTACAGCTGATGCTGTAGGTGAAGTGTCTATACAAGTTGATTTATTTACACATCCTGGTACTGGTGAACATAAAGTTACTGTTAAAGGTCAGTGTATTCACAAAATGATCAAATGAGAACAAATATAATTCACTGAAAGAATAGGGTTGACTTTCAAATCTGGAGTTGCACATTTTCATACTCAGTTGACTTGAGCCTCATTGAAGAATCTATATGTCAATTTTTTTCAGTATTTTTATTAGCTAATTATGTCAGATCAAAGAATTATATTTTTTTTATAATGAATGAAAGTGATGTAAAGAAGGCTAATATTTGTTGAAATTATTTGTATTCCAGTGGTAGCAGCCAATGATTTAAAATGGCAGACAACAGGAATGTTTCGACCCTTCGTTGAAGTTCATCTCATTGGACCACATCTTAGTGATAAAAAACGCAAACATTCCACAAAATCTAAAAGTAACAACTGGTCTCCTAAATATAACGAGACTTTTCACTTGTAAGTTACTGGTGTATTTCTTTCTTATCTTCAATGTAAAAAATATAAAAGGCAACAGCTACTTTAGAATGCAGTTTTTTCATTGGCTAAGAGATCAAAACTTTGTACTAAGATTTAACTTTCAGCCAATGATTAAGAATTTTTTAATGTTTGTGGTTTCATATTTTAAGGCTATAGAAGAGTTACTGTTGTAGGGAAAAATAAAGATAATGTAATATTATTTTTAGAATAGGTATTGTACAGATGAGTAAACAGTCTACTATATTTATTATTATTTCAGTATTCTTGGTAATGAAGATGAACCTGATGCATACGAACTTCATATATGTGTTAAAGATTATTGTTTCGCTAGAGAAGATAGACTCATAGGTGTAGCCGTGATGCAACTTCGCGAAATTATTGAACAAGGTAGTTGTGCTTGTTGGTGCTCATTAGGCAGACGTGTTCATTTAGATGATACTGGTTGGACTATTTTACGTATTTTATCTCAAAGGACAAATGACGAAGTTGCCAAAGAATTTGTCAAACTTAAGTCGGAGTGTCGTCACATAGAAGAAGTAGTGCCATCTTGAATACATTTCCAAGTAAAAAGGTATTCCCAATAGTAATGTCAGGTGGCCCCTTATACCAGCTAGAATGGTTACTAAGGGAGAAAGCTCTGTGACAAAGTCATATCGAAAGGTTAAAGTTAAAGTATGACTCATGAGATGGTCCGAGATAGTTGAATCTACTTCTGTTATACAGAATAAAGCTGTATAAGAAGACCATAATTTTATAACGTAAATCCTTTTTAAAAAATGGATTGGAAAACAGGTATACAACATCTTCTTAAAGAAGTTCTTGTGAAATACTCTTTTTAAAAAAACTCTGATGCAAAATGACAACATTTGTATTTCTCTGTTAATATTATTTATTTGATTTTAAGTTTCTGTATAAATGTACATTGTAATTGTTTTTCATTTGTATAAACTCTTCTGAAAATTAAATTCAGTTCGTTCTTTCATTTTTAGCTCAAATCATATATTTATTATTATGTCATAACAAATCATGTATTTAAATGTAACGTTGTCAAAGCCAAGTGTATGAATCCTCTCTATATGACACCAAGGGACCTCTTGTTTTCTTACTATCCAAATAATTAGACATTTTAGTTTTAGCCTCAGACAAATTGCAAATTACTTATGATGACCTGAAATTAATGTGCTACAATAATATTAAACACTGGTAACTCCTTCAGACACCAAGTCTTCACTCCACAGAGATGAGACTCTGCCATTTGAAGTATAAAACTCACCATATGTAATAGTTCTTCATTTTATTTTATTTTGTACACTTTTACATTGTGTAAACCAAGAATTTATAACAATGAGCTTTTTTTTCGTAAATTAGGATCTATTCCCAATCGCATTAAAATTTCAGTTTCATTGATGGTGAAAACTGTAAAAGAGTTACCCTGTTAAATTTACAACAGTAATTTCATACATCAGATCGACGTTTTTATATACATTTATATCAATTTAGTTAAAGATGCATTTTGTAAGATTAAGATAAAGAGCTGGCAAAGTTCAGTCAAATTACTTTTTTCTGAGCAGAGTTATGAACATTTAATGAATAGCATAGTCTTGATTTTCATTGCTACCATTGTTCCGATAATAAACAAAGTCTTGATTATTCATGTTTAAATTAAATAATTAAATAGTGATGATGTTTCATAATCACAACCATCCTATGGTCTAGAGAGTTGTTTATGGGTTATTCATGTGAATAAATGTCTAATTAATAATTTTATAGACAAAAGAAAGATATGCAAAAGGTAGAATTATCTCTTACATGATGCATCTTTAATAATGACATTAATTTTCAAGACTAGTAAATTTCTGTTTTACATTATTATTCTGGTGATGTGTTTACTGTGCTGGAATATCAACATTATACTGACAGATAATATATTCCATAAACAGTTTAAGTTTTATTTCAATAGAATGATATTTTAATTGGGTTTTATGTAGCTTAAATAAAACTCTTATGCTTAGGGTGATTTTAAAATAAATATGATAAGTTATCTTAACCACAACTTGTTGATTTTAATGTATGTACTAAAATAATTGAATATTTGGGTTTTCAAGGATTCTATATTACAAACAGTTCATTGATATTATCATAGAACAGTTCTATTTAATAAATGGTTCAGTGATATTATCATAAACAGATTAGTGATATCATAAACTTTTCATTGATATTATAAACTGTTCATTGATATTTAACCATAAAATCTTCAATTTTAGTCTAAATTGTTCATTGATATTATCATAAATGGTTTTGGGGTTCTTAGACAATTCTTTGATATTATCACAGACAGTTCATTAGTATTATCACGGCTTGATTATATTATCACAGACACGTCATTGATGTTATCACTGACAGTTCATTGATATTATCATTGACAGTTCATTGTGGTTATCAAAAACTGTTCATTGTGGTTATCAAAAACTGTTCATTGTATTTATCAAAAACAGTTAATTGATATTATCACAGACAGGTCATTGATGTTATCACTGACAGTGCATTGATATTATCATTGACAGTTCATTGTGGTTATCAAAAACTGTTCATTATAGTTATCAAAAACAGTTCTTTGATATTATCACTGATGGTTCATTGATATTATCACAAACAGTTAGTTATATTATAATAGACAGTTAATAATATATAGGCCTGTAGATAGAATTATATATATAGTAAAATTATAATATTCAAGGGTACAGGTTTTCCAGAGTAATACAAATCTATATAAACTATACATTATACTACATTGAAAAGATATATAAATATGATAAAAGTTATACAAGGTTGATCTGTACATCTTTTTTAATGTAATATATGTTATAGAGGTATTCTTATGCCTGATGCAAATAACTAATATTTCAATTTGCATAATGACTGTTTTGGCATTACTACTGTAATCAATATTTGATCAGTTGGTGTAGGTTTGGATAAATCTGATTGGATGTTAGATTTAGCAGAAATATATATGTATGTGTATGAGGATTAAAATAAAGCATTCCATGACGTTAGATTAGTAGGTATAAAACTAGTCTTGTTTTAGTTGTTTGTAGATATGTATATATTTATATAATGCTCATTTTACTTTTTAATTCATTTTTTAAAAGTGTATATATAGATATTGGCTTTATTAATTTGTACAGTTATTATTTTCTTGTAAACATCTCTGTTTTCATTCTCATTTCACTTCATTCATATGCAGTGTAAACATTTGTTTTAGTTGTCGAAAGTCAACAAATATTTAATGTGTTCTCTTGTGGGAGGTTATTTTTTTTAGAGCTTCGGAAATTGTAAAACTGACTAAAAGATACTGGATCATCTACATAGTATCTGTATGATTAAGTCATGTTCACGACTCCTAAAAATAGTACTTACACATCTAATAGATACAGACAAATCTCAGAATGAAAATTCTATGTTAATGTCATAATCAGTATGGCATGAACATATATTTCTGTGATCAATCTGCCCATTGAATGGTTACAACAATTAATATCCTTTAAGGCCACCGGTACATGGTTTTAAGCCTGGCATTGTGAAACTTGTGTTTTTCTTATGTAATATATATTTTGATGTGCAATAAAAATAGGTGAAGTTTGTTATTTACTGTAAGAATTTAGAATCTACAATTTAACAAGATCTTATATAGTGATCATGTTGATTACATTAATAAAGGTCACAGTCTCACTAATAGTACTTGTATATGAATAAAGGTCATAATATAATAAAATTATCCTTAAAAGTTATCAAAATATATGAATATTAGATATTAGATATTTTATAAGGAATATATATATATAGCTGTTAAATTTTATGCTGTCTGTTAAATATAAGTCCACAAATTGTAGAAATATGTTAGATATTCCATTATATAATTAACCTCTCTCATTGTATTTATTACATTATCTTTAAACATTTTATTGTTGATACCGTATTAAGATGATGTTTTTACTGCGGATGATTTCGGAATTCCACTCGTTTCTGGTTGTGGATTCACTTTATTGTTCTCATTTTTCTGTGATTTCTCAAACTTTTACATGAAAAGATAAATCTGAATAAATTTTTTATACCAAATTTGTTTGTTTCTCTTTAGTAATTTTAGTTGCATTAATAGTCCCAGTTTTGTGATGGAAATAAAAATACAGTAATTTGATCTTTCTAGGTCACCCACCCCTGATGTGAACAAATCTAAATAAATGATCTCCAAACATGGTTATTGGGGATACACATCTCTCTCATCGAGTGACCTGATAAAAAGGGCTTGAAAACTATGTAAAATCTGCCAAGAAAAAGATAAATGCAGCAAAAGCTTGAAAAATTCTATTTGCTGGAAAATAAAACAATCAAAGTATAGTAGGATATTGTCACTACGCATTCTTCGGAGTTATAGTCTGAGTTATGGACCAGTCCCTTGAAATTCTTTTTTTGCGGTTTTATTTATGGAGAAGGCATAATTTGTGGCGACACTGGTTGTTGGGGATTGGAATCGGTATGAATAGAGAGAGAGAAATGGGGTTTAACGTCCACTCGACACAAACTAGGTCATTTCGGGACTAACATGGTTTTTAATTTTATTTCAATAATTCGCTTGCGTGTAGGGGTCTTTAGCAGTGTGAGGAAACCTGAGGACCCGGAGAACACCCACAAGGTTGGACAGTTGACCCTACTCCTTGTCATGTACAACCTGGGATTCGAAACCACGCCAGTTGACTCAATGACAGGCCTTATGATACAGCAGCATGTGCTAACCATTCGGCCATCCAACCCCCCTCAGTGTGAATAGAGATCAAAGTGTGGAAGAATTTGGATGGATATACTTTCCATGTGTACTTGAAACCATCAAGCTGATTTGGAGAGGGAAGGTATGGAATAGGCTCTATGATGTTTTAAATTAAATAAAGAAATAAGTGATTATTTTGATCAATTTATTATGCTATACAGAATTTTCAATATTATTCTATTTATACCACGTCCATCTATTATATCTTTTAATAGTTCTGAAGTAACAAACTAATATCTCAAGCAATAAAGCAATATGTATACATAATTTAACAATAATAATTTAAGTCTGTATAGATTAAAGCATAAACCCATAGAAGGAACATATGGAAGCACATACATGTACATGGTTGCATATATAACAACTACTTTAACAATTTGAACACTTCTCAGTCCTCACATTAATAATAAATAATATCACGGCTAGATACCATTTTCAGCTTGAAATGAAAAATATGGTTTGCCAGGCAATAAAACATATGCCCAACAGCAAATAAGGGTTTCTAGCACTTGCAGTCCAAAATGGTTGTCACATTTTAATTCTTTTGCAGGTAATGAGGGTATTAACAAAACACTAAAAAGTTATCAAGAATAACAAAACAAATGCTTACATTTTATAATACAAAACATTGACTGATAATCAGAAGATAAATTTAGCTACTTGAGTTATCAGAAATCATTGAAAATCAATAGGATTCTCATATCTTGCATATAAATTTCAAGTCAATCAGACAGTAGCTTTAGCCCCTAGAGCATCCACAAGTTTTTTCAAATGTATAAATAGTCATAATAAATAGGATTCTTTGTCTCACAAACATAAACATTGTGTATTAATTTCAAGATTTTTAAAATTTATCAACTTGAACATGAATAGGATTTTTCTTCTCATGTATATAAATTTCAAGACAATTGGATTTTTTTTTTTAACCTAAAAAGGGTGATAACTCTGACAGAACGGGAATGAAAAGAAATTGTTGAAATAGGCTTCTAATCACAAGAACATAAACATTGTCTATAAATTTTGAGTCAATCATATGATATCTTTAGTTTCAAAAATGTCCATAAGCAATTGCGGATGGACAGGGGTGTCAACAATATACAAACAATAGATAAATGTGGGAGTATAAAAGGTCAACACACCAAATTTCAGATCATTTATAATATGACTAAATATATGTTTTAAAAGTTGAAAAGCAGGAATTAATTAACTCATTAAATATTATACTTATAAAAATTAACCAAACATTAACTATTATACCATACTTATATAACAAATTAAATAAGCTTTATTATAATTGTATAACACTTAAACAAGCTTTAACTATTACTTATAACAATTAAACAAATATTAACTATTATACCTTACTTATATGGGCTGTTTATAATGGTAGCTAAAGACAAATTTTGAAAAGTATTTAAGGAAATTTTCACTGTATTCTATTGATTTATAACTCCAGAGGAAGTATAGCACAAACATGTCCATATTGAACTGACATTTTCTATCCAAAAACTTGAAAACATGATAATCCAAAAATACTCCTAAAAATCTTCCAAGCTGTTTCACAAAGTAATCAAATACTTCTGCATGATATGATAGACATGCATGATATTCACAGAGTGCTTTGACAACCTTTTTCTCTGGTTTTCTGAGTAAAAACATCTCCATCAGTCAAGTGTTTTATGACTTGGAACAGACCAACATAAGAGACATACAATTTGTGCACCACCATGTGTGGTCAACTTAATTGTTTGGATTTTCTTTTCTATATACTTTTTCTTTCTATTATGTGGAATTTTCCTGCTTGACCATAACCCACTTTGTGATTTAATAGTGACACCTTGTGAAGAACTTGATAATGATAATGTCGGTAGAAACAATATTTGATATAGTCGATTTCTATTTCTTCTTTAATAGCTAATAGTACTATTATTCAGGGCTACAGGATGGCTAATTGAAAAGCACTGTAATTTTTACTGACCTTTCAATTTTAAAAGGAGATTTTCAAATTCAAAGTTGGGAATGAGCGGTTTTACCTGGTAACAAAATGGACATTTTGACCACATAATTTGATACTGATTTTATTTTGAATAATAACTTTGTCAAAAATATTGTCATAAAGAAGGTAGGCAGGCTACTTCCATGCTGATGTACTATATATAATTTTTTTTGATAGTTGCAAAAATTTTATATCACATATTGGGTACTGGTATATTCGTTATTGGTACATTTTTGTGAACACAGCCCATATAACAAATAAAAAAGCTGTAACTATTATACTTATAACAGTTAAACAAACATTGACTATTAGTATTTTAATACTAAGCATTTAACAAAACAAGAAAAGTAATGATAACAAAAAAATAATGTTTAAAAACTAATAAATGTGACTAGTGGAACTGCATTTTGCGTGATAAATTATGCAAGTTTTCCATTATTATCATCATAAACTCAAACAAATAGATATAATAATCATCCGCAAGGGTCCAAACCTTAAAATAAAGCTACATTCTGATCCCAAAAATAAGACAAAGAATCCTGGAAATCTCAATGAAAAAGTAACTAAATATACAAATATTACTTATATAACTTATAAAACTATGTCCGACATAGCTATAATTCAATCTTGCTACAGCTAAAAAGATATATATTTAAAGTGGATCTTACTCAATAGCGAAGATCACAAGATGGGGTATGCTGTATGCATATATAAATATGACTGGCACTACATGAGCTATGTGCAGGCTTCTTGAAGTAAATACAAACAATAACAGGTTTTTATGGTAACAACTATTCAATGGTAAGTAATTTAATACATGTATTGTTATATTTCCAAAATTATAAAACAAAAACAATATAGACCATAACTTCAAAGAAACAAAACAAATAGATGTATATTTGAGCAATTCTAACATTGATCCTGATTTTGGAGTTCTAACTTGATACATTATAAATAAAATACGAAAGCATATCAAGTTAGAGACAATATTGGCAAGAGAACATGAGCTTTATTCACAAAACATTAAATCTTGATAGCAACTTGAAATCTTTTTTTAAAGATATTAACTCATTGTTACAACATAATGATGATTTCAAGCTACATCAGTTTAGGCGATTTATATTTTGCAGAATAAAGGTTCCGATTTGAGCATTAGTTAAGAGAAAGTACAAAAAAAAAAAAAAACCTCAACTGATTGGATATTATTGACTTGTAGCAATATTAAATATTTTTCTTAAAATACTTACAAAATTTGAAATGGTGAGATTAACTACAAAACCAAAGTCCAAACCTCTTACCTGGGCATCAAATTTATATTTATTGTGATAGGGAATAAATTATCACCAGTTTATATACATTCACCACAAGTTATACTTTAACCAAATATAAAAAATTCATATTCCCACATATCCTGTGAATATTCATCTTTCAGTGCAGCCGATATACCTGTTTCTGTCAAACGACTGTTAATAAAGTTTAAAGTTTTTCTTTTCGTTTCAGAGGACATTTTCGAAAACAGATTAACCTGACGACTGCAATTCAAAAATGGAATGTGTTCTAAGAATGGACATTTCTTCATTAAGTGTGGATTTGCAACGAAAAAATTGGGTAACCACTGACATTGAACAGCTGAGCGTAGAAAATGAATGGCATCTGAAAGTCTATTTGGTAAATTTTCGAATGTCCAGTGTGATGGAGTACTCTCCAACAAGAGAAAATACAATATTGTTTCCAAGTGATAAGATTCAATTTCTCCACGATTTAATAATGAAGTACGATTGCTGTTTGAGAAAAGAGTTTTTAATAACTGTAAGCAGACAAGAAAACTAGACTGAACTCCTGTGTCTTGGATTATGTCAGCCATGTCCTGCAGATATCTGGTTTCTAAATCACAGAAAGATAGGTCCCATAGCAGATCTTTATCCAAATTTTCTGGCTGTCGAAATATCCGCAAACCCTGACCTGGAACCTGGATAGAGGGTTTGTTCTGCATATCTCTTAAATGGCTGGGTACAACGGCATATAATTTTGGAAGAAGTAGAGACTTTTTCTGGTGAAGAGATATAGCTGGTTGAAAACAAATATTGATTTCTGTTACACCCAATCCAAGTCCATGTAATACACGAGTATTAAATACAAGTGAAAGTTCTGGAGCCGACGATCGGCCAAGTGTAAACGGCAATCTGTCCATATATTTCTTCCAACGTGTCATTATGTTTGTTAGAGCTCGGTCAATCAATTCACTGGCATTTGCCATAGTTTCACTGGGTGAGAATACTTGATGGAAATTCTCATCTATATACGCTCTCTTTAAAAGCTTCTTATGACGAACATTCTGCTTAATTTCTCTAGCTGTTATGAGGACACTGCCTGGTGGTATATCATCAGTGACATTATGGTGGTAGGCTTTATCTAATACAATCTTACTACTGTTCATCAACATCAAAACATCAAAATGGCTGGCTTTACTGATCTTCGTACCTTTACGCATGCTACCAAATGGTTTAAAATTTACCAAACGGAATCCATCATCAGACACCATAGTGCCTAATTCCTTTTCTAGCAGAAGTAAAATGTAATTCACCATAAAGGTTGCTGTTGCCAACTGTTCGGATTTAATTGGGCAAGATGACTGATGTGATTGAAGAACATTTCTTAATCTAGGTTCTGTAATATCATGAAGGTCTGGGCGTTTAGTGGTATAATTCTGGTTAGACCATTTCATTCTGTTATTAATAGCCTCTACTTCATACCAAGGTGAACTCTGCAATGAACTTGCATCTCCATGTTGCCCAATGCCTAATGGTAGAGATGTCACATTTTGTCGTGCACGAGGACGTGTAGTACAAGCTATGGATCTTCTATTAATTCGTGGTGTAGTTAGTGCTAGACCTGTCATACTAATACCGTTACTACTGGAAGATGCAGACAATGTATTTGATATTCCATCACACATGGATAACCCAATGCCAAGTTTTTTGTCCAGTTCAGATAAGAATCTGTCAATAGTTTGTTCTAAAAACACATCAATTTTAACATTTTTGAACAAATCTGTATGAATATGGAATTTACCAGAAGTTAACTGAACTGGACCAGGGGTGACAACTGGTTTGGAAATTATTTCTTCATTTACAGTAGAATTAACATCATCAGAATTTTCTGTTATGTCAGAACAGGAAGCATGAATTTCTTCGACTTTCAATGGCATAGTGATGGGTTCACCTGGGTTTATCTTACTTTTAGGTTTCTTTATTCTTGATTTGACTTGTTTCTTCCATGTAAAAAATAAGACACAAACACTGCCAATCAAAATAATAAACAACAAAACAAAAACAACCAACCACTGGACTAAGATTTCAGCGTAAACACTTTCTTGTTGCGTAGCTAATATAACTGTGTTGCAAATATACGGAGATGTTGTATCAATGGTTTGTTCGGGTATATGTTGCTCAGATTCAGAATCTTCATATGGGGAAAATAAACCAAAGAAAGATTGCCACACAGTTTTATTTTGTACTGGTTCAAACTGGGTAGCTAGATTAAACAAACCAGTTTCAGTATTCTCTTCATCCTCTATGATTGGTTCCCGATAATTCTCATTATGCTGACATTTTTTAATAGAGAAGAATAAAGAGATGTTGAAGAAAATACTGTCTGCTACTGCCGCAGCAGTTCCAAAATCCATAACCATCTTTACAACATCTGAAAGTAAACCAATATATTATTATATAAATTAATTTCTGGTAGCTGGTACCAATATTTGAGAAAATATATACAACCTCAATAAACAATCAACAATGGGGCCCACTAAAAAGCTGTAGGGGGATGATTTAATTTATATTGTTAAATTTCATAAAAATTGGCATAAAAAAAGGGTTTCTGAGATTCAATAAATCCTCTACAACAGTAACTTAACTTACAAGAGGGGAGAGTTGTGGGAGGAATTATAATTATATTGTTTTGATTATAATGCAACAGTTAAAAAAGACACAAAAGGTCAAATTATAAACTCTACATCAAATGCAGATAGAATTGCATTCTTAAAAGTTGGACTACGATACAGTCAGTAGCTAGGCCTGCAGTTCACTCTAAATGTTTACATTACAGTGCGGTACCAATACCATGTTATTTTGACAGAAATCTATCGCATGGTAAAGAATCATTCGACTGGCCGCGGAGCAAATCCAGTTCCAATTAATGTCTAATATCTGACGATCAGTTCTACCCTTGAAATCCATATATGGCTATTTTGATCGATGTGACAATAAAAACTTTTATGCTTTCATTGTAAGTCATTTCATTTGCAGCCCACCAAAATCGAGTGGGCACTGAATGATGTTTGTAAACATCGAGACTGACAAAATGGCTCGGATAGTAAAAAATCCACAATTTTGGTGTGTACTTATATATGCATTGTCCAATCGATCTGGTCAGATTGCATTTCCTACATTTTACTTGTTTACAATGTTCACGTCGACAGGGGGATCACGTGGCTAAGTGGGTAAGACGCTAGCTCGCTAGCCTGGAGGTCGGGTGTTCGATCCCTGCACTGGCCGAGAAAGTTTATCCAGATTTTCCGGCGTGGTTTCCCCTTGTCAGTGATGCAGGACGGAGGGCCTGACAAGGAAAGCTGTCTAGTCGTTCGGATGGGACGAAAAACCGAGGTCCCGTGTACACATTGGCGTGCACGTAAAAGATCCCTTGGCAGTTGGAATTCGATATAAGAGTAAGCCGTAGTGCCGCTGTCCGGGCAAAATTTCCCTCATAGCACACTGTATGGCGTATGCCCGTCTTCATTAGCCCAGGTTAGGAGCAGAACAGTAGGACGTTAAACTCCATTTCATTTCATTTCACGTCGACAGACAACAGGTGGCTGCAATGAGTAATAAAAAATAGCCCGTGTGTGTTTGATGAGCTCTAATTTTGAGCCCATTTGATTAACACGAAGGGAAGATCTAAATGTTACACAATCGTCAATTCGTTTTTTCAAACTATACATAAATGTCACCTTCTGCATTCAACTTGTTGAAGGTTTTTTTTTGTTTTTTGTATGATTTACCTTTTTAGTTTCTTGATCCGAAATCGACAAGAACAACGATTCCTTCCCTTTAATAGCCTCTCTTACCCAGACCACCAGTGTATGTCCGTCCTGTTCCACATTTATTGTTAGTTTGGTAACAAAGGCTACTATTTCAACAAAAGATAACTCTTGCAAATTTTGGTAAATCTGTCGACAAAGCTGCATTATGAAGTCAACGCCTCATAATGTTCAGTGTTTATAATTATGTTTGTTGTCATCATTATTCACAGAATTACATCTAAGAATGAATATAATTATAGAATTCTTCAAATTCTTATTTATACCAAGTTGTTAAATTTTTACTAAATATTAGTTAAAAGTTAATTTGTCACTTCCCACTGTTTCTCCATGTCTAACTTTTTGCTTCAGATATTATTAGATATCTATGGTGTATACTGAAAATACAAAATCAATGATAATGTATTTCTAGAAAATTTAGGTGTAAATATCCTTTGAAATAAATGTATTATTCAGAATTTTACTATGCTGTATTTATTTCCATTGTTGCATTAAAACCTTTCACCACCAAGTCCATGATTGTGTCAGGGCCCATAGGTTAAACTTATGTCAGTTGTTAGGAGCTTAGACATAATCAAGAGAAGAGAAGCGACTGCTCGTATTGTTGGCACTATAACATTGCTTCTTGGTTTATCTTCAAACATTCTGCCTTGTGGTGTCACTTACAATACCAGTTGTTGTCTGGACCTCTTATATGTGGACTTAAAGTAGCTAAGTCTCTAACTCCGTATCATCCAAAGTCTTCGACATTGAAAACACGAATTATTTGTCAATTTAAATATACATTGATGTTGTGAGCGTACGGGAAAAGATGGGCTTCTGATATCCAATATTTAAGACAAAAAAAACATTTTACCATTGGTACATGAATCATGTACCGTAATGCGTTTTAGCGCAATTTGTTACAAGGGACTCGAAGAACGAGGCTAGTTATATCCCACAAGTCATGTGAAATGGTGACGCCATATATTTATCTTGAGAGCATGAGCAATAAATACTACCGGTGTAGACTGGAATAACTAGATGTTAGATATTACCATTCGATCGAGACTTTTGGTGTATTTCGCTGATTTGAAATTACAGTAAAAACGGAAACGATTGAATGTAAATAAGTTTATATACATTCATATTACATTATTGTGTTGTGTCAATTTCTAGGTCCCAAATATTAGTGATTTAGCTCCTTTAAGTAGTGAAGGCCGCAGTCTGAAAGCTGGGCATTTGTATCATGGGCACTAAAATGTACGTTAGTCTTGCAACTTGGATTCAAACGGCTGAATTGTTTTGAAGGGGCGAGGAGTAATAATATGTCCATTTCCTCTCCGATATGTGCAATTACCGAGAAACTTTCACAACTTTTAATATTAATTCAGTATTAAACTGTACTGACCCATTCTGTTTTAGTTATAACGCTAGATCAAACAGAACAAGAATTATAGGTTTCTTTTGGTGTCAAATGTATAGGCCTATTATAACACACACAAAAATAATCAAAAAGAAAACAATATTATTCCAAGTATTTTATTTAGAAATATGCACTGCTTGCAATGCACTGATGAAGGATTTACTAACAATAACAAATTTGAGCAGGACTAGGACACATATATAATAGTCTACAATATTTCACAGTTTATTTTAATTCTACAAACCAAATACCTAGACAATTACTGAATCATGTACAACTTGGACTTGATAGCATGGTAAATGTACAACACATAACTTTTATTTATATACACAGCAATTATATTGATAACAAAAGAAATTGAGAAAAAACTGCAAAATATAACAAAACAAAATGATCTAACACCATGTAAAAAATCACATTCTATCATCATGCCAATCATCTGACCATGTTAGTTTTCTAAATGCATAGATTGCATAAAACGTTTAGTTTTATTTAATAAGTGCAAATTAAATCACACTCTTAAGAACTTAATAAAATTAATTCATACTGATATATTAAAATATATTTCTAATTCTATACCCTGATGCGAGAAGTGAACAAAAATATACAAAGTTCAGTTTTATAATAATTGTGCAACATGTAATATAATTATTTTTAAGAGTCTTCTGAAAGAACAAATTCTGGTACTGACAAGATAAACAGCACCTAGTTACAACCTTTAAGGAGAAAGACATCTTTTTCCAGTTCCAACAAAAAGACAGATTACCAAGTTTATGTTGTGGTCTTTCAGACTAACTATAAATAGTTCATCAAAACAGTCAGGGTTATACTTATAGTTTTCAAAAGTAATGACTGTTCTGTCTATGTTTAATGGAACAGTTTTCCTGCGTTTTCTATTAATAAACATTTACTTCTATTTCCCCACATCAATCCCTACTAAAAAAAAACTAACAACATTCAAGAGAGAGGAAATCAAATAAAATGAATTATAATACTGTTATCTATATATATATAATAGCCAACACAAATAATTGTATATTACATAGGTATATAGAATGAAAGCTCCAAATAAGTCAACAAAAGAAGCTTATTAACAAAATTATGGAACATTATTTAATATTATATACAATCAAATTAACATCTTACACCCTTCCCTCCCCAACACTGGTAAAACTATGATATTAAGTTATTTCAATAAACATATATTCTTCAAAATCTGTTCTAAAGTCAATGAATAAATCTGTTATGACTCCCAGATCATATGGGCATGTTTTGAGTTACATTTATTTTTAAAGATTCATCAAAAATTTCTTTATAAGTTGTCATCAAATAAAATGTACTAACATCATGCCTAAAGGCATAAATATGAAATGAATATAATTCTAGTAATAAACAGAGAAAACTAAGAAAAGCAAAATATTTGCCTGCCCACCCCTCAAACTGTAAGGTCATCATCATATATAAACATGTATCTACAGTTCATTTTATAATTACATAAAGATACATTTATCAATCAAACTGAGAAAGACTCGAACATATTTTGGGAGTTTCAAAATCACTGCAATCGGTTTTTATTAGGTATGTAGGTTATAAATACATTAATAATATATATAGACATGGTATTAATATATTCATCATATATACAGATAGATGTACTTACAGTAATCAATTAGTGGTTTGAAAATTAGCACTTCATCATTCAAGGTGTATTTGACAACACATTAAAAACAGGGTTATCTAGGATATTACAGTTTACTCTCAGAGATATATTTCCTTCATCCAACATAATCATCAGAAGACTATTGTGTTGAACAACAGACTTACAATAACATAGATTTAATTAACTACAGTCATAATAAAGATATATGTATAATAATATTGCACATCTTGAAACTCACGTTTAAGGATTCTTGATTTCATATAACACATTAATAATCTTTATGATGATAACAAACCGCTTTCAATGAACTATCATAATAACGAAATGTTTTGTTTGGTATATCATATACCATACAACAGAATTTAAAGTGGTTTGGTTTCTCATCAAAATTCAACCTTTAAAATTCTGGGAATCTATAAAGTATAGTTATAATAATTATTTTCAGGTTAACATGAGTATATATATATACAGCATATAACAAATGATTCTATTTATAATTAGGAAATATAATTATATCACATTATTTAAAACTGAATTCTATAATTCTAGTTCATTAAAAACTCTTCGGCACCAGACAACATGATCAGATCGTGGTTTATCGTTATCTTGTAATTGTCTTAATTCAGCATGATGTAGTTGTTTGTAGGCTTTCTTGTACTCTCTATCAAAAGCATCTGAAATGAAGAAATTAATGAGAAATCTATACTTAGACCATTCTAAAATATAGGTTGATTGGCATCATAACATACACTCACAGTCAGCTAAGTCATCTGAGCAGTCAACATAGGTTGTTGTTTGGTAGAGCTGTCGCAACCAGGGAAGGGGTGTGCTGCAGCCCCTCCAATAGTTTGCAAATATGTGTTTCTTAGTGTAGAAGTTGACCCATGGACAATCCCCAGGGTCCCCATTTTGGCTTCACTACCCTGCCCCCCCCCCCCCCAACCCCAATAAAGTGAAATGCATGACGTCATTGTGATAGAATAAAAAAGACAAATATTCTTACCATGATCAATATTTTCTCGTCCACAAGCTTTAAATACCAGGAAGAGTACTTCACGATACATACTACGGAATCTGTGTCTCTTTACTCGTAACCTTTTACGTCCATGCATCACATGTTTGATTGGTGTTAAAACATCATTACACTGGATACTAGAAAATATCTGATGCATTACCCTACAAACAAGACAGAATATAAATATAGGCAAAAACCAATTCTATCGCCCTTAACGTGTAGACCATATCTATATAATTTTTTTACCCCACTTAAAAAATAGACCCAATTTTGGATAATTATGCACCATTTAAAATATGGACCCGTGACTAAATAACTTTACTCCACTTAAAATATAGACCCAATTCTAAACAATTTTACTCTACTTAAACAGGCATTATGTAAGAGCTAAATCTGCCTATTGTAGGTCTTTCTTTGGGCCTTAAGAGAGAGAGAGAAATGGGGTTTAACGTCCACTCGACACAAACTAGGTCATTTCGGGACTAACATATGGTTTAATTTTATTTTCATAATTCGCTTGTGCGTAGGGGTCTTTAGCAGTGAGAGGAAACCAGAGGAACCGGAGAAAACCCACGAGGTTGGACAGGCGACCCTACTCCTTGCCAAGTACAACCAGGGATTCGAAACCAAGCCAGTCGACTCAATGACAGACTTTATGATACAGCGCGCGCACGCTAACCATTCAGCCATCCAACCCCCCTCTTTGGGCCTTAAATGTTATATAAATTATTAATTATACGAAGAACGATCTAAGTCACTTTTTCAACGAACCCCCGTTAATGGCGCCATCTGGTAGCAAATTGTATAAGCTTTCTGTGGAAAAATCAATTTCAGGTAAAAACGATCAGAGTCACATCAAACCAAGGCCCTTCTGAAATGGCCTCCCGGACAAATACAAGTCCATCGTATTTATTTGACCTTAATTTGGCTTAAAAGTGGAAGTCAGTTGTTGTACTGGTAATTATGATTCGTATTAAACATCATTTTGAAGTTGTAATTAAACCCACTAGTTGTTATGTTCGCGTCAAGCATTCTCTTCCAAAAGTCTGTTTTGCCTTTTATGCGAAAAGACAAAAATGTGACTTAGATCGTTATTCCCCTGGACTCTTCATTTATTAACATGACAAGACCATAAATCAACTCCGGATGCCATCGGATGACTCTGATTTTAAGTAGATTAGAACAGTGTGGCCATTTAATGATGATTTAATTTAACAAGAGCATCGCTAACGCTGCAATATACATCCACATTCCAGCATTGATTGATATGGTACTTTTTAAAATGAAGAGAATGAAAAATGAAATGGTTGTAATATGATAAAAGGCAAAGACGGCTAGGCGTTGGGTTTGTTTTGCCAAATTTACAGACAAAATAGTAACCAAAAAGTGGGGGTGACACTGTCCCAGGAGGTCGGAGCAAGCACCAAAATAAATAGTTGCTGTCTTTACGGTATAAAGAATAAATATGCAAAGTTCCAAGATGATCCATTCAGAATTGCAGCCTGTAGACGATAAATACAAAAAATGGGCGTGGCTCTTCCCCTGGCGATTGGATATGGAACAATATGAATAGGTGCCGTCCTTAGCGTATAAGAAATAAGGATTTCAAATTCCAAGATAATCCATTCAGAATTGTGGCCTTGGGGCTCTAAAGGCAAAAATTGGGCGTGGATCTGCCCCTGGTGGTCGGGGCATTCACCAAAATCAATAGTTGACACCTTTAGGCTATAAGAGTATAAGGAATACATATGCCAAGTACAAAGTTGATCCATTCAGAACTCCGGCCTGTAAACGATAAACACAAAAATTGGGCGTGGCTCTGCCCCTGGGGGGCGGGACAAGCAGTTGTTGTCCTTAGGCTATAAGGAATACATATCCCAAGTTCAAAGACGATTAGGAATTGTGGCCTGTAGGCAACTCACAGGGACACAAAGAACAAATGGGTGTGGCTCTGCCCCTGGGGGTTGGGCATGTACCCCAAACGATAGGGATGTTCCTTAGGGTACAAAGAATGTGTATGCAAGATTATAAGTTAAGAAATGTGGCCTGTAGACGACAAACAAACAAATACTAGAAATGGGCGTGGCTCTGCCCCTGGGGGTCGGGCATGCACCAAAAACAATAGGGATCTTCCTTGAGGTATAAGGAATAAGTATACCAAGTTTGAAGAAAATCCAGTAAGAATTGCGCCCTGTAGGCGACACAAAGACACACGAAAAGAAAATGGGAAATGGGCGTGGCTCTGCCCCTGGGGGTTGGGCATGTACCCCAAACGATAGGGATGTTCCTTAGGGTACAAAGAATGTGTATGCAAGATTATAAGTTAAGAAATGTGGCCTGTAGACGACAAACAAACAAATACTAGAAATGGGCGTGGCTCTGCCCCTGGGGGTCGGGCATGCACCAAAAACAATAGGGATCTTCCTTGGGGTATAAGGAATAAGTATACCAAGTTTGAAGAAAATCCAGTAAGAATTGCGCCCTGTAGGCGACACAAAGACACACGAAAAGAAAATGGGCGTGGCTCTGCCCCTGGGGGTTGGGCATGCACCCCAAACGATAGGGATGTTCCTTAGGGTACAAAGAATGTGTATGCAAAGTTTCAAGATTATTAGTTAAGAAATGTGGCCTGTAGACGACAAACAAACAAATACTAGAAATGGGCGTGGCTCTGCCCCGGGGGGTCGGGCATGCACCAAAAACAATAGGGATCTTCCTTGGGGTATAAGGAATAAGTATACCAAGTTTGAAGAAAATCCATGAAGAATTGCGCCCTGTAGGCGAACCACAGACACACACACACACACACACACACACACACACACACACATACATACATACACACACACACACACACAGACAGGGGCGACGGCATAATACGTTCACATTATGAATGTGGACGTATAAAAATGGAGAAGTGAGGCTAAGACTCCAATGACCAGTATATGTTGTTTACGATCAATGCACACATCTTGACAAAACTACAACCATTGATAATTTCACTCAAAATAAAGTAATTTGAATGAAATTGTAAATATATTTATTTTACTCTACTTAAAATATGAACCTTATTCTAGATAATTTTATTCTACTTAAAGATGCATTATTCAAGAGATAAATCTGCTTATTTTGGCTTCAAATGTTATATCATTTAGACATTAATTCACATGACAAGCCTATAATCAACTCTCTAGACTGTCGGATGGCAGAGATTTAAACAGATTGAAATGTGTGGCTGAGTCTCGATTGAGAAGTAATGTTGCTACGGTAATAAACAATATTTGCCACAAATATTGACAAAACTTCAAACAGTGATACCTTGGCTCAGTATAAATAATTTGAATTACAATATATTAATTTTGAATTATCTATTTTGGAACGATTATAGCAAGAACTATCAGCTCTTTAACTAAATCTTACATAATGCATCTTTAAGACATGGACCTAATTCTAGACAATTTTATGCTACCAAAAATGATATTCATAAACACAGCTTTTTAATACCTAGATGTAGATGATCTTCAGTCTAATATAAAATGAAAACTATTTTTTATGATCAGATGTGAAATATTTCTAGACATGATACCAAGATATTTTTGCCTCCTTAAAGGAGGTCAATATTAAGTATATCTCAGATAAAAATAATACATACGCTCTAGAAAATGGTTGGGATTCTGTAATCAATGCATCCATCATGGAAGCACTTTTAACTGTAAATAAAATTCAAAATCATTTATATATAAAAAAATACTGCATAATATATCTTTATATGCCATCCCATTTCTTAAATATTATGTTACTATTCATTTCTTACATGTATGTAGTATGAAGTAGAAAATGTTTCTTATGCCTAATAACAAAACAATAATATATTTGAGCAGGACATATTAAAGACAGAAACTATTAAAGACATCAAATTATATCAGTAAATCACCAACCTGAATCCCATGAAATATACATTGGTAAACCAATTTCATCATGTATTTTTGTATTATCCCATAATGGTCGTATTAATACATTAGCGCTAGTATAACCACTAGATGACTGGAAATACAATTAAACAAACATATAACACATAAATATAATCATTAGGAGTAAAAATAACAATCTTGATGACTGGAAATACAATTATACAAACATATAACACATAAATATAATCATTAGGAGTAAAAATAACAATCTTGAAATAACAGGATTTGTGAATCAAATAGGACTGATGCATATTTTACTATATTTTTCTTAGTCATGACAAGAAAAGGTTATATATTTATAGGTGATAGAGATAAAAATATTCCCATGATTGCTGTGATGATGTATTGTTGTGTATTACCTCTTGTGTTTTATTGATAGACTTTGAGGATAATAAAAATTCTGTTAACTGACTAGGCACACCAATTCTTTTAAAATACCAAATCTGTAATAATTAATAGATTATAAATATACATAACATTATACATTAAAATTTGATTCAGTGCTTTTGTTAATTTTTGAAAACTATAAAATAAAAATAATTTATGATGCTAAAATTTGTCAAGATACTAAGTACAAGTGTCAGTAAGATCGGGGTAAACTTAAAATTGAAGTAGATGACACATTAAAGTTAGGCAGGGGTAAACTTATCAATTAAATTATTTAAATACATTACACAAAATATATTTTCTAATAAATAAAACCAGCGGCTGCCATGCAGGATACGCCCACATTTTCGAGAGATGGATAGAGAACAAGCTAAAAAGAAAGTGATTTTTCCTACAATCAAGGGCCATAATTCAGGAAATTACAATTCAATATGCACAAATATCGAAAACAAATCGAGATCTTTTGGTTATAAACTTACATTTCAAATTTCAACAAAATCGGATAAAAATTGTGACCTCTATAGGGTCCACAACTTTGATATACCATATTTTTACGCTATTGGAGAACGAGGGGCGGCTATTTTGCCAGTCAGTTTTGGGCCGATTTTCACAAAATTCTAACTCAGCCGTCCTTAGGGTACAACGGTGATACACTAAAACATTTTTTTAAATCATATAAAAATTATGACCTTTATAGGGCCCACAAGCTAGAAAACGCAATTTTTCCTTCAATCAAGGGCCATAATTCAGGAAATTACAATTCGATATGCGCAAATATCGAAAGAAACCGAGATCTTTGTGTTATAAACAAAATCGGATAAAAATTGTGACCTCTATAGGGTCCACAACCTTGATATACCATATTTTTATGCTAATTGAGAACGAAGGTCGGCCATTTTGTCTGTCAGTTTTGGGTCGATTTTCAGCCGTGCTAAGGGTGTAACGGTGATATAATAATACGTTTTTTTAAATCAGATAAAAATTATGACCTCTATTGGGTCCACAAGCTAAAAATTCTATTTTTCGTACAATCAGGGGCCATAATTCGGGAAGTTACGATCCGATATGCGCGAATATCGAAAGTAAGCGAGATCTTTGGGTTATAAACTTACATTTCAAGTTTCAACAAAATCCGATAAAAATTGTGACCTCTATAGGGTCCACAACCTTGATATACCATATTTTTACACTATTCGCGTACAAGCGGCAGCCATTTTGTGCGTCAGTTTTGGTCCGATTTTCACGAACTTCGAACTCAACCTTTATTACGGTGTAACGGTGATATACTAATACAGTTTTTTAAATTGGATAAAAATTATGACATCTGAAGGGACTTCAAGCCAAAAACGCAATTTTTCGTACAATCAGGGGTCATAATTCAGGAAATTACGATCCGATATGAGCGAATATTGAAAGGAACCAAGATCTTTGGGTTATAAACATGCATTTAAAGTTTCATCAAAATCGGATCAAAATTGTGACCTCTAGAGTGTCTACAAGCTAAAAACGCGATTTTTTGTACAATCAGGGGCCATAATCCATGAAGTTATGGTCCGGTACATGCCAATATCAAGAGGAACCGAGATCTTAGGGGGATAAAGCTATATTTCAAGTTTCGTTGAAATCGGATAAAAATTGTGACCTGTAGAGTGTCCACAAACAAATTGTGGACGGACGTACGGATGGACAAACAGGGGCGACGACAATATACGTCCACATAAAAATGTCGGCGTATAAAAAATTTAACGATTGAAATAATACTTACTAAATTCCAGAATATAATAGGATGATCAGCTATAAAATTATCTGATGACAAACATAAATCCCCTTCATTCTCTAAAACATGTTCTAATTCTTTACGTAATACCAGTGGACTTAGATAAGGTACAACAATAGGTTCTATAGTAGATATACACCTATAAAAATTAACATCATATTTCATTTATTATTGTGTTGTAATAAAACAAAATCTTCAAGAAAATTTGTGAGATGAAAAACTTTTATGTCAAGTCTATCATTCTTCTATATTTTGATTTTTACAGCAGGAGTCTTGCTGTCTGTATCTATTTAAGATTATTTAAATATCGGTTCTTCTATTCTCTATCTCACAAATATGCCTGGTCGTGCTCTATGTCTTATTAAAAATGTTGAAATTGGGATATGCATTAATTAAGCCTGTTTGATATGAAATAACAGGAGTTATGTAATTTATATTAGGTGTATCAGACTGTTGAGGTTGCAAATCGCCCAAACCACCATCTTCAAAATGCCAAGATAAAGATAGTAAATGACAAGATATTATGACACTTATCTGATATCTTGACTGTATTACTATAGTATTAGCTGACTGTCGTACATCAGGTTGAAAAAATGTTTTTAAAAATTGAAGATATATCTACATTAAAAGAACAGAACACCCAAATGCACTGGTTTGTACGCCTAAGTGTGTTTCATTAACAAGCTACAGTAATACATTCAGTTAACTCCTTGGGGATACTCGATTGAACATTCCAGAATTGAATTCTCCCAATCCCAAAATAGTGACAATTGAGTGTAAAGGGGGATTTCAGACTACAATGCATTTGCCAACCGGATCAGAAAATATCTCAAGCAACCATGACAGCTGAAACGTGTTGGTTGTGTTTAATTATGCCCTGATTCTACCCACACCACCTCCATTATCGGGACTGACATAACTATGACAGAAGTGATGTTTCGGATTGACAATCATGCATCCCCATAGTGTGACAACAAAGTCAGCTAACACAGTCAATGAGTCAAAGTATCAAATCAATGTTATTATACCATGACAATATGAATATAGCATATCATACAAATATACTCAAGCAATGATCAGAAATTTAGTTCAATTATTACAATCACCTCGACATAATATCCATCTTTGATCCTGGAAAACTTGCTCCAAATGACCCCAACTCCTCATCTTCATCAATGGATATACTTAATGGTGATTTGAGATGTCTATTGTTTATACCATCAATAGATTCAACAGATGAACTGTACGACATATCATCAGTAGCACGAGTCAGACATTCACTAGTACATCTTTTTCTAGCATCTAATGCAATTTCACTTAAATTTAATGATTCACTATCAGACACAGACTCAGTTTTGAGTTCACCCCCATGAAAACTCAGTAATCTCTCTGTCAGTCTTCTCGGTGATTTTCTCGTCGGACTAGGAGAACGTTTGAATTTATCTTCTAGTGTCCCATCCTCTCCAAATAAAAGTTGACTCTCAGATAACGAAGATGTTCTACTAGTATTATTAAGTTCTTCACCATCAACACCTATTTCACTGATTTCTATTATATTACCATTTATTGGATTAGATAATAAAGCTGTATTCTTTTTTGATCGCCAATCCTATAAAACAAATAAATATTAGACATAATTTACAACCAGACCATTAAATGCTTTATTTTACCCCATTAGTTCCTCTATTATACATCATTATGTCCGATATTTTATTCCATTAGTTCCTCTATTAAACATATTATGTCCTATATTTTATTTCATTAATTCCTCTATTATGCATCATTATGTCCTATATTTTATTCCATTAGTTCCTCTATTAAACATATTATGTCCTATATTTTATTCCATTAGTTCCTCTATTATACATATTATGTCCTATATTTTATTAAATTAGTTCCTCTATTACATCATTATGTCCTATATTCTATTTTACCCTGTTAGATCCCCCTTTTCAATCCCATTAGACCTCCTACTTAGATTCTCCATTTTACCCCCATTAGAACCTCTATTATATGTCACATGCTCACCTAATCTATTCCATAATATCCTCTATTCTACTTAATTTATTTCATAATCACCCCATTACCTGTATAATATTATATCTCATGTGTTATATAATCAATATACAATATAATACATGTACTTACTTTTACATAAATTTGAAGATTTGGAACAAACTTTGAAGGACAAAATGAACACCTGAAATAACAAATATATAACAAAACATATAAAACATATAATATTGTTTTTAGTTTATAAAAAAACACATCCTATCTTGCATATAACATATTATGATCATCTAAAACCTTGTTGAATGTCATATAATTAGAGAATTGTTCAGGTTTAATAACAATTCTCTAATACAGGTTTGAAAAGTTAGATAAACAGAATAACATTTGTTAGACTCTTAGAGTAAACAAATTATTTGAGAATATGGCAAGTACTACAGCATATTCAATACTTAGTATAACAAATTATTTCATCTAACATGGACTCATTGCTAGTTTAAGAAACAAACAACAAGTGCTTATTATACTCCAAGAACACAAATTAAAAATGATTGTTGAGTAAAAATATTTGACCTTGTATTTAGATTAGAATCATCAGCACTCCAGCCAGCCATTATCTCTTCATCATATATTAACGAATGACATTTACTACATCGTGAACAACTAGTTATCTCCACTTCTATAGCTATCTCTGATAAATCACTGGTAATCTTTTCTAACGGAGGTGCTTTTCTACTACTGTCTGCCAAATCTCTATATGGTACATATCTATCTAAAAACGATGGTGATGGAACACTCCCTGATAAAAAAAAATCACATTTATAAATAAAAGTTAGACTCAGGGCCAGGGCTAGCTTTGAAATTTTACATTTACAGCACAAGGAAAATACACAAAAAGCCACTTTATATATAAAATACGAATCAAGAGCTTCCACCTCTGGTTTGGAATTTATTGCCACCATGATCAATTCCTTTTATTGAGGTGTAAAGGCTAGGAGCTATTGATTAGTGCTCAACAGTGAAAAGACATTAAATTAATGTTCCACAGTTTTTGCTGGGAAAGACACGATATAACAGCTGCTGTTATTGTGAACTTTTAATTTATGTTGTTTTCTAATTTTCAACATAATACTATCGTGTCAATTTTTCTTTCAAGTTAGTATTTATTATCAAACTATAATTGTATAAGTAATAATATCAATTAATAATAGACTTTAGTTCTAAAACTGCTAGAATAACAACTCATGCATACATAGCATGCTGTAAATATATATCAAAATATATGGTAGCTATTATTAATCTCTAGGATGATACTTGTATGTACCATTTGAATTAATGTTCAACAATAACTGATTGACATGCATAGTGATAAATGAATTTACAAATACAATGTGAATGTAGGCGTGTGATGCTTAGCTAATGTTATGAGCGCTGCACATAAACAAGTGATACGTAGAAATTTGTTAATATCCAAACTGTAATAAATGACAAAATTAAGGTTCATTAATAAACTCCTATATTCTGTATAGTATATAAAAAAATATATTGTATTAATATATAATTTGACACACTTGTGATACTACACTATTGAAAAATCTTAAATTTACCACAAGATGTTTGTGATGCCAGTGTGTCTGAACACTGTTCACTGCTGACAGATGGACTCAGAAGATCCTGGCTGCCTCCAAAACTTCTCTTATCTTGTACAGTACTAGCACTTTCATCATCTCCGGTACCACTATCTTGATCATCCATTGACCGTGCTAGAGATGCAGTTGAACCATTCTTGACGGGTGTTGTAATGGACTGCTTGATTTCATTAAATTTCTTATAAGCCTTTGTGGTGGTTTTGGCAGCATAGCTAAATAGACCAGTCATAGCTTCTGTGGTATTTCTTCTTAAACTCTGTGTACGTCGTAACATAAAACTAGTAGGTCGTTCTTTTGGTTCATCTAATGATAGTGACGACTGCTTCTGTGGCATGACAGTAGAATTACTGAGGTTCTCAGAGTCCTTTTCAGTGTTAACGTCTTTTTCAGCACCAAGTAAGCAGTTGGGGGAACTACTTGTTCGTCCCAGATCAGACAAGGTTTTTATGGGAGCATTTTGAACACTAGTAGAATCTAACGAACCAGTGTGTGAACGAGTATCATAATTATCACAGTTTTTAACATTATCTATGGAAGCGAAGGGGGTGCTAGAGAATAATCTTTTAGAATTAAAACTATTGGATGAGTCTGATGTTTTAGTAGGACTAGATGACGATTTTTCCATACTGCTTTTCAACTCTTCCTCCATGAAATAACCTAGCGGATCACTTTCCGTGACAGGAGTTTTTATAATGGAGGAACTCAGGGACTCTGTAGGACTCCTCGCACCCTCGGAACTCTTTTCAGAAATATTTGACAGTCGATTTCCAGTTTTTGTTGAGCCATTAGCACAGAAAATATTTTTTGAGCTTTCTTCTTCACATTCTTCTGTATCAAAAGTATGTCCATTTTCATCCAAACCAACACCGCTATCTTTTATATTCTCCAATTTTTTTCCAGAATCGGTAGAATCTGTCTTTGCTTTATCAGAAATGCCATCTTCAAAGATGTCATCATCCCCATCTTTGTGGACAAGATCCGAAAATCGTATGCTGGACTCATCCCCGGTACCAGTTAACCATGGTCGTAAGCTTGCTAACAGACTATTAGAGCGAGCTTTAGTCCAGTAGTCTCCAGCACTCTTATGACGTCTCCGCTTTTTCTCATTTTCCACCATGTTCATACTACCTTGTCGGAAAACACAGTTATCAAGCACACCCTGGCTAACCATCAGTAATCCAGCTGATTTACCTAATAAAAAGAAATTGTAAGTCTTCAATCAAATTTTGCTGTTAAAATGTAAAGAAAATACCTGCATATTATACACGTACAGTTACACTATAAAATAATTTAAACGCTTTACCTTATAATTATATGCATTGAATTTAATTATTCTCTGTTTTAAAGCATATTTTTTATAGAACCCTTTTCTTTAATATAACTTATAGGGTACAATTTCAATTATGAGAGAAAATATATATATTTTGGATAACTTCAACTTTTTGCAACCATAATCACATATTTTAGTCTCCTACAACAAGAAATGTTGACTTACTGATAACACCTTTCAATGTTTCATATTCTGAATTAGATGTATTACTTTCTACTTGAACCATTTTACGGACAATACTTCCTACACGACCTCTAAATAAAGATGATGGATTCTCATTCACTTCACCATCTGAAAAATAAAAACTCTTAAAACTGAGACAATTTCAATGCTATATCTATCATCTACATTCCTTAATATAAAAATTTGTTAGAAATAAAATGTATATACTTCATTTTGGATTGTTATTTATCACTTTCATGTTTTGTCCCTAAAATAAGACTATCATTAGATTAGAATGAATACTAATGGGTTATAATGATGTTATAGCAATTATTATTTCTGCAAAGCAACACAGACAAATTGTAACACATAAAAGTAACACTTCACAAAAGAACTCAAGAAAAATATAAATTTTGGTGACCTTTTTTTAAAACTAAATTCATATAATATACTATTATGAACATGCAGCCATAGCAGATTCTCCTAAAAGATATTTTTGTCTTCAACATCATACCGCATAGAAACCTCTTCCAGGAAGGTAATTCACTATAAAGATGTTGGTATATATGCAATGTGAAGGGGATAACTTTGCCAAGACAGTGGCATGGGTGTTTTTATATGCATGTAAATATTTACACGGGTGGTCCTCGGTTTCCATCCCATTCAAACAAATAGGCAAAGAGATAATTACTGTATTACGAGAAAACAACTATAGGTTAATTATGGTCATGGACATGGCTCATAATGTACATCAATATGACAGTAGATAAAAATGGGCAACCGACAGACACACACTCTTACCTATCCGAGTAATCCGACACTTCGTGTCACCCACTAAAATATCAAACACAAGGGACCTTATAGTCAATTTCTTAGACCCAAATTTCCTATAAATGTTCCACTAAGTGGACCTGCCATAGTAAAAACGTTATCTTCATATGTCGCAAACAATATGATCTAATTTGTTCACTCAACAAGTGGCTGTCAAGCAAGATATGCCCAACTTTTTTGAAAGATGGACTGAAAAGATGGACAGAGAATGTCATTCTTTGTACAATCAGAGGCAATAATCCAGAGACAGAGAGAGAGAGATAGAGAGATAGAGAGATAGAGAGAGAAATGGGGTTTAACCTGGACACAAACTAGGTCATTTCGGGACAAACATATATTGTTCAATTTTATTACAATAATTTGCTTGCAAGTAGGGGTCTTTTAATTAGCAATGGGAGGAAACCGGACAGGCGACCCTACTTCTTGTCACGTATAACTGGGGAATCGAAACCACCCAGTTGACTCAATGACATACACCTTATGATAAGATAGGTTGCCAGGCAACGAAACATACGCCCACAGCAGCTAAATCGTCCGGGCAGTCAACAAGAGTTGTCGCATACTTTTACTTTTTTCGGTAATGAAACATTTATAATACACTAAAATCTAATTAAGAGCAACAACTCAGAAAACCATTAGAATTTGTTTGGTTTTTATAAAGTTCTGCCCCATGCTAACATTTTGTATACAAAACTTTTAATACTGTATCATGGATTTAGCTGTTCCAAGTCATATTGAAAATCAATATACTTGTTCGTCTCAATATCTTAAATTCTGTGTATCAATCTGAAGTCAATCGGATATTAACTTTGGCCTCTAGAGCGTCCACAAGATTTTTCAAAGTGATCAAGGGCCATAACTTTGGCAGTAATTATCAGAAATCTTTGAAGATCAATAGGATTCTTCGCCTCGTGACCTCAAACACTGTTTATAAATTTAAAGTCAATCGGATATTAACTTTCGCCTCTAGAGCGTCCACAAGATTTTTTGAAGTGATCAAGAGCCATAACTCTGGCAGTAATTATCAGAAATCGCTGAAAATGAATAGACTTCTTCGTCTCATGACCTTAAACACTGTGTATAAATTTAAAGTCAATCGGATATTAACTTTAGACTCTAGAGCGTCCACAAGATTTTTTGAAGTGATCAAGGGCCATAACTCTGGCAGTAATTATCGGAAATCGCTGAAAATGAATAGGCTTCTTCGTCTCATGACCTTAAACACTGTGTATAAATTTAAAGTCAATCGGATATTAACTTTGGCCTCTAGAGTGTCCACAAGATTTTTTGAAGTGATCAAGTGCCATAACTCTGGCAGTAATTATCGGAAATCGCTGAAAATCAATAGGATTCTTCGTCTCATGACCTTAAACACTGTGTATAAATTTAAAGTCAATCGGATATTAACTTTGGCCTTTAGAGTGTCCACAAGATTTTTTGAAGTGATCAAGGGCCATAACTCTGGCAGTAATTATCGGAAATCACTGAAAATGAATAGGCTTCTTCGTCTCATGGCCTTAAACACTGTATATAAATTTAAAGTCAATCGGATATTAACTTCAGCCTCTAGAGCGTCCACAAGCAATTGTGGACGCCGGACCGACAGACGGACGGGGGCGACGACAATATACGACCACATTTCAATGTGGGCGTATAAAAACGCGCACGCGCGAACCATTCAACCATGGCCTAAGTACTGACTGCCTATTAAATAACTCAGTGAACAAGTGATGAAATACAAGCGTTAGACATGAGTGAAGTGTTACTTTAATAAACAATACAACATGGAATAACAAGGGTGAATGATGTTACATGAGGCAGATGGCTAATAGCAGCAATACATACCACCATGAACAACTGACTATATATAATTTATAATACTACTATATAAGAAAAAAAAACATCGTCTCTGATCAATCAAAGCCATTATTCTACCTTTTTCATTTGGAATATTTTGTCTTTGTGTTTTTTGATGGAAACTAACACTTCTGCCTGTAATCTTTTTACGTTTCTCCAGACTGCTTGTAGGTGATTTTTCTTTCTGGTTGACATTACTTAAAAACTGTGACAGACAGTGTACGTCTTCTTGTGTCATTGAGTTATATCCTCTATCTGAAGCGCCACCTTTAAGGACCACATTAATAATAATACATGTACTATTTATTGGCGCTTTTGCTTATATAAAAACTGAACTAATAAAATTAATTCCCCAAGACATATTAGAGAAATTTATTTATAAGCACACAATTTCATTATAATGTAATCAAGTCTAACATAATCGAAAAAAAAAAAAATTGTCTAGACAACTTTTTTTGTTTGAAGTCTGAACTGATTTCCTTGTTCAAGTACAATGACATAGATCAAATAATTTCTTATATATTTTTAAATGAAAACATCACTAATTTTTTTCCTACTGTCTTTCCTGTTCAAAACAAAAGAAGATAACTAGTTTATACTTGAAACAATTTACAAAAACAAATCATGGGTCAAAGTTAATTTGGTTGTTGAAAACCAACACCAAAAGCAGAAAAGAAATAGTGTAATTTATCAAGGTACGAGTCACATGTACCTAATATTAATGTCAACATATATTTCTAGCAAATGAATATGATAAAAGCTGGAAAAAAAACGTAGTGAGTGATTCAGGCATACAAATCAAAAAGCCTTTGATATGAAATGAAAGTGATAAAGCTTTATGTGTGATAGTATGAAATGAATGTTGCATTATGAAATGAATGTATGACTGATAAACTGCTAACCCACCATGCATGGAATGATGTCAAACTAACAGTAAAATAAATTGGATCATTCCAAGCTTTTAATATTGAGATCTTTACTCATCAGACAGAAAGAATTCAGTGCACGATAATACAACAGTCATGCCTTTAACTGTTGCATGCAAAATCAATCCTAAACCCATAAAAAAAAAACGTTTTTATAATAAAATAAATTCTAATAAAATCTACAAAACTAAAAGTTTCAAGTCTAAAAGAACTGAAATAAATAAACAAACCTGGTTGTATTACTTTCAACAACAATATTTTCAATCATGCCAACAAAAATTGCTATACCTTATAGAAAACAATTACCTGTGCTAAGTCTATCTTCAACATTAGCTTTACTGATATGAGGTTCTGTTGTATCATCTAAAAATGTCTCTGATTTAATGGAAGTGATCTTTTGTACACCATCCTCCATATAACTATCGACACTGGTTCGACTCACTTTATCATATTCACCTTCCGATGTCGAACACATAGAAACACTTCGTCTACGCACATTTCGTCGAAACTGTGCCACACCTACAATCATGTTCCTTAACTTAGTCCACATCTTATGACGACCTTTAGAATTAGGTGAGGGCCATTGTGCTTCTAACATCACCTGTGCAGAAAAAAGATTTAACAATTTATAAACCCATAGAGACACAAGATTCATAAGCATTATTGATATCATAACTAGGAAGATGTAGGTAAAGATAGTCTCCCAAGTGTTGATATTAGTGGATAAGATTTCAAACTAATACAATTTCCAAAATGTTACTTCACACATCTAGACAAAATATACCAGATTAATTAAGAATACAAATTTTCAAACCAATGTATCAGGTCTCATTTCATTCCATGTACATATCACAAAATTTATAGGGATTTTACTGAATTTCACCACAAAATACAATAGAAACAGTCAGTTTTTTAGCTGAACATTTGTAAAACACAAGTATCTTCTTGTTATGCCACCCCGAGACTTCAACTGTACCCGGAATCCCCAGCATATCCACAACAATACAGATCTGCATGTGAGAAATTGTTCTATAATACTGAAAACATGCTATATTTGTTATATTCTGCTTCTAAGTGAATGATTTACTTACTCTATTATAAAAGCCATAAGTTATAGCATTAGCTTGTATACCATACTTTCTCATATCACCAAATACTCTAATAGCTAAACCAGGTTTATTATACTGTCCACATAACTGCATTAATACACGATAACAAATCTGCAAAAAATATTATACAACATTACACTTTTTGAAATTAGAGATTCAAAACTGAACTGGATTTCAACCCAAAAAAAACAGGACAGCACTGTGACGGTCCCAAGATATTTAAAGTTTTGACAACACATTAATGTCAGCGTGGAACTGACATTGTACATTGCTAATTATCTTACAAAATCCAATTGTAATAAAGGCAATATAAATGATATTCTGGTTCTCAGATAACAGACAGAGAGAGAGAGAGAGATGGGGTTTAACGTCCACTTGACACAAACTAGGTCATTTCAGGACTAACATATGGTTCAATTTTATTTCAATAATTCGTAGGGGTCTGTAGCGGTGGGAGAAACCAGAGGACCTGGAGAAAACCCACAAGGTTGGGCAGGTGACCCTACTCCTTGTCACATACAACCGGGGAATCAAAACCACAGCAGTTGACTCAATGACAGACCTTATGATACAGCGCACATGTGCTAACCATTCGGCCATCCAACCCCCCTTCTCAGATAACACTGACTGTATAATTACAGTGAACAGCTAGAATATTGTTGCTATAACTGTGGGCAGGTTTTCAAAAAGTATGACTTACTTCATCCGGTGGATTTAACTCGGCTTCTTGCATCTGATCTAGAACCGCTTTAGCTGTCTTTAATGCATTCTCTTTATTTGTATTATGATGAACAAATGCTGATAAACTTATAAACCATAAACTATAACAATGTGCCAACAGACATCTAAAAAAAAAAACCAACAACATAATTACCGGTACATGTATTGTAGCAAAAAGAAACAAACCCCTAACAAACATGAACAAAGTTTTATTTACTGAAAAATCAAAAAAATAATAAATGCTTTTTCTTGTCCTCATACAAGGAAACACAAATTAACCAATATAATATAATGTTTTAAATGCAGGTTGACAAAGAAACATATATGCCAACCTGCAGCAAAGGTTTCTGAGCAAAACAGTTTGTATTTTTGTAAGATGGGGAGTAACTCAATGGTGTTCTGCCTTTGAATGGGATACAACAAAGATTTCATTAAAAAGGGGTACTACTCTGGATATGATTATTGAAATCACTGAAAATCAATAGGCTACATCGTTTCACTTATAAGTTATATCATATAGACAAACCATTTTAATTTCAACCAGCGGCTGCCAGGTAGGATACGCCCACATTTTCGAGAGATGGATAGATAACAAGCTAAAACGAAAGTGATTTTTCCTATGCGCAAATATCGAAAAGAACAGAGATCTTTGGGTTATAAACTTACATTTCAAGTTTCAACAAAATCGGATAAAATTGTGACCTCTATAGGGTCCACAACCTTGATATACCATATTTTTACGCTATTTGAGAACGAACGGCGGCCATTTTGTCTGTCAGTTTTGGGCCGATTTTCACGAAATTCGAACTCAACCGTCCTTAGGGTTTAACGGTGATATAATAAAACGTTTTTTAAAATCGGATAAAAATTATGACCTTTATAGGGTCCACAGCTAAAAACGCGATTTGTCATACAATAAGGGGCCATAATTCATGAAGTTACGGTCCGATATGTGCGAATATCGAAAGGAACCGAGATCTTTGTGTTATAAACTTACATTTCAAGTTTCAACAAAATCGGATAAAAATTGTGACCTCTATAGGGTCCACAACCTTGATATATCAAATTTTTACGCTATTTGAGAACGAAGGGAGGCCATTTTGACTGTCATTTTTGGGCCGATTTTCACGAAATTCGAACCCAGCCGTCCTTAGGGTGTAACAGTGATATATTAACACGGTTTTTTAAATCGGATAAAAATAATGACCTTTATAGGGTCCACAAGCCAAAAAACATGTTTTTGCGTACAATCAGGGGCCATAATTCATGAAGTTACGGTCCGATATGCGCGAATATCGAAAGGAACCGAGATTTTTTTGTTATAAACTTACATTTCAAGTTTCAACAAAATCAGATAAATATTGTGACCTATATCGGGTCTACAACCTTGATATACCATATTTTTACGCTATTTGAGAACGAACGGCGGCCATTTTGTCTGTCAGTTTTGGGCCGATTTTCACAAAATTCGAACTCAACCATCCTTAGGGTTTATTGGTGATATATTAATATGTTTTTTTAAATCGGATAAAAATTATGACCTCTATATGGTCCACAAGCCAAAAAACGTGTTTTTACGTACAATCAGGGGCCATAATTCAGGAAGTTACGGTCCGATATGCGCAAATATCGAAAGGAACCGAGATTTTTGGGTTATAAACTTACATTTCAAGTTTCAACAAAATCGGATAAAAATTGTGACCTCTACAGTGTTCACAAGCTCAAAACGTGATTTTTCGTACAATCAGGGGTCATAATCCATGAAGTTACGGTCCGATAGATGCCAATATCGAAAGGAACCGAGATCTTAGGGTGATAGACCTATATTTCAAGTTTCATTGAAATCGGATAAAAATTGTGACCTGTAGACTGTTCACAAACAATTGTGGACAGACGGACGGACAGGGGCGACGACAATATACGTCCACATGAAAGTGTGGGCGTATAAAAAGATGAATGAATGAAATGGGGTTTAACATCTTCCTTTTCTGCTGTAACAGTGCTAATGAAGCCTGTTCAAAAAGATTTATGGATTATTGCAGCCTCTGTTACTAAAACAAGAAATGTAAACTACAGTCCACCCGACTGACAGAAGGAAGACTTGAAGCACTTGTACTGGCAACATAGGACCACATTGAAATGTTTCCCATATAAATATTATCAACCAGGGTTATCTTCTATAATCAAATCTTTAAAATTTCTTACTTGGCCCATCTTTCAGGTGTATTTATCTGTTGCTGGGCTAGCTGAAAAAATAAAATAAAAATATTTACTTGATACATTCAAGTATAAAATGAGTATTGATTTTAGAATTAACATTTCAGCAGTTTTTCAGTCATAAGATGATTGTAGCCGATACACATCATCATTATACCAATTTTGTCAAATAGATCAATTGCTTGGAATTAATCTCCTTTTTACACGATCCAGAAAATTGGTTGAATTCAGTCCAGTCGATTAGGTCTACTTGCCATTAAACAAGATAATGTATAGGGTATTCTATTTTTACCTTTTGAGCTGATCGGATTTCTTGTTTTGTCCGTCTGGCAAAAGGACTGTTTGGACAAACTGATTGTTTAGTAGGTAATGATAAACTAGAAGGTGTTTTCACTAAAAATAATTCACTTCTTAATTCTGGGAAACCATTATAGCTGAAACAGATGAACAAAGTTAATAATACAGGAATAGGGCAATAGTTAGGGAAACTTACTAATACCCTAGTCCACATATCTTATAATTGAAAGTTACTAACTAACAACTTGAAAATATCCTAAATTGTTGAAAATCCTAATTCTTAAAATTCACCTTATGAAATCTTTATTTACATACATTAATAAGAATCTTACTAGCAATTGATCCCATTATTATATACTTATTTTGTATCTTGAGGAAATGTTAGTAAAAATATGTTAACCATGCCATACACTAAGATATATTACCTGTATGTGACACCTTCAGGTAAACCAACAGGTTCTGGTGGCATTATAAACACTGTTCTATCACTGTAATAATACATAAAATAACATTATAAAAATACCAAACAAAATACAGTCTATTATTGTAAGTATGTTTTTAAGCTCAGTTCATCTATTATACATAGCTAATCTCTTTACACAAAGAGGAACAACTGAAGTTCAAGTGGCTTTAATAAACTAAAAATAAGTTCTAAAGATAATATAGTTTGTTGTCTGTGCTTGTACCTTGTATGTGAAGCATCTATCTCTATTAGACGAAGATCTTCTTTGTTTTCTTCTACTTTTTCAGCACATTCATCAAAGAACGCTAAACTGGCATCATTTTCAGATACAAAAGATCTTTCTTCTATAAATCTTATAAACATCTGTGTTTTGATCATTTGATTAAAGAATTTGGCATTGGTTTTATCTCTACTCTTTACAAAACCTGTTTATATAAATACATGTGTAACTCACAATATTCTCTTCTCAAACCCAAATGTAAACCATTACTCCATGTGACTGGAAGTAGTGGTGGATTTCAGGGAAAAGGTAGAGTATGTTTAATCATTCTAGATCACCTGATACCACTATATATTAAAATCTTATTTCCTGTACAGTTCTAAACTGGCCAAAATAATCATTGTATGGTAAACGTATCAAAACATCAAATATATTTATTACATTATATCTTATGATACTTTAAAAACAAGCTCATTTCACATTATATAACTTTTAACACATTATGAATGACATCACTCTTATTACAAGATGAGTGGATGAGAATGCTAGCAAAAGCTGGCTATGATAGGTAGCAGTGGGAAATAGCATAAAATGACACTCAATTTGCAAACCGTTTGTTGATGGTTTTGTTATGCAATATGAGTTTATAATTCTATTTGTTAAAAATTATCATACTTTCAGATAAAAATACTTTGTTTAGTCCGAATAGATGAATAAATTATGCTTGAAGAACACTTTTAAATGAAAACAATAAATGGGATACTGAGTGCCTTACCTTGCATATCAAATAAATTTGAAGCATTTGTAGCTCGTAGATTAGGTTGACCAGAGATAGGATTGAGAAAGCCTCTATAACCCTTTAACATACATGCCATAAAATGTAGAAAGGCTTCTTGTATTGCGAACTCCATTTCCATCTGACAATAGAAAACATAACTTAACTTAATCATTGCAATCAAAAGCAGAAATAAATAATTTTGTATGATGCACACCAATTTCATCCTGGCACTTTTGGATCGTTTTCTTTTCTCCTGTGTCTTTTTTTACCTCTGCAGGAAGTGTTTCGGGAGTTTTTTTGGTAATAAAACACAGGCTGATAACCAGACAGGAATAGCCAGGACGATCGTTGTAAACAGGAAAGTTACATGAGTTATTCTCCAATATAAATTAATCTTTACAATTATGTGGCATTTAGTGTAATTACTAACAAACATGATGAAAGTTAAAGTCTTTGTGACTTTACCTCTTTTTTCTTGCGTTTGAAGTTGTAATCTACAGCTTCCATTTCTAGTGATATTTCATCTGTTGTATGTGATTGACCAGATTGATCGGACAGACTATTAAATAATTTATGTAATGTTTCTTGTAAAACTCTTAATGGTCTCTGAAATAATAATTCATGTAATGTTTCTTATAATAATTAATTAGAGTACATTTTTGTGTGGATTTAATTACATATTATCCAGAAAATGCAAATGACAATCAGCAGTTTAAACAAAATAAAACCGATCCTGTATTAAATCTAATTATTTAAATAGCCTTATTCTCACCTTTGGCAGTAATTTGTAGTTTAAAGTTTTTTTGTCCTCTGGCCTACAAATAGTAACAAAACAAAAAATAGTTTAGTTAACAACCAACAAATAAAATATTAATAGACAGTCCAGCACGAATCGCAAAATTAATGGCAAGCCTTCCGATATAAATAAATAAAATAATGCACTAAGTATCAAACTTAACAAGAATGTCGGGATGAAAACAGAATGGTCATCTATATGACCTTGACACAGAACATCATCTCTAAAAGAGATAATTCAGTGAAATGTGGTAGAAGTTATAAATCATATGCTGTGAAAGGAAATGAAATGGGGTTTAACATCCTACTTTTCTGCAGCGACTGGGCTAATGAAGACCGGTATATACTGTGAATGCAAGAGATAATAATAGATTGAGAGTCTACATGTAGTCACACCTGTTTTTTATATTTCGGTCTGTAATATTTAACTATATAAAATTATTAAAACTTACAGCCATACTCTATTGGTATCTAAATCAACACAGATAATATCTGGTGGTGGATCGTACAAATCAAAATAACGAGAATCAATACCTGAAAAAAATGTCAATATAACAATATCAAATACAACCATAACAATGTAACAACATCAATAACAACAGTTGTTACAAAGATTACAACTTAAAATTTATAAAGAGTGTACATCACATTTTGTAATAGTATATGAATAAAGGAATACATACCCACGATAAAAGGACAAGGTGCATTTAGGACATCTGAGAGACCAAGTGGGCATAAAGGAATATACGGACACTGCCAATGGAATGGAAACATCACCTGAAAATATCAGACATAACCAATCAGTGTATTAATTATTTACAATACCGGTACATAAATAATTGTGATTAATTTGTTTTGGAAAATACTCTCAGTTGAAACACTACCATTTGAGGTTATTCATTCAAAAGTTTTGGATAACAAAGTGCATCTACTGCAATTTGCTGTGCATTATATTTCAAGTATATTGGAGTTTGTGCCTTTTTTAATGCCATGTAGGGTTGTTAATTAATTATTGACTGTATTTCATTATTGCTGCTGCTGCATATTTTTCAACTACCTACATGTATCCACATATGTTTCATTTGTTTAATAAAGACGAGTGTCCTTGTCAAAATGCTGCTAAGTAAAAAATCCAGAAACTCTGTATCCATAACATTGGACATTGAGTTATTATACTTTAAAGTGTTAATCAGTTATATCGATGGTTAAACATTGACTGATATATCTTTAACTTACATTAGTTACAGCTTCAGCTACACCAGTTAATACAGCTGGACGGAGAGAGTGTATTAATATCTTATGTTCTAATAAAAGATATAACATCATATTCATACAATTCTCAGGGCCCAAGTTCTTCAGCAGTGATATAAAAGACGCTCCACTGAAAAATATTTATAGAATTTTCTTATCAGATTTGTTGGCAGACGTATAAAAACATGGATTCAGTTTCAATTAAATATAGTTAATAAAGAAAAATATGTTAAAAGATAAAAGCTATATTTAATAACATTATATATTAATAACATACCTCTGGGGTAATGGAGAATCTTCAGGCATACAAAACGATATGGAGTCATCTTTTAACTACAAGACAGAAACAAACATGTATTATGGATGATCGATGATAAAAGAAACAATCATGGATGATCGATGATAAAAAGAAACAAACATGTATCATGGATGATCGATGATAAAAAGAAACAAACATGTTTTACAGATGATAAGAAGAAACAAACATTTATCATGGATGATCGATGATAAAAAACAAATATGTATTATGGATGATGAATGTTTTGTAGCCATCTGAAATGCTATTATGAGTCACCATTGATGATCATGTAATATAATTTCAATTAAATATGAAAGTGAAGTTTATTATATTTACCTGTACTAGTATTCTAGGTCTTTGTGGAGAAGGATAAGGAACATCATACATAAAATGTGAAATATGCCTAGAAAACAAATGAGTATAAAATAGATATCATAAATAACAGCAATTAAACAATTTATTTTCAGTGGACTTAACAAAGTGTCAGCATTCTAATAATCAATTGATTATTAATTTAATTTTTACACGACAGACACATCGTGTCAGATAGTTATCTGCTAGTGGTAAGAGGTCTTAAGCCTAGCTTATGTCACCCTACGATGCGACAAAACTGATGGCGACTAAAAATCGGCGACTGGCGGACAAGTGGAATGAGGCCATTTTGAAGGTTATCACGTGACAGTCATGTGATTAGTTGTGGCACACCTATGACTATGATCAACTGGTTGCTTGTGGCATGTGGTTTTGTCCAGTCGTGGATAAATTCAGTCGTAGCGGCATAAGCTCTCAGTTGCCGTTAGTTGCTGTCAGTTTTATCGTGTTGTAGGACGACATATACTAGGCTTTACTTCCTTTGGCAGCCATACCTATAATATACAATCTAATTTTAGTATGATGTAATCTGGTATAAAATAAGTTGAATAATAAATTAGTAAGATTTAATTAGGTCTGAATTCCATACTACACAATAAGTGATATTCTTCAATCGCCATCTTTCTTGTCATCCAATGCTATCAAATATTAACTTACCTTTCAATAGGCACGTCATGTGGACCTGTGATACAGATTTTATAGAGGCAGGATAAAAACTTCTTAAAGGCATCAAAAAATGGCCAATGCGATAATAAACAGATACTTTTGTTGGAATGAACTGTTTTCAATATACGATACTGTTCACGAATATGTTTATTTTTTAAACCAAGATGGCGCATTTGTAAATCACTAAGTTTGTCTTCTGAATACTCCTCATAAAATGTTACTGCTGCTCCATATATCTGTAACAAAAAATATTTATGTATTGGTCTGTGGTATGTGCGCATAATGTTTTTCAATTTTTTTTTATCCAAATGAAGCAAATATTAAAATTATACTTCTTTCTTAACCTTTCTAAAGATCTTAATACAAATACAATTTTATGTTTTTTTTAAAATCCATACCATTTAAACGCTCTTCCAGACCCTATTGGCTATGCAAACTATGAAATACAAGAAATCCATACTTGTCAACAAAATAGTCAAATACAGCTATTATGTAATCTATAAAGATACATGACAAAGTTTCTACAATCAGTGATGTACACAAACTTACCCTATCACCTTCTGATCCAGTAAGAACAAAAGTAGAAAATACAGGTAAAGGATGTTGTGCTTTAGCTGACCAACATTCTATAGTGGCACCCATAGGTAAACAAAACATAGGTACAGATTCTGGTAGAGGAAAATTATCATAATCTACTGGTGGATATCGTCCTAATATTGCTGTAAACAAAAAATATATAAATTTAATCAATTCTCTTTTCATTTGTCTCTAAGTTGTTAGTTTTAATGAAATACAACAAAATATGAAGAGAGAAAACAATTTATTCCAAAGTAATTTTGTCATGAAATTCTTAGATAAAATGTGGATTTTATCAGAACTTTTTAAGTACATACATCTTATGTTTGCAGAAGAAAACTATAACAAAATTCAGCTAGAAAAGCCATTTTATTTATAAATAAATAATAATTACCAGGTTTATATGCTAGAACATCAGCTTTTGTCATGGCTTTCTTATAACATAAATATACATCAGATCCCATCTATAAAATAATTGTAAATTACTCTATAAATAAATCCATTGCAAACTATAATATTGTTAAAGGTGAATCTCTTAAAGGAATGTCAAAAAATGGTTCAATTCTGATCAGACATGATGAAATGAAGATGATCATATAAACAAGTTAGCTCTCTTTTTAGTTCAATTGAATCCAAGCCAGTATATAATCTACAAGTAGTATTTTAGTTTGTTATTTAAATGTTATATATACACTTTAAGTACATTTTACTGTAGATTAACTCATGAGAAATTAAGCATTGTCAATAAATGCATGTTTGGGATCAGTAACTTTAACCTACATAAATATACATGATGTATTATTCATATTAGTTCCTCTACTGGCACAGTTAATATTATTGATTTCTTATAATCTCAACAAGGCTTTCATACAAAGGAAGAAAATGATAAAACATAACTTTCAAAATTCAATAAAATTATTACTTAAAACTGTCAGATGTCTTAGATAAGTTGTTGGGGAGAATTCATTTATTAATAACGATTCACAAAGTGTTACGATACATGAGATTATTAAATCTTCCTGCACAAAAGATAGCTCCCAGGTCTATTTTACTTCATTTACATCAATCAATAAGGAATTTCATTTATAACAATAGCACTTCGATATTGGAATGTTACGGCAGATATTTGAGGCCAATAAATAAAAAGTTCTGGTTCCCATGAGAGAGCTCTCTGTTATTCCTAGTACATACGAGTAAACATAATCAATACATATGATAAATGTTTTATATGATGATGTGTCAACTATTCTTGGAATTTCTTTAGAAATAAATATACAGACATATAAATACTAAAATAGTATCCAGAATATTTTTGAAAAGATTCCAATAAAATTAAGGAAATCAAAGGGTTAATTAACCAGTTTTTTTGTAAATGAAGTAATTCTTTGTCCAATATAGATTCTTATTTTCAAAGCATCAAGGGCATTAAAAAGTATTAACATAGAAAAGAAATTCCCATTTGATAAAATTATATTGTGGTGTATTAAACATTATACTTTTATGAACTTACTGACAGTTAAGATAAAAACCTGAATAACTACTTAAGAGTTGTATGTATCAGTCTTATATCTGTCTCATATATTACTGAAATATTACAAGTCATAAGTAAAAAGTTTATAAGAAAACTTAAACGCAATAATTTATAACTGAAATAGATATTTCAATTTTAAAATACTGACTTTCACAAAATATCAAGAAACTGTCATGCATGACACAGGCCTAAGTAAAGCACAGTCTTTACCACATCTTAAAAATAAAGTTGGCCTTAATATCTTGACCAAATAATATGTTATAATGATGTCATGTACTTACAACTCCCTTATTGAGTGTCTTATTGATCCGATTATAGGCTAATGGCGGTTCCTCATTCTGAAAATATAATTCAAAATACCTCTAACATTGATCTTGTAATTAAACACATGATATTATATAATAGAGAAGTTGTTCATTCAATAGAATGATATCCATAGTAAATATCTCCGGCAGATTCACTAATCCTTATAGAAAGCCTATCAACAATGAAATGGCACTTTAAATGCAGCTTTCTGTGGAATTTAATTTGAGACAGGATATTAATTCCCATATCCTCTCAATACATCAATCTGCAAACAATCCCTCTTCTCAACTACACAATTTAATTATTTAAATCTGAATTAAATGAGATGTGAATGACATTTACAAGAAAACACTATTTTCTATTATTCATCTCTTCTGTTGCATACTTTATCTGCCAAGACCTAGGGGCATACTGATAACACGATTTTCAAATGCAATCATTGAAATGAAAACACAAACTTTATTCACAGAAATTTTTAAATCTGTGGCTAGTGTGAACTGCAAGGACAGAAAACCATACTTAAGGGAATAGAGACATATATTGTGTAACTGTAATTTTTTTTCATGGGATTGTATATAAAAAATGTTGAAAATCTATAGGCTCTTAGTCTTTTGTCTAGTGTTAGATACCATGCAATGTCAGGTGAAATTTGTTAAGATAGTACAAACAAGCTTGATGAAAGCCAATAAAGTAAGGAAGGGGATTATGGCTTGCTAAATGAAGCCTATGTTTCAAATTTACCCTGAACCTACCAAGTATACTCCTGCTTTCAAGGCTTATTTCATGCCCCCCCCCCCCCACTACATAAAATTTCTGGTTCTACACCACTGCTACGATATTTTGCTTAGCTATTTTTTTGTAGTGTTAATGACAATTTTTTTCTTGGATTGACAGCAATGACAGTTCCATTTGATCTATTTTATATGTATGAAATTCTATCCTTGTTGAAGACATAAAATGGTATGCCCTTTATGATTGTTTTATCATGTGATATAACTACGTGTACATGTATGTATTGATCATACATTCCACACATCAAGTAGAAAACGATCTGCTGACTTTTTGAAGGACAGTGTTCATATATAAAATCAATCTGATAGAACTTTAATATATACTAAAATAGTCACTAATCAATATGTCTAAATAAATATCGGATACATGGGAATAACAAGTACGAGCGTACTATGGACCAGGAACTGACTATGATGTTTGAGAATATGATGATACATAGAGTTTCCCCTCATTCAGGTACATATATCTTAAACATACAGATATTGTTCTCTGCATATACACCTATCACTCTGTACTGACAGAATTCGAAAGGCTTTTTTTAACGAAAGCCGACACAGTTATGACGTCAGAACTTATGGACATAACTTTGTTCTTGGGATGAAATTTAAAAATCTAGTTTTAACATATAATTCTACAAATTTCCTTTTTCATTCAGACTCAAAGCCGCCGTTTTCATATATAGTTCTCTGCATATACACCTATCACTCTGAGGATAAAATTCAAAAATCTAATCCACCAAATTGATGCAGAATTGTTCAAAGAAGAAGAATGCCAATTTTAATGTCGATCAGACTTGAATTGATGGAGCCTCAGGCTTTTTCGAAGAGCGTCACCCCAAGGACAAGAAGGACAAGAAGAACAACAAGATTAGTAGCAGTTAACGACTAGTTCCTGGTCCAAAAATTTATTTGCTTATTTGTTCATTGTGGCTAACAGTTTGATCCCCAATGACATTTTAGATTGTGCTGTACTACTAGTACTAGTACTGTTTGTTCACTGTTTTGATGAAAAGAGATAATGACCTGACAACTGATATAGTTCTATCAAGACAAGGAAAACAAAATTACATAAACATATCTCAAGATAATTATAGACAAACTATTAGTTTTTATACCGTAACTTGGATGTGTTATGTCTTGATGTCATTAACAAAAATCTATAAACTCTTACCAAAAATAACATGTTTATTTTGTATGATAAAAATAATATGTTTGTTTTGTATGATAAAATAATGTTTATTTTGTATGAGACGAAAACATAGTTTATCATGTCTAGAAAAATTTTGCTATAAAAAAATCGGATATAAATTGTGATCTTTAAAGGGTCCACAACCTCGATAATGCATACTTTAACACTGTTTGCCAATAGAGAGTGGCAGTTTCGAGTTTCGGTCCGATTTTCACGAAATTCGAGCTCAACTGTCATTATGGTATAACAGTGATATATTAAAACTTTTTTTTTCAATTGGATAAAAATTGTGACCTCTAGAGGAACCACATGCAATCAAGGGCCAGAATCCAGGAAGTTACTGTCCGTTATGCATGAATATTGAAAGGAATCAAGATCTTTGGGTTATAAACATACATTTCAAGTTTCATCAAAATCGGAAGTTACATGTACGGTCCAATATGCGCAAATATCGAAAGGAACAGAGATCTTTGAGAGACAAACCCATATTTCAAGTTTCGTCATAATCGGATACCTGTAGAGTAGCCACAAACAAAATGTTAACACAGGCAGACAGACAGGGGTGACGACAATATACGTCCACATGAAAATGTGGGCGTATAAAAATATGCCTTACTCATTTTTATAGATCACATTATACAGGCTTAAGTAAGAAAAATCATGTAATGTGTTCAGTGTATTAAATGTCTACATCATCTTAAATAACTATGTCATTCTTGTTAAAGGATAACCGAGGCAGTAGCAGATATTTTTTCTAACTATTCATTATCTACTGATGACTAAAATTTTACTTGATATCAGCACTAATCTAAATGCAGATTTTGAAGTAGTTACTTTAGTAATGAAGTCTGATTATACAAATTTTTGTTTACGGTAACATTCCATTCCTAGATTTTGAATATTGGCTAACAGTAGCCGCGAAACCGTGACCTCCGGTCTCCACGGGCGCGGGTTTCATCATGGCCATCCAATTCAAATGAATTTGTTTGTGTCTTTGAATCGCAAAATTCTAATTGAAAATGGTGTTGAATTATTATAAACTTGTGTCAAGAAATGATTCCTTTTGGCGAACAAAGAACAATCACGGTTAAAAATAGACGGTAAGGATTCCAAAATAGCCTTAGAACCGAGGTGGTGTAAAGAGTTATTTTCCTATAACATGTGTATACAGATAGTCAGTAATGATGACACAAGTCCGATCAGACATCGTTACTAAAGTAACTAGTTTTGAAGATGTGATGCAGGATATATATAGTGTGTGTTATGGTAATGTTGACCATTAACAGTAAATTGTTACTAACCTTATTGACTAGTATAACACATATATCTACAACAGCCAACGTATCACTACACGCAGCATCAGATGCCCTTCTATATGTTATATAGATACGAGTACTATTACTGTTATTTACATTAGCTGGGTGACCGTATGGTGTAGTGTGGACAACTTCACATCCCTGCATTAATCGTTCTTTTCCTTCATATAATACACTGTAATAAAAACCAATTAAAAGGTCACACATGTATCAGAGATGTCTTCATTTTCACTTACACCACAACATAAAAGCTTATTCTACCTATATTGGGTGAACCGAAAAAAACCTGGGCCATCCATTATTTGACCACAACTTTAACCACTGTCATACATAATTTCATTCAATAAATAATAATTGACAAAAGTGAGGCTAATGTTCCCAGACTAAATCCCGAATTACATAAGATGACACTCGTTATTTACTTTAATTTTCCACAAAGCATCAATCAATCAAGTTTCTTATCAATGCTCAACCTGAGCGAAAAATGCTCAATATCGAACTCAAATTAGTATTGATGTAATGAAAAAATACACCAAGTTTCATCACTCTCTCTTAATAAGAATCAAAGTTCCAAAGAATCGACTAATCAAAATGCTTTTCACTACATAGCTTAAGCAGAAAATGCACATCATCGATCTCAGAAAAGACATTCACCAAGTTTGAACAATGAGTTATTGTGTTCCAAAATATGTTGGATGGACAGAAGGACGGATCCATTTCAAAGGCAGGAATGAAAAAGTTTTGGGGTCACAATAATACCTTAGTTTACCTGTAAATTGGATAGGTGATCAATGTGACCCAGGTTCTTATTCTTTTTTTTTTTTTTCCCACAATACCCATATATTTGACACTTTCTATAAGAAATAACATACCCAATATCTGTTAAAGGTGGTTTGTCTCTACTCCTTCGATAACATAAGAACATTTCTGGACAGCGTATACTTCCATGATTTAAATCGGCAGTAAATCCTGTTGGTGTTCGTTCAACACACGTATAACCCTTAGGTACTTGTTCACCAATAGATCGGTTGATCACTTTAATTTCCGTAATTGGGTCTTGTTTAAAAGATGGTTTTATGGCTGCCTCATTGGAGAATTCTTCCAGAGGTAAAAAGTCATCAGGAAGGCCAGCAACGACAAAATAGTCTGCTACACGCTTTTCATCCATTCTTCTATAAATAAAAAAGGCAACAGACTGTTAGATTCATGATTTAACTGTAAAAAAGGGAGAATTTTATTGAACCAAAATAGACCTTACATGTATCTGTCTGCAGTCCAATCTTGATAACGGTAAATATACATACATGTATTTCAGTCCCGTCTGCAAATGATATCATGGCAATGTCTCTGTACAGACATAAAAATCATGATTGCAACATCATTCCATGAACAAAAGATGATGAAAAAGTTCAAAACAAATCAATCACTCAACAAATAATGATCGTATACATGTACAACTCTTTTTTTTCACGATAAATTGTTTTTCTGTTTTAAAAATCCAAATTCTTCGAGAAGATAATGTTCTTTGAAGATGTTTTATGTTTTTACATACACAGGATAGAAAGAAATACAGACAGTATGTCATATAAAAAAAGGTCAAGGCAAACAAATTCCCAACAGGATAAATCAAAAAGTCATCATTAACTTTAAATGCAGTTACGTACTGTATATGTAAGACAAAATTTATTTTTGCTAATTACCTTTAGTCCAAGACAAATATATTTGCCTTGAATAAAGTCAATGTGAATTAAATTATTAGAATCTAATTTTTGCTTAGTATCAGGGTAGGCTGATAAAACTTATAATCTAGTTTTTACAGTGTGATAAAAACCTAGTAAAAATCCAGTAAAAACCAGGAAGTTTTCCCCACCTTTTTATGGTTAAACAACTTGTAATAACTGAATTTGATGAAAATAAGCTTGTTTGAATAGTTCACATTTAACTTCTATTATAATACTGCAAAATATGCAAATAGGTTTAGCGGTGTAAATTTTTATTTTAAAAAGCCTAAGTGACCAACATTTTGAGTGACTAACATTCTTAAAATCTATTTACCAAAAATCCACACAAAAGTACACCCAAGTTCAACACAATTTCTAATAACATATAATATCGCTAAGGTTTTACTAATATTGTGAAAAACAGGTACATGTATTTCCTACCCAAAAACCAAAACTGCTTTGTACAGAAAAAGAGGTTCCCCACCCAATAAAGTATCGCCTTGTTTTTAGTCTAGCTGCTAGCACTGCTGTACAGTCATAAATCTGAGTGAAATGATAGTTGTAGTTCTGTGCCTGGTGACACAGACCATGTACCAGGAACAGAAGTCATCAACTGTTATATGGTAATATTATACCGAAATTCAGTCTGAAAATATGTATTACATTACAACTATATTGATGTGTTTATTTCAGCCTATTATCACAAATCATAATCAAGAATATTGATGACAACAGGATGTTAGTTATAAGGAGAGTGTTCAAGCTGGTAGCCGCAAAATCATGCTAATTAAAAGTTAGAAGTAAAAGTTTTATGCATGCTAAACAATCAGTCAGAATTAGATAACCGTTTCTATTGTATATTAATTACTTTTTCTAGAACCAGCTCACACACACTAGAGACAAGCTAGCAGAATTCAAATTCAAGGACCTGTTATGTTGTAAAGTTCAATGTAAAGTCATTCACACATAAACTATTGATTTACAACTTACCCATACTTAGTTATTCTTTCTATCATTTTCAGTGTCTATTTTTTACATCTATACTTAAATGCATAAACTATCTCACAGACAAAACATAAACTGCACAAGTATCACTATAAATAATGTTGACTAAAATGATTGTCATGGGTAAATAAGCATTGTTCTGGTCATACCTTCAGATGTATATAAACTGGTACAACACCTCACTACACAGTTACTAGCTGATGACTAATACAAATTGAAAATTTAAAACCATTTTCTGAACCATCTGTTTCCATACCTGTTTCTTACTGCATTGAGTTATAATAATAATATTAATATTCAACAAATTTCATTGACCTACACTGACTGCCTGTATACATTAGTGTTTATTATCGTTCTTCAGTGTTGTTTAAAAAATGTTATAGTTTAAATGTATTGTGGCATCACTAAGATTACATATATGTTACTATCTAATTTTAAAATATAATTTATGCTTATGTGCTAAGAAAGTTAAGATTAATAAGAAAATTTGATTAAAATTTTTGAGATACAAATTTCATACTGTATAGTAGGCCTATAATTACGAACTGAATAGGAAACATGAAATGTTAAAAAAAGAATGAACACCAACTTCAATTTTAAAGTGTTTCAGTATGAATTTTGGTTCTTTCAAAAAAAATGTTAACATTTTTGGAATTTATCGAATAACTTGAAAGTCTTTGAACTAAAGTATTAATATTATGCATCACTACTTTTTCGATGCAATGCATATCAGATTTTGCTTAGCATTTAATGTTTTATTAGCACAGCATATAGTTTAGCAATATCATCTAATCTGAACACTACATATATGCATATATAATGTACATGTATAGTATGCAATAATCAAATTCAGCACATTTTGAAAGTTGGCTTACATTCAAATAATTGAGATTCCCAATAATTGATAAAGTTCCCAACAGTTCAGTCTATATTGAGTAGATTAAACTAACAATGCTGGTAGATCATGAGACCAGTCAAATGACATCAAATAATTAAATCTCTTCTGTTATGATTAATTAGTAAAATGTGTTACTAATAAGGACTTAAATTAAGACGTATAAGAAGAGGTGTGTCTGTAAGGTCAACAACAGATCATATCAGTTACTTAACAATTTACAAATAAATAGCTAATTCAATTTACTTGCATTATATTTCATTACCTACATATAGTGTAAGATTATAGACAGTGATATTTATGTTAGAGAAATAATAACATGACAGGAATGTGCCATGACAGTGTGATGCATCATTTAGATAATACCTAAAGTTCTACACAGGCAATAATTCATCAGAATCTTGTAGCAGCCAGTCAAATGTATATGATGCAAACATGTAATTATACTGATCTCGGTAAAATTATCACTATTCTTATATTTCAGTATATTTAAAGATCTAATAAAGAACAATGCACCTATATCACTATCTCTCTTTTAAATTAACCAATAATAAACACTTAATATGAATATTATTCAGCACATTCTTTCTGAGCTTTATACAAATCAACACAAGTCTCTGATTTCGTTATAAAAACTCCAATACAAAATAATATAATATTTTTCAAATATTTTTCCAATAAACACAAACTTTCTCCATTGCATGAACTAAAATCATATCCACAATTTAAGTCCTTTCCTCCTTGATCCATACACAAATCTACATTTACAAATAGGTCAAACAAATGCATTCAAAGCAGAATATATATACTCATAACTGAACTCATAACCACTACAGAAATGAATGCAATTTACTTTTAATCAAGTTAATGTTAATATTGGCACAGAAATTAAACACTGATATTGATCAAATTAATGAATTAAACTGACTGGTATATAAATTCCTGGCTGCTATATTTACCACACTAATCAATACATCATTAAGGACCAGGTTTAATATGCTCGGCAACAGAAACCATGTCCCTACCATTATCGTAAACAAAATACTCTGAATTAAATTTGAAGATCTAAAGCACAAATGTGCGTACACACCAACATAACCAATGTCGTTTGAATAAAGGTAAACTACATTGCTGCAAGGCAAAAAAAATTCCTTTCTGTAATATTATTGGATTTCTAACTAATGAGTCAGTCAGGCATCCATAGTGAATGTGTGTGTGTGAAAGGATATCAGTGTTATTTGGTCAGTGTTATATCAGACTTATCATTTCATTTCTTCTACATTGCTTACTTATAATTAAAGAATATGATGCCATGTCATATCTCTCATATCCGTCTGCATTCAGCCTGGTCACAATTTGATGGATACCAGATAAAATACCAATATTCTTATTGATTTAACAGAGGCTGTAACATGTGGTCTATCATCTTTCATAATCAGAATGTAATCTAATATTCTTAAATAAGAATTTCCATCAGAAATATAATAAAAATCGTAGGATCCTACAAAATTCTTCAATTTTAACATTACCCTTAAAAAAAACTATACACAACAACTACAGAGGAAAACAGAAGTTTTCAATCTAAAGCTGCATGATAACCTTTAAACAGGAATTTCATCAATTCACCATGTTAAAGATGCAACAGTCAGTGCACAATTTAGATTGCTTCCTTACCATGGGAGAATACAGGATTTTTAAAAAGTGGTTGGTGCAAAGGAAAGTCTTGCCCCATGGAAAAGACAATTAAAAGTAGTGAAATTTGTTACATTTTACATTAGAACAGTTTGGTTAAATCATTTTTCTCTATAAAATTTTTGCGATGGTGTCAGTCGTATAGTTGAGCTTTCTAATATTTTGGACAAAGATAAGAAGAAAAATACAAGCGAGTAGACCAAGCCAAATACATTCCTTCAAACTCCATGACGCTTGGTAACTGTAAGCTATAATATTTTATGTTTTTACATGTATATACCAAAAGTTACGAAAATTGAATATTTGTGTCGTAACAGGTTGAATCAAACTAGTATATAAAAGACAATTACACTATATTTTGATTTTGAGTGCATTCTATGTTTATATACCCTGCTGAGCAAAGCAAGGCAGAAATTTATTTTAGTCTTCGAAATGAACATCCCAAAACTCTCAATGTTTCGACATTTAGATTAGGAATATGGATACTGCAAGTTTATAAAAAGATAGGTTGCCAGGCAACAAAACATACGCCCACAGCAACTAAATCGTCCGGGCAGTTAACAAGAGTTGTCGAATATTTTTACTTTTTTCAGTAATGAAACATTTATAATACACTAAAATCTGATTAAGAGCAACAACTCACAAAGTAATTATCAGAAAACTATTAGAATTTGTTTGGTTTTTATAAAGTTCTGCCCCATGCTAATGTTTTGTATGCAAAGCTTTTAATATCATGGATTTAACTGTTCAAGTCATAAAAATTCATTGAAAATCAATATACTTGTTCATCTCAAGATCTTAAACTCTGTGTATCAATCTGAAGTCAATCGGATGATAACTTTAGCCTTTAGAGCGTCAC